ACACCACACAAGCCACTAAGATCACAAAATATAGAATGAAAAAACCAATAGTATCTTACAAGATCGGATTGTATGATGAATACTAACCCCGCTATCGGAATCGTGGCGAATCCGAACAAGCTCGTTCCTCTTGTAAGATCCAGCCACCATTCCCGCATTTGCTTCCATTTCGTCGGAATTTCTTCAGATTCCGAACCAGAAGCAGATCGCGCGTCAAGAGAAGGGCCTAAGAAGAGATAATTTCCCTGAAATCTTCGCCCACTCAGTACGCCATCTCCATCAAACTTTACTCTGAATCAGCTGCTCTCTCTCTCTCTCGTCTCTCTTTTATATTTCTCTTTTTTGTCTATTTATCCTTTTTTATATATATATTATATTTTTTTTCTCGTCTCTTGGTCTCTTACTACCGGATCCACTGGTTTCCATTATGCTCAAAATGGCTCGGCTCGGCTCAGCAAGCCACTTGACTTTCGGATTTTGGTAGTTGATGACGTGGCAAGTAGTCATTGGCTGGGGCGCGGTAAATTTTTGGTCCTTAATTGACTTTTTGAAAAGTACCCAATGAAATCGGTACACGTGGAGGTGTTTAGTTGAACTGTGGCTGTCAAAGTGGAAGAATAAATAATATATTTTCTTGGAGTAAAAATGGAAAATATATTCGTTTTGCTGTTAACAGGCTGTACTAAGAGACACCGGAAATTGTCGGTAGCTTCGAACCTCATGCTTGTGGCTGTCGGTGGACTCGATTATTGCAAGCTTGGAGCTGCAAAATGACCAATTTAAGCTGGCTTCTCTCAATAATTACGTCTCCAACCCACGTGTATTTCATCTTTATTTTTAGTTTAAATATTATTTTAGTCTGTTTTTCTTTTCGACTTTCGTCCATTTTGGTCGTCATGCCGTTTATTTTGATTCCTTGTAGTCCACGTAAATATTAAGAAAAACTAACTTAAACAGGTTAGAATAAAACAATGAAAAATTTTCCTGCTGAAAGTACGAGGATTGGAATAGTATTTAAACTTTTATTTTATTTTTCTATTAGAAAATAGTAAGAGATAATTTTAGTGCGTCCACCGTGCAACTTTTGAGCCTTTAAATTATTCTAATTTTTATTTGTGTTATTTAAGTATTTGTACCATTTCCATAAATGTATTGATTTAGTTTATAACATAATCATCTAGTTAAATTACAATAAAAAATTTGATACAATGAGTATAACATAATCAGTATAATTAGTATATACTATTTCTTTGGAAGTCGGAAGTTTGATCCTCATATCCCCAAATTGTTGTACTAAAAAAATTTAGCTTTCACTTGATGATACATGAACTTGTCAACGTAAGCATAGCAATGAATTATACATATATCTTAAATGTTAGTTGTTCAAATTCTCATTCCTACATTATTAAACTAAGAGTGTGTGTATGTATGTGTGTATATTAAAATTTTAGATTAGATTGATATTAAATTATAACATATTATAGTAATAATTGTAATTAATCCTAAATAGTTAGATAAATCGATGCCTATAGGCTTGAGTTGGGTGAAGTTTTTTATTTTTCTAAATCATAAAATGACACCTTTGATAGTTGCTAAAGAGGATAATCGATGTAATTTTTTTAAATGCTGTCTGCAATTATCATTTATAATTATCACCCATTGTTATTGCAACATATGGCCCACTATTCATTTTTATATAATAGTTTGTACTTTCAATTTGTTAAAGCAACCAAAACAACATATCAAAATCAATTAGTTTTTTTTAGGATTAGTTTTGTTGAATCCGATCAGTTCAATTTGTTTTGGTAAATTGGTTTTTGACAGTCAATTCAGTGCTTGATTTCTAAGTTCAAACTAATGGGCAAGTTGGATCGACTAAAAGTCGACTTACCAATACCCCTAATTTATATTAAACACATATTTTCTCCTTTATTTCAGCCTTAAAAATTACATAGATAAATGACATGTAAATGTAATTGTCATTCCTTTACATAAGGTTAATATAAAAGATCTATCTAGTAACTCGAAGAATCTGACCCAACACAAACCGTAAAGATTGGGTTGGATTAGGATATATATATATATATATATATATATTTATATATTATGTTTTAGGATTTCACAATTTTAGATCTCCACGACTCACTCTCATCTCTCATCCCATCATATCTCACTCTCATCTCTTCCACAGTCTCACCCTCATCTCTCTCAGTCTCGAGTCTCATCCTTCATAAGCTATAAGCTATAAACTTATCCATTGTTGTTGTTTGCCATTCGTCGCCTATCATGTTACAACCCAATGATCCAACCAAACTCGACCAAAAATATAAGAGTTAGGTCAGGTTGGGTTAGTTGTCCATTTTATTCGGTCTCATTAAGATAGAAGAACCAACCAACCGATATTTTCAAGTGGGTAAAAAAAACCATGTACGCTACCTATATCCCTTTCTTCCTTTATTCTCTCTATAAGAGATTTTTTTTAGCAGAGGACCGACAGTTGAGACAATGATAGAAGAGAGAGAGACTGAAAATGACAACATAACAACAAAGAAGCCACATTGTTTTTTCCTTTTAAAATTTGTTTAAACACATGCCGCCAATGCACATCTTCATTCTGCTCAAGAGACCAAAATTATAAGTTTAGGATACGACAATCACACATTTACCACAAAGAAGTTGCAAACATTTTATGAAACTGGACATGTAACGACGCTATGAGGAAAAAAAAGATCATTGTCTCATCTTGACTGATCAAATGCACTTCCACAAAAAAGCTGATCAAATGCACTTCCACAAAAAAGCAGTAATTCGAAGCTAATGTTCGAGTTTTCGAAAAACGAAACAAATCGTGTACCTCTTGATCCATGCCAACATCAGCTTTGTAACGTCCTATGGTATACAGTCGAGTTAGCTACCTGTTGAGCCGCGAATCTAGTAAACTCTCCTCACATTGGTATCAGAACAAAATACAACTAAAATGTGTCTTAAAAAGTATGAGCAGGCATGGCCAAGTGGAAAAAATGGCTCAGCCTTGTACGACTCATGAGGACTAGTTCTCACCCTATCTTGCAATTACACGCCATCTACGGCGAGTTTTGGCAGCAAAAACCGTGATGAATCTCACTATTTTTCGAGAACCAAGAAACTAGCGCAACTGGCGTAGTGCCAGTTCTTAAACTCAGGCTGATATCTGTCATTGTTCTCAGTGTCTGTGAGAGTGCTTTCGACCGCCAAAATGGGGCTCTCCCTTCTCCCTGTTCCTCCTCTGTAAAATTCTCAAGGCAAACGAAATAGCTCCTATTGTGGCCATGGCGTAAAAGACTTTATATGGAGCTAAAGCCAGGCTACACATATAGGCATAATATCCAGCAGCTAAATAGATGAAATCCAGTCTGACTTCATTTCGCGAGAAACCGAAGAAAGAAAATGAATAGGAATTGAACTCGGGTTTTGAATTGCAGATACCATGGAGGATGGCTCCAGTGCAAAGAAAAGAATCCAGCAACCATGGAAAGCCTTGGTTCGTCCCTATCCTCTGCAACCCCGAAAAATAGGCAATGTGAAAACCAACAAGATAGCTAAATGCATAGTGGAATAACTAAAGCTGTTTTTCTTTAGAGAGGGGGATGGAGGATACTCCAAAAACTTGGGAAATCGACCATGCGATTCATACGAACAAAATTGCTGTCATGTAGCAAATAATGGTCTTTTGTTCTCTCTCCACTTAAATAGAAAATAACCATAAATACAAGATCGATAAAATGGATGCAAAGGCTCAGTGTTTTTCTTACTTTCTAGATGGCGTCAAAGAGGAGCTATGTCATGCGTATAAAGTGGCAGTGCTTTTGAATTTTTGATATTGCAATTAAAAAAATAGAATATATTGTGAAACAGATTTCGGGCAAACATTTTATTTTCGTAATCATACCTGCAACCAAGCGACAAGTGAAGGTGCAAACATAACCGCTGCAACAAGATGCAAGATCAATAAGCCATGACAATGATGGAATATCTCTAATTGAGTCTCCCCGAAACTTTTTGAAGTGCCAGGACTGGTTGAAATGTTGTCTTCAATAGAATCCTTCAAGTTCACTTTATCATGCAATGGAAATGTGGACTGAGAACCATTTCCAACTTGTAATTTTTTGCTTCGTACATGGCTGCAAAAGGAAGCTGTCAAAAAACTGATCCAAAAACATGGAACAAAACTTAGGAACAGCGTAGTAAAAACTAAAAAGTTTCACAGTTTGCTACCATATGGCCTTGATTATATAGGAAACAGCTGGTGTAATGCTTATTAACTCTGTTTCTACTTGTACAACAAAGTAATCTCTTTTTTCCCCCATAAAATGATATAACCCAAATGACTAGTACTGAAAGATGAAAAGATAAAAGAAATACAATAACTTCATAACTATTTGAGGTACTTGGAACCCGAGCATTCTAACTCAAGCCTCGGACAAATAAACAATTGCCTACTTTCAGGCTCATCCCACCCACTCTATTTATAACAAATCCTTTGCTAATAACTAATATACCGTTGCTCCTAATAATATATCCCTATCTTCTATCCAAATAATAACATTCCTATCAGAAGACAGCAACAGTAATAAAAAGAAAAAAAGTACCTGGATAGGGCATTGTGACAACAGAAAGCATGGAAAACGAGTAGTAAAAACAATCCCATTGCTGGATGAATAAAGCATGCCATGGTAATAGCAGAAAGTGCAGTAGCCAGTGACGGATTGACTCCCAACACTCTTACGACCTAATATAAAATGAGTGGGTTAGACAATAGATCAAATTGGCAATCAACAGCTCATAACCTTACACTATTGAAATAGAGGTAATGGACAATAAGGGACTTCTATGCTTCTCAGAATTGGATTCTCTCGTTAAATATGAAAAGCAAAAATTTCAAAACAAGCCATTTTTCAAGCATTAACATGGTAGAGTTATTCACATATATGGTAGGCCATGTCATTGACAGCATAGTTTCTTAAGGCAACAGATCTAGGATGGGCGAACACTTTTTTTAGGCATAATACTGCTTAATGAGAAGATTTGAAAGCCTACATGAAAATGATTGTTTAGTTCACTCTGAAGTTTACAACAATACGAGTAAAGGAAAATGAACATTATAGTTGTCGAACAACTTGAGTGAAGCACACTACACAATATTACTTGGAGAAAAGATGACAACAACTGAGTGAACATGGTCTAGTTTGTCTAGCGTGGATCTAGTTCAAGTGTACTCTGAAGTGTAAATTCTTAACTGCATTTACAATCACGGATAAAAGCATACCTTTGATGATTGAAAATGCGAAAATATTTTGCTAAACAACCTAAACAGTACAAAGCTGAAATTTCCTTCCAACACTTGCCACCTGAAACATGGTCAGTCAATCATTCAGGCACATGAGCAGTAATAGGCATTCAAAACTATGGCTAATATGCTCGCCAAATAAGATAAATAACCAAATAATTCAGGTTGAACCAAACCCATTCCCCTCGAACAAGAACAGCCCAAAATATCTAGGAAAAAGGTTCAAAATTGTGAAGTAGAAGAAAGTATTACATGGTACATATTTTTAGTTAGTACTTTTAAATTGTAAATGCAAAATAATAGTTGGAATTTTGGTAATTAACACATAAATGGCATTTGTAACCTGAAAAATAACTTGACTACTATTGTCAAAAATGAAGGTTTAAAACCATGATAGAGACCACTAAAATGTCTGCATAGTGCAGCCAATGATCTCTGATTATTTAATACCAATAGTTGTTTACCGCACTGACATCACCTTTAAAGTAGTTTGGTTGAGAAGTTTCCTCTATAAGAAGATGGTCAAGACATCGTCTATTCAATTAGTATTCAAGTTTTGTGAATAGTAAAATGGCGTAACAATCTGACCTTGTCTTGATGAAAACATGCACAACCGCCATTGCATAGAATATCAGCTGGGATACCAAAATCAGAGTAATGACAGTAGCATTTGCAAATGAATAACAGACCACTGAGACTGTGGTGAAGATAGCCAGAGGAGGTAACGGTTGAGAAGTTAAAAGTGAAAGGAACAAAGAGAGTAAAATAGGTACAAGGACCAAATAAAAAAATGGGAATGGTATTCTCAAGTTGGACTCTACAGCTGTCAGCATTGAAGGTACAGGAAAATCATGATTCCATGCTTGCGCTTGCCGCATCAGTGCAAAAAAAATAACAACAATACAAAACCCAACTATCTGCAAGAAAATAATGCATAATGTAAGATTTTTAAAAATACTTAGAATACATACAATAAATCTTATACAAGCATATGAGAGAAAAAGAGAGGGAAGGGTTCAAAAGCATATCATAAACTCAGAAGGGAGGAAGAATGACAGAAGAGAAGCAGGTGAAAAACATACCAATTGAAAATTAAGACTAAATGAAGAGTATTATTGGGTCCATCGACATTTAAATAAAATATAAATCTAAATAAATAAAATTGTAGGTACCAAAGGCCACTAGTGTAAAATTCATCCATGATTTTAATGGCTCAGTAAAAGCGTACTTGTAGCCAAATGTTAGAGAGTTGGTTCAATATTAAATCTGCTCTAGTATAGTAATAAATTGAATATATAACAGCATGATGAGTGAAACATCGACCTTAGCCTCCTGCAATTACACGCTTAACAAATATAAATATTATAATTAGACTTATCAAAAGATTTCTACTTCTTTGAGAATGGACTGATTTATGCTTGGAGAAGTAACAGCTAAAACCTTCAGAACACAAGCATAAAACGTTCCAGTCATTTCTTCCCATAGATACCTCACAGGAGCATATAGCCATCACAACATAGTCAAAACGTTAACCAAACACAGTTCCATTGGATTCACAAGGTTCCAATCTTTTTGATGAATGTGTATAAGAACTTGTCCAATGCAGGAGAGAAGGAAACATCATAAAACATAAAGTATGAAGCATAAAAATAAAATAAATATACGTAGCACTTTCCATTGACTCGGGAATAATGTGAAACATATAGTTGGCTATAGAAATAAGCAAGTACAATATTTTTGGAAATTAATAAGCTTGTACCTGTGAATTATATAAAAGCAAAAATCTCCCAGCAGCTGCACTGAGAGAGACAACAATGCTTGTTTTGTACGAACAGTGAGGATCTACCTGTAGAGATGAAAGGAGTTAACAAGATCAAATTTTCAGATTATTATTACATAAGAACAAATGGAAGCATAATTCTAGAAGAAACTTCATACCAACAATAGAACGCTTGTTTTCTCTGATCCTGCACTAGAACTCCATAGTGCTGGTGCAGAATCAACAAGAATTGTCTCACTCTGAAGATTGGGGAAAATATGAAGACCAGATATGTCGTCCCAAGCAAGTGCTACAGGTGGAAAACAACGCAGTCTACACAGTCCTGAATTTTGAAGAAAGTGAAACAGGGAGGATGAATAAGAACATTCTAACGTCATTTAAGCTCTCCGTCCTAACACTCAATTATACGGATTTCCTTTCACAAATCCATGATGGGTCTCAGAGGCAAATAAAACAGCTAGAACTAAGTAGGTAAACCAAATGACCTGCACCATTATACGTGTAATGCTTTCACTTTAAAGCAAAATAAAACACCTAACAAAAGTTTGTAGTCATGATAACAAGAGCATTGCCAAAGTCTAAACCCTAAACTAAGTTGAGAAACACATGATCCTAAATTATCACCAATGATATGAATACGAAATTTATACCATGATATTTAGACTATTAACACAACAAATTGAAAATTAATAAAAGATCTTTTTTGTAATTACAACCTTTCCTTGTTCATGAACAATTGGAAAGAGTTTGTTTAGCTTCTTTGGGAGGGGTTGCCTCTGCCCCAGCCCTTTGCTTGTAACCTTCTGTCTTTCGATAGTTTATGAAATGTTCTGAAAGTTTCATATCAAAAAATAAAATAAAAAATATTTCAAATGGATGCTAGTTTCTTCCGTAATTTTATTTTCATAATATGTCCACTTTTACAATCAAGAGCGCCGAAAACACTTGGGAAATTGTTTTGTCCTTTCAAATGAAATTTACAATTATGGAAACTCCAATTGCCACTAATCAAGAAAAGGTCATGGTTACTTAATTACTTATGTGCAGCAATCCAGGAGAAAGAAGAACCCAATTCTCCCAAATGAACTCCACTCCTTCCTCTCCTGTAGAGACTATGCTAACTCTTTTGACCTCCCCAAAAATGGCTCTCATAGCATTTAGCAACAATTAAGACTTATGGGATGGCTAGAATGCAAAATGACAAGCAGAAATGATAACCAAAAAAAATTGTATTCTGTAATATTTTTCATAAACAATTAAGACGTATGGGATAGTTAGAATCCAAAATATTACAGAATACAAATTACATTTCAAAGATACATGAAAAATATTACAGAATACATCCAATAAAGTATTCAACTCACTACTGTTGTCGACATCACCAGCTTCATCATCTGGTAGTTCAGAATTCTTAATTCCACAACCTGTTGTTTCAAGATGCAAGGTAACTGGGAGAAGTCCTAAGCTAATTGGGAATGATAAGTTCAACACCAGAGAATGATCCTCCTTCATAAACATGTCCTACACAATAATTAATTTACAAACAATCCAGTCATCAAGTTGATACTAAGTGAGAGACTATTCTAAAATTTTGGAGCACTTAAAAAAGCAACTTCATGCGGTACTTACATCATTATGGTACTTGGAAAGAAGCATTGACCAAGGTGATATTTCTTTCCTCCCTGCATCAGGATTAAAGAATTGCCCAACTGCCATGGAAACTGCAGGTGGAGGTCTGCCTGAAACAGTCTGACCATCAAATAGTTATAATACATGGCACTAATTCTTACATATTTCTGATTTCGCTTTTAAGTAACTAATTTTATAAAAAGGAAAGTAGAATTCACACACTATAAAATTTTTTAAAGAAGAAACCAACATTTTTAGGTTGTAAGCATTCCAACCTAAATCTGTAAGAAGAAAAAGTAAATCAAGCAAACAACACTTCGGAAACTTTTGTAGTAGAGAGGGAAACTATAAATGGCTAATTCATTTTATGGAAGTAGAAAGTGAAAATCTAATTTACAGTAAGTGAGGATCAATACCGGTCGAGGTGCAACAGAAATTGTAAGAAATCTGAAGCCATGCATATCCTCAGGTCCCAACATCAATACAGCAGAAGGAGGAGCTTGCTCAGTCTGACTCCCAGGTTCAATCTAACAAGCATAGCAGCACAGATCAATGAATGAATTAAATCCTAAACCTTCATACATCTGGTCCAGGAGCAAAAAGATGTCAGAAAAAGAGAAAGATCCACTGCATAAACAAAACTAGTACCTGTCTCGGTGCTGGTCCTGAAGGAATTTGCACCATCTTTGAGGTCACTTCAAGAACCCTTTTACTTAAAGGTAACCCAGCAGACTTTCCCTTTTCGGGCCAAAGATGAAGTCTGACCCCAGAACATGGTAACAGGTTCGTTACAAATATAAAGTGGCTTTTGCCAGTTGACCCCTACAGAGAACAAAAAGTTAGAAACTATACATGGAATAATGTCAACTAACGGGAGGGAAGATTGATAAAATAGTGTCAACTTGGATGAAATTTTGAAGGGGGAAATCCCCTCAAATTTAATCTTATTGAGCGATAGAAAAATCTATGAAGTTAGATAAACAAAATCCTAAAGCTTGATATTGTAGATATTTGGTGACTAAGGCCACATAGGACTGGCCACAATGGGAATCTATTATCTCATGAAAAAATGAAACAATAACATGTTGGGTCAAAATTCTCAAGATTGCAGATGTAATCATTACTGAAGCTAACCAGTTTCTCCAAGTCCAACCACCGCCTACGACCATCCATGGCTAGAACAGTGACAGTACTCGTCTGAATATATAGGTCCCTCTCTAGGCCATCGTCACTCCAATGAATGTTTTTAGGACATGCATCTCGAGAGAGAACCACAGATCCTGCAATATAATATCCCTGCTATAATTCTTCTAAATACAGAGGTTGTATTAGACAACTTTGCATATATCAAAACTTGAAAAGCTAATGAATCCATTAAACATCGATGCTGATTTTTTCTTCAAATTTATTGCCACAGATCCAACGCGAGAGAACAAAGAGCTCTCATATAGATGGATGCAAACTAATAATTTTATCCATCCATTGGAATATAATTTTATAAAGAGCATAAGCAGCAACTTTAATGCGCAGACACAAAAAGAATATAACAAACTACCAGATGCGACCTCCACGTTTTTAGCAGGAAGATGTGCTGATTGCTGAGAACTGTGTGATTGGGTCTTCCAATTGAAACTCTGCGGTATTCCACTATGGAGCATTCTGGTCAATATAGAGAGTCTTTCTTGAGTGGCCAAAAATGGTTGGCCTGTATTGGAGTCTATCAAACTAAGAAGGGTGTGTGACACCTAGCCAAAAGGAAAAATTTCAGAACAGTCTCAAGACAGCTTAAACTTTCAAAGTTGAAGATAAATTTTGCTCACCTGTATAACTAATTGATTACACCACAAAATTGCCTGATGTTCCATTGATAACCACACATTTTTTACACCTGTACTGCTGATCATAAAGCCATGTGTAGGAGGAACAATCCCATCCAGAGATTCTAACTTTGACCTCACCTATAGACAAGGATGGAACTATCAACATGCATTGAACATATTGAATTTATCGTAATATCTCTCCTCACCCCCCTCCAAAAGGAAAGGAAAAAAACAATAAAGGAATAAGAAACATAATACTCTAAAGCAAAAACCTTAATAAAGATTTTCTATTTTGCAGAATAGAAAATAAGTTCTTATAATTACAGAACAATCAAGAAAGTATACTGTATACACCACAAGAGCTCTAAGAAATTAATCAAATCCCAAAAATACATCCATCTCCTAAAGTTTTCTACTTGTTAAAATATCAATGGATGATAAAAATTTTCATAACGCGTCATCTTAAACTTTTGGATTCAACGGTGATTTAACATGGTACTAGAGCAAGATGCCTTGCGTTTGACCCCATAATATCATTTCCTCTCCTCCTAAATTAATATTGATAACCACTTGTTATATCTTGTGCAAATCTCCAAGCTCACAAGTGAGAAGGAGTATTAAAATATTGGTAGATGATTAAATTTATCATAACCGAGTTAGTAGTGAAAAACACTACTCTGCGGCCAAAATATTACCTCTAAACTCCTAGTAAGATTAACATGCCAAATTCTTTTATCAGCTCTAGAAGAAAGAGAGATACCTTCCTATAATTCCAATAACTCCAATAAACCTCTAAATTCCTCGAAGTCTTCCTCTGACAGATTTATTCTGGCCAAAATTCTCAAAGACTAAGTTTTCACGTCTCGAGACTCCAAAAACATATAAAAGTTTCTGCTGAACTAAATAAAATTGAAAATTGCAACTCAAAAAGCTGACAGCCTGACATCACCCATGTATTCTTCCAAAAAAGAATCATTATTCCATCCCAATCTTAATAACTGAAAACTTATCCACATGGCCCAATAAACTTTCATTAAAATGAGAAAGTGAGAAGAATAACCTCAAGGCCAAGGAGATGGAAAAATAAAAACCCTGCCTAAAAAGAGGAATCAAACAAAACCCCCAATCTTAGTTGATAAATTGAGAGAAACGAACTCAATCACAGGAATTTATTTTGGTATTTTTTAGTCTCCTACATTTTCTTTCACCCAATAAATATATGAAGGCCATAGACCTTCAACAAAGTAGAAAGTTAGATGCTACGGTCTGTGTATTCAAGCCAAATATGCACGAGAAAAATATTATCCTTTTACTAGTACATAAAAGGCTTTGAAATGTAGTTTAATTAAGACAGAGGTCCCACATTGCGTTAATTGGCAAAGAAGAAACGATGCAAATGTACCTGATAATCATGATAGCCGCCGGAAATTGAAACTACAACAACGTGTGAAAGCAGAGGATCAGATGCATAATACCCACTTCGGGTTATTTGAACCTCATAGCCCTTCCTCCACTCCTGATTTACACGGGTGAAGTACCGACCCAAAGATGGTTGCAACGCTAGAGGAGGTGATCTGAATAACATGTGAAAAACAGATGAAGCACAAAATTAACAAATTAAAAGTTTTCAAAGCATCAAGACAGTAACTCACTGGTGAGGGCTAGAAAGTGTAAGAACTGTTTCAACAGCCGATTTTCTAAGTCTAGGATGCACGACTGCAGCTCTTGCAACAAACCCACCCATAGAGTGGCCAACCAATATCACACTTCTAGGCAAACTTGCAGAGTCAGCAGCACCTTCTTTTGCTCGGGCATCAAAAGATTCTTTGTACTGATCTAGGATCTGCACGCGTAACATAGTAAATTGGTAATGAAGTGGAGAAATTTAACAAAAGACTTGTTGGGCAAACCCACACCACAAAACCATTATATTATTTTTTTAAACAGATTGAAATAGAATGAACAAAAGAAAATGCTTTGCAATATTCCTGCACGAGGAAAGAGATAGGAATGAGCAATGAGAGAATGTGGAACGATATTCCTTCCTACCATATATCACACTCATTCACCCTCCCCTCTTACCTTGGTGGAAAAGAGGAAAAGAAATCTTGAATATGGTGCAATATATTAGACAAAGACAACTAAACTACAAAACTTTTTAAGAGTGATACCCTGTGGATGGCATGTACTACATATTCTGCATGTTCTTCAAGTATCCCACCGTCCATAGCAGAGTGTTCGCCTTCAAGATCCACTGCAAACCAATCCAATCTACGTATGTAGTGGTCAGGCAACTGCATGCCAGCCAAATTAGTGCCTGTCTCACTCTCTACCTTACCTATGGAAGCCTCCTGATAAAAAGTGTGTTCAAGTGGGCCTCCTTGATAAGCCCTATCAGATTCTGATGCCAAGGATCGCACCTGTAATTAAAAAAGTTTTCAAACGAAAAGCATAACTACTATTTACAAATTAGGAAAAGAAGGAAAATGTACAATTGATTTCTGACTTTAAATCAAATACATAATGGAAATGAAAGGTCAGAGAAATCTATATTATAAAAGAAGAAACAGAAAAGGAAGAAGAAGACCTTGCCTGCTTGTAGCTACCTCCATTTCCTGGAATGAAAAGGACTGGAACTCCACTAAGTTTCTTAAGATGCTCCTTGAAATCAATCTTTTTCCATCCTTCGTGATACAAATACACCCCATATTTTTCTGACGACAAGCCAACCGGTGAGGAAATTGGAATGTATGTTGGATACATGTACGTCATAATGCAACCATTAGAAATTGGCTTTAGAATTTCATATGTAGCAGCAAGGCTGATCCATACAGTCGCAGTTATAAGAACAGCAATTTTGATTTTGGCTCTAAGGTCTTGCATCCTTGGGAAAGAGCAGAGCACCCAGTCCTCGTTTAGCTCTCTCTACAAAGCTCCCATAAATATCGGTTTTTAATCCTATAGAAAACACCACAAATCTGTAACCCACCTCAAAATCTACTCTTTCCGAAACACAAAAACAAAGTGCAAGAGAGACAATTTTTTTTATTTCAATTAATACTCATCACAAACTACTTCTCTTCAATGAACTTCGTTCTTGAAAGAACATGAAAAACCAAAACGAGATGGTTGGATTTGGATCCACTGCGGCAAAAACGTGAAGCATGAGCGGGAGTAACAGAGTAAATGAACTCCCCATGGCTATCCAATCCCATGCCAGACCGCCATAAATAAGAAGACATAAAAACAGCAACACGGACGATTAAACAATAACATCTCAACCATCATACGCATTGGACTTCCAAGTCTTCCAGACTAAACAACAAAAAAATCTAAAATAAGCACAAAAGATACACAGATTACATCTACAAACAGCTCGTTGAGAATTCAGATCATAGAAGGACAGCAGAAGAAATAAAGATCGAGCTAATTTCGCATCCAAATCCATCGAAGCACGCAGCATCCAGGAGAAACAAGTCGACGACGAATTAAAGCGAAAACTGAAAGCACTAATTGAAAATACAGGAAATGGATCTGATCGAAACACCAAGATTCGGAATCTCTAGAGCAGAACAAGAAGCATAGCGAGTTGAGAGAGCGAAAGCTTACCCGATCCGTGAAGCGCAAAGGAAATGGCGGGAGCATGAGAGTGAACTAATCAGATCGTGCTGGATATATTTCTGGAATCAGACCTTTTTTTCCTTTTTTTTCCTTTTTTCCTTTCAATTATTCTCCTTTTCGAAAAAGGTGCAGCAAATTTTTTATGAGAAAATCTTATTAGAAGAGGAAGTATAAAATAATTGAAAATATATTGAGAGGTTTGACCAAACTTTGACTCTTGATCGACCGTTATGTCTGCAAAAGCAGGTTTTGAGTTGATGTGGCGTGTTTTTACTGGTGGTTGAAACCGCGTTTACGGGGATCTTATCATCCCCCCTTCGATGCCACCGAGACTCCGCGACGAGATTGGGGGGTTCCTTTTTGGCGGGGATAAAAATAAAATTTAGGTTAAAATTATAAAGTAACTTATATTGTCATTAATTAATTTTGAAAGTTTGAAATTGTAATTATATTTCTGAATTTAAAATTTTAAAAATTCCTCCACTCCAATTTTAGTTTTTGTTTTATATGTTTATTAACTTACATTCTTGACTTATTGATAAAAAATATTAATTAAAATACTTAAGCAATTAATCTAATATATTAATTGCTAAGTATTAAATCAATGACTAACCCATGATATTTTAGGGGTGAAATGTTTATTTCATTTACTACATTTCTATGAATTTTTTAATTTAATTTTTTCATAAATATTTATCAACATTTTTAATGAAAACATCAGCATTTTCTTAAAGTTGAAAGTTTAATATTTAAAACTTGGACCTCCTGCGAAATCTTTAAAAATTRCATTCTTTTTTCTTGAGTACTTTAAAAATTGAATTTAACCTTTTTTTTCTTGGAAAAATAATTATAAATGGAAGTTAATAATTTAAGAAGCAAATCTCCATTGCTTCTAAAAAGGAAAAAAAATAAAAGGTGCAAAATGAAGGAAAAAAAGAGAACCCAGTTTGCATTTGCTTGTTCGGGACAAAATTATTTACCTCGTCTGAATTGTTTTGAACTTACTTAAATTGTTATATTTAATTTTGAAATTCGACTAATAATTTGAAAAATGATTTTGTGAAATATTAATAGATAATTAAGTCACTAACAAACAAATTTATCACATCTCAAAGAAAAAGTAAACATTTTAGTAATTATTAATGGAACCAATAAACATTTTATTTCTACCACAATAATTTAACAACAAATGGTTAAATGTCTATCTTCATTCTCAAATCAATTTAAAAAATCCTAATTGTCAAATCATAACCACATATATGCTAATTCATAGTCTTCCAACTTCTTTTTTTTATTTCTTTAAATATATAAGAATCCAACTTTCACAATTATATTTAATATTTCTTTTTTTAACCATTAAATGCGTGATAAAAAGCATTTTTCACTTTCTCTATCATACATCCAACAATTATAAAATTATCAACTATTGTGTCAGTCATGTTAAATAATTTATCCAAATAAACACTATTTTAAACTTTTCATCCCTTTCTAGTTGATAACGTTATTTACTACTTTGATTTTTTCATTCCCTTCTAGCTATTAAATGTTATCTTGTACATGCTACAAATTTCAACTATATAGATTCATTGGCATTGGCAGCATCACCGTCACTTCTCTTATTGGTCGTCGTATTCTTTAGTATCTGTATGATCACGCAAAGTAACATAACGATGAAATTCTATCAAGAGTAAAGATTAGAATTGTGGATAAGAATACACAAGTATGACTAAATGGATCATCGTAAGAACATTTTAAGAGTGCAACTAAAAGCGTAATAGAAATTATGATAACATTTAAGCGAGTAGATATTATCGTAACGTAAATACTATGTATGAACTATATCATTCTTACACTGTGTAGATGGAATCCTCGAAAGTTAAAAGTGAGTGAATAAAATAAGGAAACTTTCATATCCAGACAAGCTTGCAATATATGATGGAGCTAGAAACAATTGCAAGGAGAGCGAAAATAGAAACATCTTAAGCAATAGAAAAGTCTTCCATGTATAGATATAGAAAAGACCTTGAGAGCAAAACGTAGTCTAGAAATAAATTTTTGTGGACTAGGAGATGATTATCTATATTCTCCATTCCTCACAACTCAAATGGAAAATGGAAACAATATATAGCAAAGCAATTGACATTTCATCATAATTAAAACGGAAACAATAAGCAAAGCAATTGACATTTATTGTTTGTGCATGGTCCCTACCAACCTACCAAGTATCAAATAAATCACCACGAACAATATTTGCCTACCCACCTATTAATAGGAGCTCCTACAGGCTATATATAACATCGGTTAATGGGTCTATAATTTCCTCATAGTTAATTAAGTGAATCTAGTTGCACTCAAAGAAAAGAAGTAAATTATTTTAAAATTTGTTAGCTAATAGATATATAAAATTAAAGGTTTAAATTTGTGTCTCCACATGTTGTTGAATTAGAAAATAATAATATATATGTCAAAGAACTCTTATAGTGTAACCGTGTAAGTGAGTATTTTCCACAAGGAGACCACAAACAAACATATTCTATGTTTTGTTTATAAACTACGATGATTGTTTAAAACCCTCCTTCGATGGTTCTCTTTAAAATAATATATCCATATGTATTGTTTAGCTAATAACATTTTCTAATCCATCCCATTATTTTTAGTTAGGATTTATTGTTTGTGAGCCTACTTTTCTTGGGGATTTTTTAAGGTTCAATACTAAAAGGTGGTTAGTTAACCATCATGATATGGTCGAGTGATCGATAAGGGCCAATATAAATAGTCTAGGCTTAGAGAGAATGAGTTCAGACTACGGTGACCACCTACTTAAGATTTAATATCCTATGAGTTACTTAAACAATCAAATGTAATAGGATCAGACGATAGTCTCTTGAGATTAGTTCAACTGTGCGCGAGCTGATCCGGACACTCACGAATATTAGGAAAAAAAATACAAGATAGCTAGTTACTTTCCATTCCATCTTTTTTCCTTGATTCATTGAGCCTGGTTCTTTACCATGAAAATATTTAGTATCTTCACCAATTGAACTATATTCTAGTGGGTAAAAAAAAAACGCATCTTATTACTATTTCTAATACTAAATATTGAAGTAACGAACACTAATATAATTCAACTTAATCCTAACTCAATTGATTAAGACATGTATTTTCAATTAAAAAATTGTGTATTTCGAACTTAGTATCGAAAAAATAAATAATAAGAATGAAACACTAATATAAAATTGAAATTAAGCATTTCAATGTGCGCTAAACAATAAACCATTCATAAATGGAGGAGAGAGGGGAAGTCTAAAGGATAGGCCAACTGCCCAGCAATAATTTATCTAATAAATGTCATCGTCCAATAGTATATGCTTAGGAGATTAAAGATTTGACACTTCATGGCTAAGGATAGATGGTTTCCCACTTAAGGAAAATGAGTAAGTATGAAGCTAATCAGATTACATAAATGACAATATATCAATGTGATGGGTTTGAAGACGTTATGATCATGTGCATAAAAGAGCAAAAAAAAAGGGTAAAGAAGTGGGGGTTGACGTACTTGTCTAAGCATCTGATTTTCATTCTGTAACGTGGACAGCTTTTCTTCAAGCTCGGAGTTCCTTTTCTCCAAGTTCGTTGCTCTAATTTCCAATTCATTTAGATACGCCTTTTTCCTCTCCCTTGCTTGCTGGGCTGAAACTCTGTTTCTTAACAATCTTAAAGAGAGAGAGATGAAACGTGTCACAAAAATGACATGCAGCACTCCCTCCACACATACGATACGGCTGAACAAAACGGCAATTAGGCGTACGATACTTTGGTCCCCATTCTAGCCTTACCTCTTAAGCCTTTTGCTTTCTTTGTCAGCGGCGCTTCGTCCCCTACTCCTAGGGCCGTCTGATCCAGCGGATTGGGCCCGGGCTTTACCAGACGCTGAAGTGCCGCCGGCGGAGGCAGAGTTGCCGCAGATCTGCGGCACTCTGCTGATCTCCTCCTCATCGCTGTCTACTCCTATATCTTCGCATAAAAAAATAAATCAAAACGTAATTCTGCCTCAAATACACAAATCGAGATGCGATTCCCGGAAATTTAAGAAACTGAGAGAGAGAGAGAGAGAGCTAAGAGTAGCATTATACGGTCCTACTACAACAAAACTTCAGAAGCTTGAACCAAGAAGGATAATCCTAAAGGAGAAACTGTCAAACTGGAAGGAGTTCAGAATCCGATACAGAGTCGTTGCAATATCTCCAGAGAAGAAGGACGATAAAGTTTTCCAAAACGAAACTCTTCTCCGATCAATCAGAAGAACAGAACAAAAAAAATTACTGCTAACGATATCCGATAACACTTCGTACAATGTTTTCAAAAGAAATATTGAACACGAGAGATCGTAAAGAAAACGAAAGGGAATCGAACCTTCTTTAATTTCACGTTCAAGTTGGAAGGCAGAGCTCGATGATCGCTCGCTGCTCGAGCGCAGACGACCAGCAGCAATCGGATTGGCGGCGGCGGCGGCGGATCGTTCCTGCATTGCGCCGGCGAATAATCAACACCGAAAAAATTGATGCGATAGAAAAACGAGACAAAGACGTTGCTTAAAAAGAAAAGGAAAACTAAAAAAGAGCGGGATGAGTTCGGTAACAGTGCATATATAGATAGGACAGCGAGTTGGTTTAAGTTGAATCTAGCCGTTGATTTTGTTTTCAATCTGACGGTTAGTAAAGTAGCAACGTGGAGGAAGATGAGCTTTACGAAGCGAGGTCAATCAAAGGTCGTAAAAGTGGAAACGTGGAGTATGTTGGAGCCGTATGATTTAGGTACGAATTTGAGATATGCGGATCAACATAAATTTCATTTTAGTCAACGAGTCCATTTCAACTAGAGAATTAAATCATTGTCTTTTTAAATAGTAATAGATATTTTTATTTGAGCTTTTATCAATATCTATTCTAATCTTTAAATATCGAATCAACCAATACAGTCACGGTCAAAAAAAAAAATTAATGCACGTCCTGTGTTAACATATGTATGCACATTTTAAATATCACATCATTCATACATTATAATCGATGAAAAAATAACATCAATGATAAAAATATTTACTTTAACTTTATAAATAATTAATTATTAAACATTCTAAAAGTCAAAGGACCTAGTAGTCTAATTATTTATTTATTAATGAAAAATATAAATGTTTTAAGCCTACACTTATAAATAATTAAAAAAATAATATATATATATACCAACATTTACTTAGTTCCGTGCTGATTAATACTTAATTTTAATAATTAAGAGGTTATAATTTCAAATCATACAGATATATATTTTTTAAACAAAAATCACCAATTACATGCTTCATACTATTTTGGAAAATATTATTCTTAACATGAATGGTGCCATCAATAAAATAAGTCCCACTAATTTATTATTATAGGCAGGTATTTCACATCTACAGGGATCTTCGTAAGATATAACCTAGAAGTGTCGTATTAATTATCGCCCGAATATATTTTAATTGATCAAGACTTATATCACTAAAAATTAGAAGCTCCAATTCTCGATCCCACATATCAATAAACTAAAAAATGAAAAATAAATAAAACTGATCACATTATTTAATAATATCATAACACTTCTAACTTTCCTAAACCGTAATTCTCAGGAATGTGCTCAAAATTGTCAAACAAATGAAAAATAAAAATAAAAACAAATATATATACTTTCAATTCAATCATGAAAAAAAAATTAATTTAAAATAGTGTTTTAGTCCATTGCATTCAACTTAATTCATGTACTTTCAAAATGCTCGTTTCAATCCATATACTTTCAAAATGTTCATCTTGATCCCTATATTATTTTCAATAGCTTATTTCAATTCTGTTGAAAAATATTTGTTGATCTCAAAAGTAACCATTTTAGTCTCTACTTTAAATCATGATTACATTTCAATAAAAAATATATTGTGCATAGTATTGGATTTAAATTATGATAGAAAAAATAGATTACAAATAAAATTAAATGATCAAAATTGTCAATTTTCAAAGTCATCATCACAATATTTCCATCCCCATTAAATATATAGTTAACAAGACGGCAAGTGTAAATAAGTTCTTCAATGACCATCACTCTCATAATCGCAAGTCCAAACCAAGTCATATTCCTAACACCGCGTTCGGCATCCAACCCAGAGCCACCTTTTCACGAACTAATAACAATATGAAACGTGGGATTTAAGTACATTCATATTCAAATCATTGCCAAAAGCACAAATCAAGATGGAGAGTAGAAAAGAAGCTAACCGTTTTAGGGGATTGGTAGATGAAGAAGATCAGGCAGATTTAGGAGCAGATGGATCATAAGGCAGGCGTTGATCAGGAACCCCTTCTTCAGCTCTCTCGTCTTCAAACCATTTCACTATTCTTTTGCGGGGCAGATTTGTTACTTGGACGATGCTACTAATCATTGAATTCTGTAAAAGGATGTTAAAAGACACAAGTTAGGTTGCAAAGAGAGGATCAGAAACAAGAAAAGACACGAAAGGAGAATTTCGGTGACTTAAGAGACGAGAAAAGAAGAACAAAAAGAATAACTCAAAACCAGCTTGCTTAGAGAATCAAACGGTTCATGTCTGCTTTTTCTTTCAGTGTCTTAAATCCTCAATGAAGATGATAGACCTCCATCCGGAATGTGTATGCCAGGAAGAAGAGGGTGCGTGAGGATTGCGAGGAACTTGGGGGGATGCCGATGGGCCCAAGTTAGTTATCGAAAGGGTTGTTTTGGGTATTTTGTGTGTTTATATATTGGCAGTAGGAGAGAGAGGTATTTTTTGGCTAAGTTGTTAGTGAGGTAAGTGGAGAGCTGGGAAGCTCTCATATTTCTCCCTTAGTTATGTAATTCATCAATAAAATAGAACTGGTCCCTATGCGAAGCCCTTTCTGCCTAGGACTCAATGAGTTCTCATCGTGAACTTGTAGAATACGGGTAGTTGAAATTTTGCTCCTCTATACCCAGGGGGCACCCGCCCCACCCAAAAGCCCAAACCTGAGAGAGATTTTTGGTATTAAGTTCACTAAAAGATTTGAACTTGAGACATCGAAGTCAGTATGACTAAGAAACCCCAAGCCCTTGACATTGGGCTGCATGAACTTGTAGAATACTTGGTATTTCAAATGATGATCTCTAAGATATCACAAAATTGGTGGGAATGGCCCTGGCCTATCATTGTTGTATTTACAGCAAATTGATTTGTTTAACTAATTTCATACGTTCATATATATAAAAAACCAAGATATAAACGTAAACATCGAATCTCAGGCATTTATTAACTTCTAAACATAATTATCTAGCATCCTCGGATATCTCGTTCATACACATCTCACTCTGTGAAATTTGATACTCATGATCATTGAACACATTTTATCAAAGACAATATGATCCCTACTTATAGTTTTAACTTATGATTCAAATTCTTTTCCACAGAAAACTGGCATAGGAGTCAGATACTCAGAATGCAAAGATTTCATGAACATTTTTTGATTCATAACTGGCGTAGGAAACTATACTTACAGTGGGCCGCTTTGTTCTTCTATACACTCTTTCAAGAGTTTCTAATTGAACCTTCTTCAGTCTCTTTTGAACAATCCAGCTCTGCTGCATGACATGAACAGGCCCCTTCATCACTTCTGCCTCTTCTGTAGTATCTACTATGGGTTCTTCATCAGTAGTTTGTATGGTTTTAGTTTCTGGAACCGATGGTGTGGGAGTGTCTGATAGAGTAGCACTCAACATCAGAAGATTCGGTGGTGGTTCACGAAGCAAATCGAGTACGATAGCCCTATCGAGACAAAGCTCGGCAGCAAGACTCTTGATCTGCAAAGTAAACAATGCATCAGAGCATTTAGCAAGATGAATGGATGGCATAAAGTAAGATAATCTTGCAAAGTAAAAAATGCATTAGCATTTAGCAAGACTCTTGATCTGCAAATCAAACATTACACTGGGGAAGTGCGTCTTATACCAAACCGAATTGGTTCAAACAGTTTCTGTGTTTTTCGAAATGCACTTTCATCACATAACTATAGCTGAATAACAAATCCGTTTCAATTTCTTATTCAATCGCAATGAAAACGAAAGGTTTCTGGTAGCTATATTGAAGAGAGTTACCGAAGAACACAATTACGCATTTTCTAGTTTGCCAGAATGTTGCATGAAGTGCATTACGACTTGTTAGAAAAAAACTCACGCTAGTTTTACGGCGGCCCTTTTTCAAAGCCGAGGCTAATCGTCGAAGTTGCCAGTTCTTAAGTTTTACAGTCATTTCCACTTCTTCCTTATCCCCGAGATCTTCTACTTCTTCTTCTGCTTCTTCTTCTGCTTCTTCTTCTTCTTCATCATCGATCCCAAGTGCTAACCCTAGCTCACGTTCAAGTTTGGCAAGATCTTCTTCGCTAAATTCATCCCCTTCACCATCATCATCATCCAGTGAAAGCTCATCATTCTTGAGATCTTCTTCCAGTAGACTAAACAACGCCTCGAGAGCATCCCCATCTACATCCTCCTCATTTTCCTCCTTGTCTCTAGCTTCTTTCGGAAATGAATTTCTCTGCGAAGATGAGCAGAGTAGCAGACTTTAAAGTTTCGGATAAGCTCAATTCCATGATCATGTCAATGCAACACAAACACTCAAAATAGAACGAACATCATATCATACAAGTCTTACCTTCTTTTTCTTCGAAGACGATGAAGACGAACTGAAGGCTGATTTCTGATTCCGACGGCGAGCAAATGTAAGAGAGAGTGTGAGACGAGACGGAGGGCGACGCGGAAGAGTAAAATTGGATGGAAACTGTCGGCGAAAGAGGAAACTATCTCTGCCGGAAATCGACGGCGAACATGGAAGCGCCTCCGGTGCCTTCACCGTCGCCGAGAAAGCCATCGCTCCTCACTTTGTCTACAGACCCCGAATTCAACCAATATCAAGACGGCAAGATGATAAACCTCTCTGAAACGACGCCGTTTGATGCGCACACGTAAACGACTCCCTTTATTTTATTTGGAAGTAGGCTATATTCGTAAATTGGAAATAAACTTTTGAAAACAAGCCTATTATTAAAAAAATATTGCAAATATAACGTCAAATGGTAAACTTAGCAGGATGATAATAATAATAATTATTATTATTGTAATTTAATGACGGGGAGTGAAGGTTCTAAACCTACAAAATTTTGATGAGAAGAACTCCGGAAAGTCATTTTCAAAAAAATAAAAAATATCATCCGAAAAGTAGTATGGATATTTCTGTTCCATCAAGTATTAGGTACGTTTGCCTAAAAAAAGTATTTGGTATGACTTTCAAAATTACATAAATTATTTTTAACTAATTAAAAGTACTTTTCAAAATTTTAATAATATTTGATTATATGATCAAAAGTACTTCGGAATCCAATATTTCTATTTATTGTTTCTCATTTCTTATTCCATCCAGAAAAATACAATTGGTTTAATAATTATTTTTATTATTTTTTTTACTATTCATTAATTGTTTTTATTATTTTTTCTTTTTACTATTCATCTCTAAAATTTTAAATTTTAAAAAGTAAAGAGTTTTATATGGAAAATTCATGTTTTTAAATTACATCATTTTTTTATGTTTATTTAATATTTGATATTTATTATGAATTTTATAGGATAAAAATGATAAAATAATACTTTTATATATGTTTTGAAAAAAAAAAGTAAAAACTCTAGGGAAAAACAAGAAACTTGATTCTATTGTTTCCAAAATTTTGAGACAAGAAACGCTTTCTTAAAAGTGAAAGTCTAAGAACATGATCCGTTACAAAAAGTTCATGTTTCTTTTTTATAACACAGAATTGATGTCGTGTGGCTTAGCCAGTTGGATCCCTATAACTAGGAGGTGTCCCTAAATAGAGAGGGAAGGTCTGACTACGTGCCCCGCAAGGCTCGAACTTGGGAGGGAATATCCCCATTCGGGCACAAACCTACTACTCCACCACCCACCTGGAATAAAATGCTCATATTTCTCAAAAGTTAGAAGCGAAAACATTACCAAACAAGTAAAAAATGTTTCACTCATTACTTCTAAAAACTCATTTCTTACTCGATCTTGAAAGTAGTTATCTGCTTTCTGAAGCACAAAAGTAATGAAAAACAACCAATAATTGGGAGATTTTTGGGTTATAAAGTGATGTCATGTAATATATAAGCATTTCCTTTATAACTAAGCTGCCTTTGCTGAGCCCCAACACTCCATAAATGGCCTTGCAATTCCAATCCACCCTTCATTCCAGCTGTTTCCCAAACAAATTTAAAAACTCCCATTGCTCTATCAAGCTGCTTCACCCCATTCCACACCATTTTCTCCTCATCACAACTCAAAATCCTCCCCATAACCAACCAGAACTTCTCATTCTCAACATCCTTCAAAACCCCACCACAAAAATCCACTTCAATATCCCTAATATGCCCCCAAAGATAGAACATTAAGAGAGTGAATAAGCACCTGGAAGAGTGGCCCAGTGTCTTTGAAAGCTTCCTTTGCACCAGGCTTTCTTGGTGCTTGGATTCTTTGTGTCCAATGCTTTTATGATCGCTCAGCACATCTTTGATCTGGGAGAGCCCCTCTTTCATCACCTCCAGCTTCGCCACGTGACGGAGGAGAGGCTTTTCGCCTTTTAAAGAGCCGATCAGATCGTCGAACATCTCAAGCATGTCTTCCCATCTCGGCGATGCGGATGGATCGACAACGGGTTGTGATGGCGCTGGCCGCATCCATGAGGTGAAGTGAGCGTTTGAGTTGGTGGCATCATCCAAAAACTTGAGGCAACTTGAAACTATCTGCTGCCCCATTTTGATCCCTTTGTTGTTGGTTGATTGATGAGCCAGTGGATCCAACTCCAGTTTCAACTCTTTCAGCATATGATCCAATGCACCAGTCCAAATGTGATGCTGCGTGACCTGTCAACAAATATATATATAACTACTTATGATTAGATTACAAATTTGGTCTCTACCGTGTTAAAAGTTTCAATTTAGTCTCTTGATTACACCGTACAAATTTTTCTTAAACCATCTATTACCTACCCAAAAACCCACCCGTTTCCTCCTACTTTTTGCTCAACTTTAAACTCACATTTGACAAACACAAAACATGTTACGTTACAATATGTCAGGAACAAGGACAATTAGAAAACCGTTTATAGTTTAACCAAAATGAAACTTTTAAAGCCATGGAGACAAAACTAAAACTTCTAACAAATCATACATAGCGCTCAAACGATGAGAATCAAATCCGTAATTTAACTAAAAATCAAACAAACAACAACTAATCCACTTAATTTTTCGAACTAGTAATTTATCATGATGTTACATTAGTATGTCCAAACTTTGAATTTCTTCGATGCATTCATGTTACTACTAGTTTAACTTTTTGAGTTTCATGGTGATTAGACCGAACCTGTGGGCATATAGTGTGGCGCACCAATTTCCTTTGTTGGGCAGAGACGTTGAGGAAGTTGCTGATCTTGGTGAGTGAATCAACAACCATTGGCTCTCTTTCACTTGAATTTCCGAAGCACCACGGTGGCTGGCAATTTGTAGTAGACGATTCAGCCATCATAGTTTCTGTTACTCTCCTCCGGGCCGATGGAGAACCAACGAAGACTCTTACGAGGGACTTAAAAGCACGCATTCTCTGTTCAATACGCTCATCGAAAATGGTTGAATCATCGACAACATTAACGAGGCGTCCGTCGATCAAATCCACATTCTTCAGTGAGCAGCTCAGTTTCTGTATCTTCCGATACGCATTCTCGTACCATTCGGAGGGTAACAGCTCTTGATCGGCGGAGGAGTTCTCTGCGCTGTGATATAGCATCGGATTTGAATGCAAAGCTCCATATCTCGTGTTGTTAAGATGGTTTAGGCGAGGGATGAACAACCTCTGAGAAAGTTTATGCGCCAGAATCATGGCTACAAAATCACTTCATGAACTTACGGAGGAAGCAACTCTGCCATGGCCTGAAACTTCATTGCAGCATTTTGTCGAACAGGTGGAGGGCATACCATTACAGAAATAAAAACAGAGAATCAAGGTTGTTGAAATCCTGGTATAACGAGACTGAAATCAAAGATTGGCTTACCGGAACAACGCCATTGGGACGAACATTAACGAAATCAAGCGAATCAAAATTCGACGAAGTGAAATACTCCTAACTTCGGATGACCGGCGCCTCATTAAATCGAAGAAATCAATACAATACTTTTGTATGGATTTGAACTGTGTTTGTTTTATAGCTGTTCTCAATTTCTCGTTGATATTAATTCTCTGGATAAACAAACCCCTGGCTAAACTTAAAGCCGAACAAAAAAGCGTTTGAAGAATCTGACCCACCAATTTCTCTTTCTAATAAGAAGCAATAATTTATTCATACATGTAATTATGTTTTACCTTTAAGATGGACAATATTCTTCTCTCCAAATATCAAATATGAGAAATAGAGAAAATATTGTATTTTTCTTCCGATCTTCTCTCCGGTCTTGTTATTGTTCATACTCATTCTTTAATTTGTAGTATTTATTTTGTTTGGTCCTTTTCCTTACTACTTAACATTTGCCAAAAAAAAAAAAAAAAGAGAAAAACATTCTTCAAATGTTTTAATTAAAAATATAATCTCACGACTTGTAAATTTTTATTTTTGACTAAAAAGTTGAGTTCGTACTTAAAAAAAACTACATTACTCTTTTTTTATGTTACATTAAAATTGAATTATGAGCCTTTATATTTGTTTTTTTTTTCAGTCCGAGCCTTTATATTTGGTGAGTATTTAAAAAAACGTAATATTTTCCATCTAAACGTAATATTATGAGTTCAAACCCCCACCCCCAATCTTGTACTAAAAAAAATGTAAATATCAATCGATCAATGGTTAAAGAAATAATTCTACCTCTCTTAAATATAAGAAAAAAATAGAATTTATAAAATACATTAAAACAATTAACCCCTTCCCCGTTTAAAATGATTTGCAAGTTTACACTTTTATCCTTAATTTCAACGACCCATTTGTTAAAATTTCATGAAATTTTCAACATTTCAACAGAATTATGATGAATATTATTTAAAAAGATCAAATCGACAATATTTTAAACCTATTGTAATTAAAAGAAAAGGCAAATTCATCTCAGAAAAAAAAGGCAAATAGATAGAATTTGTTGTTCGAAGAAACTAGTGCCATTTCCAAAAATTAAATACCTTTATCGAAATTAAATTGGGAGGCGACTAAAAGACTAATTTTAACTTCAATACCACTGTGAATACACCGAAACTGCATTTGAGTATGCATCGACATCGCTATTCATGACCTTGTTCATAAGTAAAGCAGCTCTCTCTCTAGCTTTTGCAGATCCTCGTACAGAAAGATCAGCCACGACACCCAAAAACTCCGGCATGCTCAAAGCATCTCTCAAACAACTGTCACTTTCATCGAACAATCGCAAAAGGATTTCAGTTGCACCTTCTTTACTCAACATACACCTTCCCTTCAACACATTAACCATCGAATTCACAATGCAATCAGTTTTCATCAAAGCCCTCAGCCCCTCCTCAAATCTAGCCAAGAGTCCGAGAACGGTAAGAGCAGTGCCAGCAAGATCCTCCACACCAGTACTCTCCACTACGCTGATAAGAACCGGGATGGCTCCCGATCGAACTGCCACAGTGCAGTTTCCATGAAACTGGCCTAGTTCAGCTAAAGAACAGAGGATGTGATGAGCACCAAGAACACTAGGAACTGAGAGTGCTCTAACCAATAACCGTATGGTCCCTGCTACCCCAAACTTAGCCTTGTTCTTGTCTAGCATCGCGAGGCTGCATATCAGTGAGGAAGAAAGCTTGACGGTTTCGGGGGAGCCCAAGGATATGAGTGCATTGAGATGGTAGATGGTTTCCATCGATGCAAGAAGCCTTTTCATGTCGTGATTCAGAGAAAGATTGAAGAGAATGGACAATGAAAGAGATTGGATGGAAGAGGAAGACGATTTGGAGAGAGCAATAAGAATTGGAATTGCCCCATCTACTTGTGCAAGCAAGTTCCTGTATAGGGGACTAACCTGGGTGATGGAAACCAAGTTTTGAAGAGCCTTTTCCTGAACTTCGAGGGTGTCCGACCGAGCATCAGCTACACACTCTGTAATGGCTTTATGTGCAGTTGCAACAGTCATGGACCTCATGGATGAGGATGAATGGAATGATGCAACCGACATGATGCTCAAACAATCTTCTTGTAAAAAGCATGGAAAATAAACAATCTTCTTGAGGATGATTTCAATATCTAAGCTGCAATATAAACTGGTAGCCCTTCACTTTAGCGGGGCAAGGGAAAATAAACTAATGTCTAGATTTTGGAAACATCATTTTGATGTTATCGAAGTATAGGTAAGGAATGTTCTTGTCTTGTAACGGTGATATATATATATATATATATATATATATATATAATCAACATAGGTGGAGACAGACAATGATCCAATCATCCAAGAATAAGGCCGGAGATATAAAGAAATGTCACCAAGTAGTGTAATCTGTCCAAGTAGATGAAAACAAGCCAAGTAATGTCACACCTCATAGTTGGTTACTCCCCAAACAAAGTAATTTATCATGAATTAGAATAGTCCCTCTATATTCAAGAGAGGAAGAGTACATTGACGACTAAACACCATAACAGAAGTCTAAGACATCCTTCAGAGCATGTTAAAGTTATCCCTGATCGTCTTTGATCCTAGAAACTTGAGGTTTTGCAGTTGAAAAGATCTGAAGAAAGATAAAATCTATATATTTCTTTCCCTCTCTAATCAGTCAGACTGATTTAATCAAACTATTTCAATTTTCAATCTTTGCCCTGATCATGATATACAACTATTTCTGAGTTCTCAGATGCGCGTTATTTACTGAATTGAAAAGGAAGAGAAGAAAGAAAGAGAGGGCATAATCAGAAAAAGATGCAGTAGGCCATAGCATTATTCAGAAGAGGCGGAATGATGAAAGAGTAGAAGAGAAAGAGAACTCACAAGGAGAAGGATGACGAAGAGGCCAGAGTTTGCTACTTCCTGAGGATGATGTCCTCTGTCAACAACAGTTGTCAGGCCTAGCAAAGAGAAACCGACCTCACAATTGAGGATTCTGATGAAATTTGCAGGAGAAAGGAACAAGGGTTTAATATTCAGAAATTGCGAGATGGGCCTGAATGCAGCAAAAATCTACGTCTCACCAGATATTCCATGATGCCGGAAAATGTAGGCACACTGAAAAAATGGAATTGAAAAATCCAAGCAAATACTTCATTTTATAGCATGAATACATCTTAAACAATGGAACCAACAACTTATCAGAAGAGAGGCAAAAATCAAGCCAGAAATAACCAATGTCCAATACTAACTTATTCCAATCGAGATGATATAACAAGATTCACACTTATTATATATCAATAATGACTTGAACAGATGGTGATTGGAAAGTAAATTTGATAATGAAATACAGAAGTTGGAAACAAACAATTGATGGAGAGATGTTCCAATCCATCAACATATGGAAGAAACTGTCTCTTAAACGACATTTACTCCATCCAAAAATAACTATGAAAAGCAGAATAGCTTAAGGAATGGTGCGCTGGTAAAGAGGCAATGCTCCCAAGGCCTCACGCTCTGCTCTCTCCTTCTTTACCTGCAAAACACAAACACAGCAAAAAAAAAATTATAATAAATAAATAAAAAGATCTTTAGCTGCATTGGCAATTTAGTGCTGCTTTCTCCAGTTTAATAAATACCAAAATTCAACAAACATCAATACTTATTTTTAGCTAACCGAATTCATTTACCCAAAAGTTCAAAATAAAAAAAATGCTAATGAAGAAAGTATTCAAGAAATCTCAAAGGATCTGTAGCGCTAAAACGATGCAGCAAATCATGCAGCCTCTCTCTACTACTACTACACAATTAATAAATTGAAGATAGTTTCATTCATCTAAACTGTAACATGAATCTTAAACAATCTGGCACATCAAATAGAAGAAATGAGGCAAGAATACTTCACGACAGTCATTAAATAATCAAGCCTCTGTCTGTCTTCCCACCTTTCTCTTCAGCTAATAAAAATTCAAGAATCCAAACTAATAAAACCTAAAATTTAAATTACTGACACACATTTTCTTAGTTCGTACAAGATAAAGTAATTTCACTCAAGCAAAGTTACAAGCAGAACAGATTGAATATTCAACCACAAACAAAGTCCTACATAATACCTTTCTCAAGATAATCTATTAAAGATTTAAACATATCATTCCTATCCCCAAAAAGGGGAAAAAATGATTTAAATATATCTCCCAGAAATTGAGATATCTATCTAGATCATAAAATCTAAAATCATAAAAATAAGAACAGAGGAGATCACAAGAAACCTCAAAGGGGAAACTAGAAAACATTATAAGTACAGTAAAAGGGCAACTTGAAAATTTCAAGAGCAATATTAGAAAAATATAGAACGTAACCAGGTTCCATCTAAGCTAACAAATGATAAATATTAGCAAAATCAATAACATCCAGATACATTTTATAGGATACAAAATTCAAGAGAAATGTCTGACACTAAAACACAGAGCAGGTGCATTTATTTTCTGAACAGCGCCAGACATGGTAGATTCGACATAATGGATAGAAAGACTTACAAGTGCCAGCATATCCTGGAGATAACTCCTGAACGGTGTTTGCATTGCCTGCCAAAAGGTTTACCAATATTCAAATTAATAACCATCTAAAGGGGAAAAAACAATTAAACAAAAACTCATGAACAGTTCATTTCCTGTGACCGTGAAAATTGTAGAAATTTAACCATAAAGTTCACTGATAGATCCTACTTTTGGGAATAACACGTTCTTCGTTCGCGAAAAATTCTTGTTGAACAAACCAGAACATGTAGGCATTCAACATAACAACGATTCACATCCAACTAATTTCTGATTCTCCGCGAGGCTCTACCTGTAACTGACTAATCTACAGAGAAAATAATACCCATAGTAGAAGCGAACCTGGAGATTCTCAGGAAGGTACAGATGCTTCATGGAAAGGTCCATGGCCCGCTTCAGACGCTGATTGCGCGCATCAACGATCTCCCTCGGAAGTCGATTCAAAGCCTCCTTCACATCAATATCGTAGTACGGATCATACAGATCGTCGTATCGAAGACCTATAATATTAATATTACCCAAAATCAATCTTCACAAAACCAAATTCGAAATCAACCCTATAGGAGAGATAAATATACAACAAACTGAATTAGGGTTTCTTTTTACCAAAATTACGGAGCCGCTGGGAAAGCGCTTTCATGTGTTGACGAGCGAACCAGTTCTTCTTCGGGTCTATGAACGACTGCAAGAAGGACGCCATTTCGATTTCTCTCCTCCTTCCTCAGAGAAAATTCTCTCTCTGATTTTTCTCACTTCCCACTCCGGCTTCGCCTCTCTAGTTTTCTGGAAGAATTTTGCGACGGCTCCGGGATTGGAGTATTCCAAACGGATCGGCCCATTTAGTATAAAGCCCAATATAGCCCATGATATTTTGAGCCCAAAAAATAGCCCACAATCTTTTTGGGCCCATATTTCCAAACTAACTGGGCGGGTCATAAGCATGAGACCTAGAAATGTTGAATAAGAAACAAATTTTAATAAATGTCAATTTACTAGATTATAATAAATATCTAAATTATATTATTGGAAATATTCCAATATTTGTGAATTATAGTGTTTTTTTTTTCTTTCGTGGCATTCTAAAAGAATTTTCAATTATACTCTAACCTTTAACCTAGTTTGAATAGTCGGAGCTTCTGTCAAAAAAATAATAATAATAATAATGGTGGAGCTATTAGATCTCTGTTTTAGTTTTTTTACTGTTCCATAAAAAAAAGGTCAAATATTTGTGTCTCTACTTATAAATTATAGGTTTGGATTTTCTCTCCTTCATAAGGTAATTTATTTTTTCCTCTTAATAAAAATAAATTGATATAATGCCCTTGATAAAATATAATTTTAAATTAGCTAAGTGTTCGGTCTGAGTTAGACTTCTTTATGTTTTAACTTTTTAAAATAACATTTTTTCATACATATCTAGTGATTTCAATTACAATGAGTGGTGTGATAGTAAACCGTTATAGATAAGTGTATAAAAATCAGGTATCTCTTGAAACACCAGAATTTTTGAGACGTGACAAACTCGTACTATTGAAAATATTGATCTGACATCAACTTGGTAGTTCTGCTAAAGTAAAAACCTTATTTAGTTTTAATGTTTATTGAGTTTTTTTTGAAAATGATGTTTATTGAGTTTATATTATATTGTTCTGTCTTTATATAAATATATGTTTAAGGTGCGTTTTCAAGTGTTTTAACTATGCTATATTATGTTTTGAGCGTGTTTCCAATATATTCGAAATTACTATATATAGCATCTTTGAGCGTGTTTCTAATATGTTTGAAATAACTATATATATTTTTAATCATGTCAACTCTTCAAATCACATGTCTAAAACTTGTCCAATCACGTTTATCATTGATGGACTTATGTCAAAGTAGTCTAGTTCACGGTTAATTTGCATTTTTTTAACTATATATCTATTTGTTTAACAAAAACGTTCATCCATCGTTTAAAGTTATTGTTGGCATAGCCCATGGATGCTGCCTTTCAAGTTCACTTCCTTATTTCTTAGGGGAAAAAAAAGAAGAATAAAGCTTAAATACTTAATTACTTGTTTTGTTGTTTTAAATTAAATTTCAATTAATTCTTATTCTAAAAACATGATTATAAAATCGAGAATATATTTAAAGTCCGTAAAAGAAATATTTATTTAAAAATATATATACATCTTAACCCATAAATATTTTATTTATTTATTTTACTTTTTGAATACGAGGAAGCTAGGTTTTTAATCTTGGACTTGACAATGAGTATTTTGTCCATTAAATTAGTAACGGATGCGGGTTGACTTAATATGTGAAATTTTGTTACATTGGAACAATAATAGAAATTGTGGATTTAATATTTGTAATACCATTTTTTCTCCTTAATTTTTTTTAGCGTCTAGCCATAATAATTGCTATTTTAACCGTTGAGCTTTCTCCAACTTTATAAAATCCACATTATTGTCTAAAGTTGTGTTTTTAAATTATTATTTTTAATATATTTTCAACCTATTGTATGATATTAAATTATAATTAAATTCAAATTTAAATATAATAAATTAATAAAATATAAAATAAACAATTTAATTTAAATTTGGTTTATAATTTGACTGTAACCTTACTTATCTCCTCTTTATAGGCAAGAGGTTCAAATCTCTCCATGATGTGGTACTAAAAATTTAATTTAATTTACAAATAAAAAATTCTACCTCTATAATTTTATTATATATTCCAAAATATCATTAGTACTACAAAAGAAATGTTGTCTGTTGGTATACTATTCTTGTTGTCAACATTATTCAAAAATATTTTAAAGTCCCAGAGACATTAAAGTGATATATACTTATGAAAGAAAATTCAAAATACAGATATATAAAGTAAGTACCATAAGAGTACTAGAAATTATCCGTCTAATGACAAAAAAAGAAAAACATTTCAATTAGTAAAAGCGAGCATAGCTCAACCATAATTGATATATTTTCTAACCAATAGATTGTGAGTTCGATCGTCCACTCGCACACGTTGTACTAAAAAAAGCATTTCAATTAGGGAAAAAAAATATTTGTGACTTTGTGTAATATATAAATACCTTTTTGAGAGATTCGAGCATTTTCGAACCTATTAATTTATCTTTTTTAGAGTTCAACAATTACACGGTTGAAAATCTAACAATAAACTTTGGAGATGGTAATAAACGTCTCATCTACTCTACTAAGCAGAAATCAATTATAAGTTAAGTTCACACTAATCTTATAGATTGAATTGAACCGAAGCAAAACTAAGAACAAATTTGTTAATACGAATGTAATTCAATCCAAAATGGTATCAAATTTGTAGATGTGTTGTATTTGAAAAGAAAACAGTAATTAAACTATTTCGAATTAAAGAAAAAAAAGGGAACTAAAAATAGAACGGGGCCATGGTGATGGCGATGGCATGCATGTTAAATAAAATGGAACGTCAAATCGAAATTGGAATGTCACTTCCACAACTCCCAAAGAACTTGGAGTTATAATGAATGGAGGAGAGATTCGAGAACCAGCGGAGGTCCCCTTTTCTCTCATGAATTTCAATTTTCAATTTCGGCAAATCCTAATTTTAGCCGCACAGCAATCTGCCATTGACGGCCATGGATTAGCATCGCTCCATCCCCTTATTATTCGATCGCTTTTCAATTTTGATCAACCGAATTGAATGTGATGTGCGTACGAATTCAATCTTCTTCAACCGTAATTCCAATCCTACATGTGCACGATTCACAGAGAGGCAGAGATTTAATTCTTTGGAATTCAAAGAAGACCGTGGTCGCTTTGAGGCGACAACCTGCAATCGAAATCGACAGAGAGATTAGGGGTTACGATTGAGGATTGAGGATTGAGGATTTACAATGTCGTCGTCGCATAAGAAGAAGAAGATGGGACTATTAGGAAGATCAATGTGCGGGAGAGAGCCGGAGAAGGAGATTGAGCAATTGTCGCGAGACGACGGCAGCCAATACAGTCTCACCGGCGGAATCCTGCCGCCGCTCGGTGTCAACGGCCGGAACAATCGCAGAGGCAAACTCCGCGCGCACATTATTTCGCCTTTCGATTACAATTACAGGTTCCAAAATCTAATCCCTAACCTCATTCTTCTTCTTCTCCTTCTGCTTCTGCTTCTGCTTCGATCTTCAGATTACTGTAATTAATTGCAGACTTTGGGAGACGTTTCTGATATTTCTGGTGCTCTACACCGCCTGGGTTTGCCCGTTTGAGTTTGGATTTCTGGATATGGCCAAGGGAGTTCTTGCAATAACCGACAATGTTGTCAATGGATTTTTCGCCATTGATATAATTCTCACTTTCTTCGTCGCGTACTTGGACAAATCCTCGTATCTGCTCGTCGACGATCCTAAGCTGATTGCTCTGCGATATGTCAAAACCTGGCTGGTCTTCGACGTCGTCTCCACAATTCCGTCGGAACTCGCCCGGAAAATTCTTCCGCTTCCTGTTCAGACTTATGGCTACTTCAATATGCTTCGTCTATGGCGTCTCCGCCGAGTCAGCTCCATGTTCGCAAGGTAAAAAATGTCGCCACATATTTCACAAACCCACCTTACTAATACTAACACTAAAATTTTTTTTACCTTATCTAGCTTTCAACAACTGCTTTTTTTTTTTTAATTATAATCTTGGTTTAGTTGCTTGTTTACTTTGATTTTTCAATTCTGTATCTAATTGAATTTGTGAAATATTTTTTCAGTAGTTTAGGAACTTATTATTGCACACAAAATTAAAAATTAGGTTGAACTTTTGCTAAAGAAATGACTAGAAATGATTTAGTCATTATATTTTCAAATTGGTAACAATTTAATCCCTGAACTTTAGTATATAGCGATTTATTCCTTATCATGAAAAATCTCATCAAAATTACGTGTCATTTTTAATCATACCATGATTTAGTCTTTATAGAGTATAATACATTTAGTTTCTCATTGGTTTATCGATCTACGTATATAAAAAACTACGTTTTCATGATAAGATTAAATCGTTATAAAATTCAAATTAAAAAGACTAAATTGTTTCATACAAAAGTTTATGAACTAATCCAATTTGAAAATAAAAGGCTAAATCATTATAAACTAAAGTTTGGAGACTAAATTATTACCTTATCAGAATTACATGGACAAAATGTATTTTTTAACGTAACAATTAATCTGTTAGATATAAAATTAATTATTGTAGACACGTCATAAGGCTGTAAAATTAAAAATTAATCTATTCTTTTCTAATGTTAACACCATTCTTATTTTGTTTTCAATTGATCATGCAGTGCCCTTCTGGATGCAGAAAAATATTTAAATTCATGAATATTCAACATAAACTAGAACATAGATCAATACCCACGTTTGCAAACTTCCATGCTTTCTTTCTAGACCATTGATGAAAATATTACTTCAGCATCTCTTTTTCCTTACACTGCCATTAACGGTGCTTTCTTGTCCCCTTCAACAATGGCGACAGGTTGGAAAAGGACAGGAACTTCAACTATTTCTGGGTTCGATGCGCAAAGCTCATATTTGTAAGTAGAAACTACAAGAACATGTTTTTACTTTTAAACAAGGAAAATACGACTAGTGAGGACCTATCTCTATCCTGCCACAATTCATTATTTTTTTTAATAGTGGTGGAGACAAAGATAGGTCATCACTAATAAGAACCTAAATATCTTTCAACAAATAATACTTGATGTTGACTAGTCACTCACCGCCACTCAAAATTTAACAGTTCAACTTTTTAATAAGCAGAAAAATTATCTAACTTCCTTTCTCCTATTTAAGAAATAAGTACCGATGGGTCAACACTCAAGTATTATTTTTTACTCTTAGTAAAAAAAAAAAAAAAGGCTGTGTTTATGAGGGTAGTGATGGGGATTATATTATAGGTGTGTCTGTTTGCAGTTCATTTTGCTGGGTGCTGCTTCTTTCTAATCGCTTCACATATGAGTGACCCCAAAAAGACATGGATGGGGCTATTCGTAGACGACTTTCGTCAAGAGAGTTTGTGGTATTGTTATGTGACTTCAATTTACTGGTCAATTGTCACTCTCACAACCACTGGCTATGGCGATCTGCATCCTGTCAATGAGAAAGAGATGTCATTTGTCATCTGTTACCTCTTCTTTGTTCTGGGATTGCAGGCTTACCTCATTGGTAATATGACTAACTTGGTCGTCCATGGCACCGGCCGAACCAGAAAATTTGTAAGTCTTGTCCTCCTTTTTCCAGAAAATCTGTAACGGTTGGTTCATTATGAGTCGGTGTTGATGTTTTTGAATGGATTACTTCAGAGGGACACAATTCAAGCTGCCTCAAATTTCGCCCAAAGAAATCAACTACCAGTTCGGCTGCAAGAACAGATGCTTGCGCATCTGTGTTTGAAGCACAGGACTGACTCAGAGGGATTACAACAGCAAGAGACAGTTGATGCTCTTCCAAAAGCCATTAGATCAAGCATCTCACACCATCTCTTCTACTCCCTTGTTGATAGTGTTTATTTGTTTAATGGAGTGTCCACCGACTTAATCTTTCAACTGGTAACTCCACTCTAATTTCAAGTTCGTACACTAATTTTTCAACAGTTGAATCTTACTTTTTTAAGTGGTTTTAATTCTTTCAAGGTAACAGAAATGAAGGCCGAGTACTTCCCTCCCAAAGAAGACATCATCTTGCAGAATGAAGCACCAACAGATTTCTATATAGTTGTCACTGGTGCTGCTGTAAGAGCTAAAACAACCCTTTGATCCCCAGTTTTTTCTTTTTCTTTTCCTTTTCCGCTCATAACCTGAGTATTATTAAGCTCACGGCCCCACCCCGTCTAATTTATGGGAAAGCTTCACTTCATCAAAGATTTTAAGTCGATCTCCGAAAATCTCGAACCCTTACCGCTAGGACACTCGCTTTCTTTTCGTCTTAGATCAAATGAAGTCAAAAACAGAAGAGACTAAGTGGTGTACTAATCATCCTTCTACCTACAGCTGAATAACATACAGATCATATGCATAGCAACTGAAACTATGGCCTGTTATTTCTTTCTTTATGACCACGATTAGAAGTTTTACAATCTCGTGCCTCTTCAAATGGTGCATACTATTTCTTCTGATGTTTACTCCATCTTGCAGGATCTTATCATACAAAGGAATGGATTGGAAGAGGTAATTATGGATCTCTTTCCAATTTACACTATCTGCTGCCAACGGTGCATGAAAGATTCTTATGCAGTTTGTTTTTGACATGGACTGTCTCAGATCGTCGGTGAAGCAAAGCCAGGAGATGTCATTGGAGAGATAGGCGTTCTCTGTTATCGACCACAACTGTTCACTGTTCGAACCTGCCGACTGAGTCAACTGTTACGGATGAACCGCACTTCGTTTTTCAACCTAGTGCAAGCAAGTGTTGGGGATGGGTCAATAATAATGAACAATCTCCTCAAGGTCAGCAGCCTTTCAGCCCTCCTTCCCCAAAACAAAATATGTAAGCATAATGAAGAGAGCCTGAAAAATGCACCTCTTTGTTACGGAAAGAGGAGATTACAAGCACGCTTATATCAAGATATCTATGCATCAGCAAGACTAATTTGCTGGAATTTTATGAGTTTCAAGAGGATAAAACTAGTCATAAAATTTGCTAATCTCTCGATATTGAACATTACATATCAATGATCTGCAGTTACCTCAATAAGAATGTGTAGAATGTCAAAAATGTAGTGATAACACTCTAATGAAAAGTAAGCCTACTGTGCCGAGTGACTCGGATACCTATTCTGTGTTAAGTGAGGGACGAAAATTTTAGTTTCTGTTACCTGAATTTTGGTCATTTATGCAGCACCTGAGGGAGATAAAAGACCCCATGATGGAGGAAATTCTGCAAGAAACACAGCAGACACTGACTCGGTCTGGGATGGAAATGCCTCACAGTTTATGCTACGCAGCAAACAATGGCGATGACTTATTGTTGCATAAGTTGCTAAAGCGGGGCTCACATCCAAATGAAGTAGACAACAGTAATGGGAAGACACCACTTGTAAACAAAAATCCTATGTCTTTTCTTCTTGTTTATATTGCTGCTTAGATCTCGACCAATCCATAAAAATTGAACCATACAGCTTACTTGGATATTTTTCATAATCAGCATATCGCTGCATCTAAAGGAAACGAACACTGTGTAGTTCTACTCCTAGAGTATGGGGCAGACCCGAACCAGAGAGGTATTCCTCGTAGTAATTGCTGCAACTTGATGATCAAGATTTAATTTGGTGTGGGTTCTTGTGTCATGCAGATTTTGAAGGAAGCACTCCCCTGTGGGAAGCAATACAGGGGAAACATGAGTCTATAGTTAAGCTTCTCATGGACAATGGTGCCGATATTTCTGCGGGTGACATTGGCAGTTTTGCATGCTCTGCTGCTGAGCAGAACAGCACAGATATGCTCAAATCCCTTGTCCTATGTGGGGGAGACATAACGCAGCCGAGAAGCAACGGAACTACTGCTCTTCACATGTCAGTATGTGAAGGAAACAGTGAAATGGTTAAGCTCCTTTTAGAACAAGGAGGTGACATCGATAAGCCAGATATTCATGGATGGACTCCTCGTGCCTTAGCAGATCAGCAAGGCCATGAAGAGATAAAAGAACTATTCTCTGCTGTTAAGCAAGCTGCGAGTAAACCACATACTGTTCAAATTCCACAAAGTCTAGACCTACCATACATGCAGAAGTTCCAAAGTGAGTCGAACATGCCTCGATTTTCTCAAGAATCCTCCATGACTCCTGTCCGAGAATCAAATTTTTCCGACATTCCTCCAAGAAGGAGAAGGAACAATAATTACCGAAACTCACTTGTCGGGTTTATGGCAACTGCCAATACCGGTGAGATTGCATTTTGCATATTTGAGCAAACCATAGTCTTAATTCCCTCTGCATTAAATCAAAGGTGTCCCTTGAGAAAACTAATTAGGAACCAAAATAAACTTCAATCGGTCTTGCTAAGCAGTACAAATAAACCTAAAAAAAAATACTATTATACTTGGTCAAACTAGTAAAACTCGAGATTCAAACACATTGTGCATAAGATTGGCCCTCATTTTCTAAAGCTAGAGTTTTTATAGATTAAAAGTGCAGTTCAAAATCATACAGGTGATGGGGACAGTCAACCATCTGCATCACATGGTTATAGTGGTGGCCAGAGTGTGGGGGAGGGTTACCGAGCAAGAGTTACTATCAGCTGCCCTGAAAAGGGAAATGCTGCAAAGCTTGTGCTCCTACCAAATTCCATCCAAGAACTACTTGAAATTGGAGCCAAAAAGTTTGGGTTTTACGCCACAAAGATTTTAACTCAAGAAGGAGCTGAAATTGAGGATATAGACCTTATCAGGGACGGTGATAGACTCTTTCTTGCTGGTGATGCTGGTGCCACCCTCCCCAGTAGCCACCAAGAATTGTAGTACTCTTTCATACCAGCCCACCTGCTGCCTGCTTAGTTTTGCATTCTAAAAATGTATACTTAGTGATTCTTCTTCCCCCCTACTTTATTTTTTCGGGGAATTGAAGTCAGAGAAATGAGATTCAATATATTATATTTGTGCTCTGCACAATAAGGACATATCATTCATGATATAATTGCCATTCTCTATGAAATTTCAATTTCTTTATCTTTCAGAAGACTCGTTCATAAGTTCCTGTGTAGTAACGGTATCTTTCCTACAACAAAGATTAGGTCAGATTTTCTTCCCCTCTTTACCGTGGCACTTGCAGAACCAAGGGAGGCCATTCCTATTAAAATTTATATTGTAATATAAAAAAAAAACGAATATCTGCTCCAACTTAACTGCAACACAGCAAGTGACATAGCTCATCCAGACCAAATAATTAATGAAATCAAGACATCACATCAGAGCGTTCAAGTAACTCTGAAACTTAGCATTAGTGAGAAACGACCTTCTTAGGCTCTATGTCCTCTTGAATCAACACTTGAACCTGCAGGTTGCTATCATTGGAACCACTTCAGTTCCTCAAATAAAGAACCCTCCAATTGCAACGAGAATTATTTATTTACTTATTATAATTGTCTCTTAATATTCACACCATCATTCTTCATGCCTCCTTGTAAACGCCAATTCTGCAGCTAGGGCAATGTGATCACTGCCCCATTTCTGTAAAACAGTACAAAATAAAATTACCGTAAGGAATTAAGATTCAAGACATTGCAAAAGTTTTTTTCTTTTTTTTTTTTTGATAAAAAACGATACTTTCATTGAGAAAAACGAAAAGAGATACAAGAATAACAAAAGGGGCCTACAAAAAAAACAGCCCCAAGAGAAGGAACCCCTTAAAGAAAATGACTCCAATCCAAAAGAATGAGACCTAAGGTACGATTCTTTATGGAAACTTAAGCAACGACCAGTCTCTTCAAGGCAAGCTCAGTCATTGGCATAGGTTGGAGCACCAGCCCCTTGCCATGATCTATTGAGACTGGTGAGCTCAGCTCCCTCAACATCTTCACATGTAGATGAGGTCAAGGGAGGAGAGAATTTCTAGTACTCTGGTAAAGAAAATTTTCCATACAACTATCATTCGTTGTTAACCATGTCGGCAAGGGATCTAAGAATGATGTGGGACAATGAAATAAAAGAGTATATCAATTAATTATCTATACGTCAAAATATAAATGTAGAGAAAGTGATATATTTCGTCTATAAATTTTTTTTATATTTGTAAGTGTCCCGGCCAACTGCACACACCTCGACTAATCTCTCACACGACAACCACCTGACCCTACTACATTGGTTACCAAGAAAACACATAGAAAATTAATTTCTAGGTGACCATCATAGAGTTTGAACTCATTCCCTCTAATTCCTGAATGTTGTTTGTCTAGTCCCTCCACCCACCTACACACCAATAATAAACCAATTTCCTTTAGATAACAATGAAAGTGTAAAAGATAGTTCCATATATATAAAAAGAAAAAAAAAACAGAGGTGCAGTTGAGGGAGTCCGTGTATAGGGTGACCTGGAGTATTGATGCTTCAACATCATTCTTGACGAAGGCTACCTTTCTTCGTTTTATTAAACCATCCCAGACCACTCAAATCTCTCTCCTTTCAGCTATATGGAAATTTCGGTTTCCTAAGAAAATTAAGGTTATGACTGCCTTCAAAGGAAACATAGGAACCGGTCCCTTTCCCCTTCAATCTGTCTGCTTTGCAAAATGGAGACAGAATCCCTCGACCACATCTTTCTCCATTGTCCCTTCGCTCAAAAACCAGAAAAAAACCTGAAGGAATTTGCAACAGCAGAGGTTTTGTGGAATATTTGGCTGGAAAAGAATCGCAGAATGTTCGAAAACACTTCTTCTGAATAGCCTATTTTGTGGAGTAATTGTACAACTTACTACTTCGAGATGGTGCTATACGTATAGCAAATTCTTTTGTAACTACTCATTCTCCTCGATCCTCCAAAATTGGAAGGCTCTCTTATTTTAGTTTCTTTGCAGAGAGGTTTCCTCTGCCCCTTGCCCTTAGCTTATTCTTTTTCGTGTGATTAACATATCCCTTATGTTTCTTTTTCTTTTCTTTTTTTTTAAAAAAAAGAGAAGCCTGAAAATAAATTCCCAAATAGAAGTCAATTATTTGTAATTATAAATAAAGTAGAATCACAAAAAACAACTAGTTGCAAAGAACTATGAAACGTTAAAGTGCCCAAGACTCTGAATGTTATTTGACATCCCGTTTATAAAACCCTATTATTCTTTAATTTTTTAGAAAACTTGAAGTTAATACATCTTACCTTTGTAGGAAATCCAGGAGTCAGCTCCATCATGACATCTTTCTTTATAGGGGCAAGCACCTTGACCGTCTGGAGACCTTCTGAACGCCTATGAATATTAAACAGAATGAGATAATTTTGAAACTATTGTGAAGTCTAAGTACTATTTATTTTGATAAATCAATTTCTATCAGCCCGTGCAAATTCGATCAAAACACACATTTTGGTCAAATCCCTTAAATTCCAGATAAAAGCAGAACTTTAACATGATTTATCAATTTATGAAAACTTTACCATATGTAGTCAACAGTGCCCAGAAAACACCTATTGTAACTAGTCACCAGGGGTTCCCAGTTCAAGTCTCTGGTCCCGGAAAAGTCCTACAAAGATGCACACTACAAAATTACACAAAGTGTTTCCAAAGGAAGAAGACAAAGAAATAAAGTAAAAAGGGATCATATCAAGTGATTGTCATCTTTTGCATCGGAGGACGAGAAATATATTAAATAGAATCTTCGACCTCAGTTTCTGTATACGTGCTTCTAAGCTTTAGAGGGTGTTCCATAAGAGTACAATCTCCATTTCCTGTTGCAATTTCTATTTCCATTGGAGTCCATAATGAGCGATCATGAATAGTATTTTCAACTTCAAAAGACTTGGTATTCAATCCTGGCAAATCATCTCCAACTCCAGTGTGCGGTGCAACCAAGCTTTGATGTCTAACAGATTGATGAATCTCGGACGAAAAGGGTTCTTCATCAATGTCATGCAAAGCTGAGAGAAATGTACGATCATCCTCGGTTAAGCTTCCATCTAATGTGGCTACATCCTGCTCATCTGAAGATAAAATCTTCAGTCGCTCATCCACTGCCAAGTTAATCATGGGCGGTGACAATGAGGGACCACCTTTAATATTTCTAGCAGAGCTTTCCTTCTCAAATTCAGCAATTGGGTGGACAAAATTTACCACTTCAGAGGAGTCTACAGCAGCGTCAGCCATGAAGTTTTGGCAAGCAGGTGTAAGAGGAACGTTCTTAGAGGCCAATAAATCTGTCTGTCCATCATCTAAGATAACATTGTTGACACAGTTTTTGCTTTTCTTGTAAAAGTTGACATCCCTATCCAAACAATCCGTAGAAGATCTATGGTATAAATGAGATGCTGAATCAACTTTTTCCATCTGTCTTCTCTCAGTTGCATTCAGATGGAGTTCTTCGGAGTCAGTTCCAAAAGGAGAGACTAGTTCACTGACTTTTTCACTGATATGATCAACAGTAAACTCATCTTCAGCACATTTGATTGAACTATCCTTGAAGCTGTCTACTGAAACACAGAAAGTTGTTTCCCCCACATTTTTGTGGTAAAAAAAAGCACCATTCTGACCTTCCTTTTGCCCTTCAGAATGTAACAAAATGCCCTTCATTCCAAGTTGGAGATCATTGCAAGAATTATTAGAAACACTAAGGACACTGTCAGAACTATCAGGGGGTAAAGACTGGTTCACCGATGGAAGATTCTCATTTTCCATGCGGCTATGTGGGTAATCTTGATTCTTCATGTCAGATAGAAAACTATCTGGCTTCCTTTCAATATCTCTGGAATCTGACCTCAGTTGGAGAGGGACTGAACCACTGGCAGTCTGAGGCCTGCACATTTGACAAGCTATTAATTCGATTTGTGAATAAAACCAGCTATCCTTACGAAGATCACATTGCATATAATCAGCCAGTGCAATGATTACCGAGGATTACGATAGAGTGATGAAGGTTGATGAATCTCAGCTGAAGATTGTCCTGATACCTTGTCTCTGTCCAGTCCGGACAATTCTAACTGTAAAAGGGCAAAATACATTGATTATAGGATTTTGTCAGACATCTTTACTCTCAAAATGGAGACAACCCCTTAAAAATTATTACCTTCTGTTCTGAAATAAAGTTGTACAGCGCACTCTACAATTTAAAAGAGAAGAATTATTATTATCATAAACATATGAAAGAGAACTAAAACACAATATATGCAAGAGGTCAACTCCACGTTACACAATTAGTTCAAGGTATTCTTATGGATGCTTAACAATATAACCTTTGGTGTACAGTTAAAATCCCCGCAGAGAACAATTGGAGCATTGTTCCAGATTTTTGAAATAGCGTGAGCCTTCTCTAAGAGAATCCTGACCTGCTCAAAAAGATAATATGAGCCAAGCTTATGTAAGCAATCATGAAAAATGTTCACAGCTTGACATGAAATTATATGGAGGGCCTAGTGCCCCAAACATCTTCACGAACTCCATTATAAGCAAAACTTATACAGCATAATGCCAATTTGCAGTATTCAAGAACCACTATAGAGCAGAACCTATACCGTCTACTCTCTCTCCTAATGGGAAGAGAACTTGAAAAGTTAAATCAGAAATTACCTGGCCAAGTTTAATTTCTCCTCTTTTAGGGTTGTAGAGCACATGTATATTACATATAACAACCTTATTGAAATTTGATGTGCTGCAACGATATAATACAAAACTTCTTAGAAATTAAAAATGCAATAGAGAATAGAGTTCAAACATATGAATTGAAAGCAAGTGTGGGATATTGTTAATTTTAACAGTTCTTTCTGGGCTTCTATTTCTTAAAACCAAGATTTTAAGAATTTCTGTAACTATCAGTTAGGTGTTATTTCTTTTGGATTCAATGTCCTCCACATGGCAGTGTTGTTTTAGGTTTGGGTTCCTTTAGTTAGGCTATTTTTTTGTATGCCCTTTTATTCTTTCATTTCCCGAGAAATTCTTTGATTTCTTCCGAAATTCTCAATGAAAGCTTGGTTTCTTATAAAAACAATGAAATGATGGTACAAACAAAATGGAAGCTATGAACTTCCAGTTCCAGGTGACGGATGCAGAACTGCAAAATAACTTGTAAAATTGTTTTACTTATATTGTGTCAAAATCAATTCCCATCACAAGAGAACGTATATCCCCACTCCCCCAGAACCATCCAGACAAATAATGCATCATAAAAAGAAAGACAAACAGTTCACTGGAACTTGATTTAGTATCCGGAACAATGGAAGGGAAAGGAAAAAGAACAACTATCAAGGGAGCTCTAAATTTATTTTAAATGAAAGATCATGAAACAAAAGATCAAATGTCTACCATTATTCATGAAACCTCCTCGACGCTAACTTAAGACAGAAAAGAGAGTTTAATAACAAGAGATAACTCCTAATTACCTAATCGGTGGAGCATCTGAATTGTCAGCGTTATCTTGACTCCTCTGCTGTTGAACAAAAAATACTACTAAGTAACATAGTATTAATGGCAAATGATAACCAATAAAAAATGGTCCCAGGAATTAAAAAAATAAAATAGATACAAACACATATATCTATAGTTGAGTAGGCATCAACACACATTTATAATAGAATGAACGTGTGATTATATTAAGTATATACACATGTGATTGAGAATATATTAAGTACATACATAGGGGTGCTTTTAAGTAAATATACACGTGTGATTGAGAATGTATTAAGTACACACATATGGGGTGCTCTTATTAGTCCTTTGTATTCAGTACTCTCATTTTTTTTATATTTTTTGTTTTTTGCTGTTCTTTTCATTGTATCTTTAAACAATTTCTTGTTCCTTTTCATATCATCAATATAAAAAGTTAGTATCTTGTTCAAAAAGAAAATAAGTACATACATATGATATCACACAATGCAATCAAATTTTTAACACTAGATGAAGCTAGCAGAATATGATGTACACCTCAAGAACACATATCTGGGCAACATTGTCCCGAAGTCCAAGCTTATTGAACTCAATACACTCCTCATGCAGAAGCTTGAACCTATAAACAAACATATAATCAAGGTTTTAAATATCGATGCCGATGGAAATGACGAGGTTTCAATTTTATGGAAATGTCAATGTAAATATTGATATTATATCGATGTTGATGAATGTTTCAGGAAAAATTATAAAAATTAAAAATTCATGACAAATAGTTAAATTAACAAATAAGCATTTCACTCTTTTTAAACAAATTAAAAATTATTTTAGGTCCACATTAGTGATATTTTATTGATATTTTTTATTTTGTCAGTTGTTTATGCAATACTACGGAAATGACAATTCACCCCTTATGTCGATGTCAAATTTATGGACATATAGAAATATCAAAGAAAATGTAGACATGAAAAATGTCAATGGAAATTTAAGACCCTACATATAATATCAAATTTCGAACACTTCCAACAGAATTACAGAACAAACTCGCAAAGAATGAAGGGGAAAAACATTATTCCAAGATGAAATATCAACATAACCCTAACAATGACAAAGTCAGCCTGCACCAGCTGCAGCTAATGAAATGATTCCACACTGAACTGTTTAAAGCAGTACAAAATAGTATTAACAACTTGACACTTGACAGTCAATTTGACACGCCCAATTGTGCATGCATAACACCACAAACCATGAATTTAAATCCACTGATTATACAACAACTAAAATGACAAGTAATCCATGCTTCTTTGGCATCTCAACAGTTTTTTGAGGCTAAGCTCAATGATGCAAAGAAGTTCACAAATCAAAACCACAACCATATCCCAACCACCGAATTCATTCAAACTATACTTTTCTTTCTGTGTGTGTGCGTTGCAGTAGTTCTTACCTAGACACTCGCCAAAATATTGCACAGCCATCAACTGGAATTCCCGTACGCATCTACACCTTAATCAATATATAGTCAGACTTTACAACTCAAAGAAAACCTTTCTACTATTTCAATCCAGAGGCAAGGGCCAACTTTTGTAAGAATCATAGTATCAATGATCATTCCATGTTATCAACACAAGTGCAATTGCTCTTCCAGCTGAAAAGGTAAAAAATGAATAAGGGGGAAAAGGAAAACCTTCTGTTTTATTTTATTCCTCAACATTTCGCTACTAAAAATAATTAGTAGTTGATAAATATATTATATTATTCATTAGTATTACTACAATGGGGAAACACTTCATTAGTATTACTACAGTGGGGAAACACAGTGTTTATTCATGATTTTTTTTTTAAATAATGTTTATTCATGATTGGCTGCTTGTAAACCACAAGAAAATGGTAATACAGAGATACGTCAAAATTGGCATATGAACATAGTTGGCTGTTATTATCCCACCTCTCATGTAACATCGAGTGCAGAAAATTTTCACTGTTTGAAGTAGACAATGCACTACCAAATCAGTATGTAAAAATCAATATGGGTTTTAATTTGCAACAGTAGATTGATATCAAGAAAAGGTTTGAACATGTTCCACGTGATCTCCAGTCTCAAAGACTTCAAAAGCATTCCAAACGTACCTTCCAAATTCCATTGAACCCACGAATTTTCAGTGCCTCCTCTAATTCGTGGAATCTATCAACCTCCTGGGGAAAATTATTGCATACAGCAAGGCCATATATATATTAGTAAATTAAAGGCAAAATGGCATTGAAACAAAATAGTCATGCAAAATGAAAGATTCCTCATCAGAAACCATTGCACAATTACACACGTTGACACAATATAGGGAACTAAATGCACGTTTCAGTTTAACATACTTAGTCAATTATAAGGAGAATTTTGAAATGTCAATAGATCGACAGGAAACAAAATAAAGTAGATCAAATCATAAAACCCAAAATGGTTAAAGGTATACCAAAAATATTGGAACATGTCAAAGATTATTTTTTACTATGTTCCAACATTGTAATAAAATCACTGAAGAGTCTATTGAAGCCTAATGATTTAGAATTACCAACTCCGAACTTTGAAATTTCTATTTCTTCTAAGGATCTTTCAAGCCACATGCTAAAGTCTAATCAGGATGCAATGAAGAGCATGAGGAATAAATCCCTTGTTGAAGTCTTTGAACCATTGCTTACTAAACAAGTGAAGTATTCTACCAAAATATTATGCTCTGCCACTAAAAGTCCCAGACCTGTTAACCAGTTCACTTATAAGTTTGTGCTCTTTCTTCCTGATACGCCAATTATTTTTATTATCACGTCCAATTGTTGAAGATAGTAATGTGAATCATATGCACAGAAAAAGAAACCTTACAATCCATGTCAAATCACTAACTGCAAATACTAGGAATCTTAACATCATCTTCTTGACTTTCAATATTCACAGTGCTCCTTATCATGTGAACTTGAACCCATCTTTTCCTTTTTTCAAGCAATAATAATTCAAAAACAATACTCGTAAAGTTTGAAACTTCAAAAAAATTGAAAAACTGTCCTCAAGAGTGTGTCCAGTCACAAGACTAGTAAACATAGTACCTAGCATATTTTGAACCATAGCTTGTCAAATGAAGGCATAATATGCCTCTATCATACCTGAAAGCACATTATGTCAGTAGACCACAATCCAAGCTCAAATAATAAATTCTTTTTTCTCCACTCCCAGTCCAACATGTAATGAGGGATATGATGGTAGAGCTTTTGCTTGTGGTCCATGGCAAGGTAATCAGCTAAGATGTTGTATGAAAGAATTGTAAACCTCTCTGTAAGACAGAAAACAAAAATAAGTAAATAATTACAGCAGAACCATTTGATTCTTCCCCATCCTGTCAAAGATTTTATTTTGATTCCGTTGCATGGTCACTCCTTCCAAGGGAGAGAGAAAAATTCTGTGCGCTAATATGGTTGGAGCAGCAGATATGTGGCTTAAGAGAAGAGGTCTCATGAAGTAAACCATCTGAAGAAAAATGAGAGGCAGCTCCTTGAATTGGAACCTTGATTCTCATAAAAAGTGGTATAAGCCATCCAGTGTTGATGGTTCGGAATATCCAAGACTTACAACATGAACCGAATATATTGATTGCCTTTGCCCTCGAACATGGAAACAACTTGTGTTTCTTATTCCCAAAAAAAAAACATGAAAACAACTTCTTTTAGCATTTTGATCAATGGAATAAGACACAGATTCTAGCATGCTCCGATTCACACATCGTCTATCTAACTAGATTCCATTAGTTTGATTCTCCCTCGGTGATTAAAAATAAATAAAAACTCCGATATTCTACCGTTCAACCGTTTTGCGAACTACTGGTATGTATGCATCCAGCACGCTGCCCTGTTTTAGTTTCCCTTTCCTAATGGAAACCACTGAACTCGAGCAAACAACTTACTGAAAATTTTGGAAACGAAGACAAAGCGTCGAGTTCCTTTTATGTACTTAACAGAGGGAGAAGAAAAGCAAAATACCGCACGTAGAAGGATGCGATGTCTTCGCATAATCCCAATGGCGATAATCTGGCGGCTTCGGAGGCCGAGGTCGAAATTTCTGCGGCGTACGAACACCTTGATTCTGATTAAATGACGATGGCTGCTGATTGTGAGTATGAGGATGAGGTCCCCGATACTGGTGCCACTGAATGTGAGGTGAAGCTTGTCGGAATTGATGATATCCACTATAATACGGAGGCCTAGGGTTTTGAGGTGCAGTATAAGATCCCGCATTGTTCGCAAAGCTTCCCCACTCTCCTTGCCGGAACCCTAGGTTGGACTCCCGAACAGACTGGTAATGAGAATCACCACTGACGAATTGACCTTTACCGCCGGAGTATGGACGTTCGGACGAGAAGCCTCCCCGGCGATCGTACCGGCCACCTCGGTACTGTAAACCGGAAAAACTGAAGTTACGGAACTACGCGGAACAAGGTAAATCATTCTAAAATGACAAGGACGAAGGAAGATGTAATATACGGGAGGTCGAGAAGACATGGCAGCGGATGTCTCGGCGGAGGCGGCGGTGGCGACGGCGGCGGACAGTTGCTGAAGCGGAGGAGGAGTGGCAGCGCGCCTCATTGACTGGCGGGAGAGAATGGGAAGACTGAATGAGGCTTCTTTCGCTTTAAGCATTCCGATTCGATCAAGATGCATGCAAACTTTTCAAATCAAGCCAATCAAAGATTGAAGAGCATTTATGATCTAAATGGACGGCGGAGATTTAATCGTGCAGAGCCGTGCAAAACCGTGTAAGTTACCACTGTCTCGCTTTCCCAGCCGTTTGATCTAATCAAATCAATCTCATTGTCCATAGGTTCGAGTTGGACCAAAATTCACGTTTCTCGGGAGAAAAAAAGTTAAATTACAATTTTAGGGTTGTGAATTTTGTTTGAACAATGATTCCAACCCACACCTTCTTGAATTGTTTTTATAGGGGAAGTTGATTCCATTCCATCACAAAAAGAAAATGTTTAAATACTATTTTAACGTCTGAATTTTTACTTTTTGCTCATTTTAATTATTGTTATTTTAAATATTTATTTTGGTTGATATACCCTTAAAAAATATAACTTTGATCCATTATTTATAAGATTTTAACATAAATTATACACATGACGGAAATTGTTCCATATAAAATCATTGTTACGTTTCCATAAATATATTGAAAATAATATCATGTTAAAATTGTGATAGAAAAATATGATTATAACTAATATTAAAGGATCAAAATTATCCCTTTTTAAAAAAATACATGTCGAAAATGATAAGAGACTAAAATGAACTAAAAGTAGTATATAGACTAAAATAGTTATTTTTTTAATGAAAAATACCAAAATGAATATTTTTTTAACAATTAAGAAGAATATTTTGAAAGTAGATAAGTTAAAAGTTACATTGAAACTTGAAAGTTCATAAATCAAAATAATATTTAAAAGAAAAATGTTGCAATATGGCAATATGAGTTTAACGATAGTTCACATTGTACTAAAAAAAATTGCAATATTGTATTATATATAATAACAACAATAATTTGGACAAAATTGAAATGGCTAAAGTCTAAAATGGTAAGTTGGCCAAATAAATAAAATCTACGCCTCACCTCCAAAACGCCAAAAAACATCGACCATCGATTTCGAGGAGGAGGAGGAGGAGAAGAAAAAAAAAAGGAGGGAAGGGAAATAGTTTTCTCCAGCGGAATAGGATGTCATGTTGTTCATCCCTATCAGCTGCTCCTACCTCCATGTCTTTGATTACCAAGCGCAAATTCCCGATTGCTGTTGACAAACCTGCGATCGTTTCCATGAATTCTCGATTTAGAGCTTCCGCTGAAGTTCCTGATTTTCTCCCCGCAGATTGGTGCGACACTAACCTATAGAATTACGCTTTTTCACTATTCCTTGTAATTTGTTGAGTTTTCGAATAGTATTACCGAGAAACGAAGTTTGATATCGAGAGGAATGGAAAATTGATTTTGCTCATGTTCGCAGATTGGTGCGCTTGCGAACCTAGAGAAAATCATGCTTTTGCACTCCATTATCAATTTTTGAGTTTTCGCATAGTATTATCGAGTAACGAAGTTCGATCTCGAGAGGAATGGAAAATTGATTTTTCTCATGTTCGCAGATTGGTGCGCTTGCGAACCTAGAGAAAATTATGCTTTTGCACTCTTCATTATCATTTTTTGAGTTTTCGCATAGTATTATCAAATAACGAGGTTTGATCTAGATGAATGGAAATTTGATTTTGCTCATGTTCGACTGTGAATGGTCGTATCTGAGATGTTTCAATTCACTTCATGTTTTTATCAAGAAATATGGCATGATTGTGTTTCTTATCACCCTGAAATTACCGAGTTCAACAATTGGATGTTTGGCTTCCATCAGGTCTACTCTTTCGGCTAATGGGGCAAATTCTTTCTTCTTGTCTTAATCTTCCATTCTCCATAAACTTCCACGAGCAACTACACAATTTTCTCGTTCCTCTGATGTGAAGGTTTCTGGAAATGAATCTCTGCAAAGATATCAAATTCCTATTCATTAGGTTTTCCATGATAAGATGATGACTTTGCTGTTGTTATTATACTGTTGTTGGGCCAAACCAGTTTCATGAAATCTGAACTTCTTCATTTATTTTATTTTGTAGGAATGAAGCACACAAGAAGAATCCTCTAGGTCCAAGTTTACATGTAACTGTTCAACTATGCAAGTTAGTACTAGATTTTGTAGTCGTTTCTCTGTCAATTAACTTTATCTTGAAACTTTCTATAGTTTACTGCAGAGGAAGCTATTCAACACCAGCTTGATGCACTGAGATACAACGATCAACCCCATCAAGATTATGGAATCGAGGTCATGTACCAGGTAGTGTGCATTATAAAGTGGCTTATTTATGCCATCTTGATCGCTTGTGTAATGACATGGTGGCCTGTTTATTCAATGCCTCTGATATATAACAGTTTGCTGGATTCGATCCTCTTCGAAGGTCTACATATTTCGGTCCCTTCTTTGATTTGGGACAGGTATCATTTGAAACTTAACAATTAACATGTGTTGTACCGTATCTGCTCATTCCTTTCTTCATTTGCTGTATTTTTTGATGGTGCAGTTTGAGAGATTCAGACGAGTGTTCCATCATTCGACCTATCGTGTATTGCTAGGCCATAAAGAGAGGAAGATCTTGAGCTGTTTGTTTGTAGAGGAGGTAAAGCAGTCTTGATAATGAACTTGATCGATTCTTGTGTCTAGTAGCCAATGATCCCATGATGTGCTTAAGTGCTCTGAGTACTTTTTTGTGCCTTCTATGCCAGTAAATTTCTTTACTGTAAAGTACTATCCTGTTGATTTTACAAACTGTGAAACAGAACCGATTCAAGCAGCGAGTATGGATACGGGGCTGTCGCCCCAAGGAAGAAGAAATATTTCAATTCACCATGGTTCAGGTTAGACTACGTTCTTTTGAATATGTAATCATTAGTAATCTGCAAAGATTGCTTTTGTCTCTAGATTATATGATAAACAAATTCATAGTACCATTAGGTTGATGCCCCCATCAAAAAGATTTCTCTGGAGAATTGAACACTTGAACCTGTAGATTTTCTTTCATTCCCTCTGTTGCCAGTCAATTCATAATCAATCAGTTTTGAACCTATTACAGTCCACACCCACTTATTTGTTGAGAATGTCATGATTCAAGCCACCCACCTGAATACACTTGAACGACGAGTTCTGTTTCAATATAGCTATCATTATATAGGAATTATAACCTCCTTAGGATTAATGTGGGTGGGCCATGAGCATAATATGTATAAAAAACACGTCTTTAACTAAAATGGTTCCACATGGAAATCTAAGGATATAGACTGTTAACACCTCAATAGAGAAACCCTCTTTTAAGAATCACAGCCATTTCAATCTTGAACAGTCTTCCTTTTCATCTATCAACGAAAAGTTGTTTCTTGTTCAAAAAAAGAATCACGACGATTTCCCTTTTCGAGATCAAACTTCAAGGAACAACCTTAAACACTGAAGCTAGCTGTCTACTTCTGTTTTATAAAGCTGTGTATTCATCTATATATTTGAGAATTGATGAGAAGATCCATACTGACATTAAGTGTGGTAGACTGAGATAGACTTGTTTAAGTTGGAAGTAATTATAAAATCATAAACATACTGATATGCGTTCAATTATTTCTGAAACTTTGGGTTTTTGTTGGCAGAGGGTTGGTGGCTCATGGGATGGGTATTGGCTTACAGAGAGCTTACTTAATGATGGGGATGCATTTAGTGGAGGCTTAGCGTACTGAGAATGCTCTCCTCAAATTGGGTGCCTGGTTAGCAAACTTAGCATGATATTGTTCAATTTGTATATTTGAAATGTATATCATACGCCTGTAAGATCACATAACTTAGAATTTGTATATAATATTAACATAGTTACATTCTATCATTTGAGAATCCCCTTTGAGTCGGTTTGGGTTGGTCAGATTCTTCGAGTGATCGAGTTCTTTGAACACTCCAATAGACCATATCAATAATAGTATGATATATCTATCGAAACAAACAAAGTGTGTTACCCTCTAAGAGATGCTCTTCTAACTTCTAAGGGATGTTTACGGTGCAGGGACGAGGAAGACTTCTCTGTCCCCATCCCTACACCCCATTTAATTCCCCATCCCCGCAAAATTACCCATGAAATTTCATAAGATCGAGGTGGAGACTCTCGGTGGGGGAAAATTTCCCCATTTATTTTTTATTTTTTAAATAAATAATGTTTTCCTAAAGAAATTTTTGTATAATTGCTTAACTTTTAAAGATAAAACACTAAAACCTCATTTACAAGGTTTAATTCTTCTAAAAATATATATATATATATATATATATTGAGTGAGTGCATAGAGAAGAATATTTTATTTTTTTTAGTATATGTATATATATAGAGGATAATAAAATTACTTAGTGTGTGTATATATAAAATAAACACAGGACGGGAAATGGAGATGGAAAGCGTATTCTTGTTCCCGTCCTTGTTTAGGTGGCGGAGAAAAATTTTCCACATCCCCACCCAGTGGGGAATCTAGATGGGAATTCCGCCCCATTTAGGCGGCGGGCCCCACACATATGATGGAGATACCTAGCTCTTCTGCTACCTCAAATACCAAAACACAGTGACATTTGTGAAGGACATAGGGCTCCATTATTCCAGCAGTTCAAATTTCCCCTGCCTTACATATACATGAATGCCAATGCCATATCATATGGCAACCTAAAGACCAAAAATGACACCAAGCACTTCACGAGTTCTTACATGGTTTATAACAGCCAAAGCTTATACATATACAGTCGATTGGGAATCGAAATATGTTAATAACTCTCCACAGATTGAATCACAAATCATTGAGTTCGGTTACGCAGTTAGCAAATTAAACTGCCTTTGCAGGCCATGTAGCTTGAGCAGACATAATTATGCCTACAATTACACCGAATAACCCGAGTGCGCTACCAAAAATCTCGATCACGAGAATCTTCACAAAAAGGGAGGAGTTCTGGGCATCAGACAATGCACAGCTGCTTCCAATTATCCCTACACATACCCTTTACCAACACAAGATATCTCTCGATTAAAATTGTCAGCCGATGGGATTTTTGTTCTAATAAGTAAACATTTAGGAAGAAGAATCAAACCCGCAAACCAAGTTGGCAAAGCCCACAATACTTCCAGAGGAAAAAATTGCATATCCTGCTCTTAGAGACTCAGGAGCATAGATTTGAGATGCTGAGACGCTCTCCAGTTTTGTTTGTAAGATGATGGCCACAATGACGCCATATATGGCCACGGCTTCACAGAAAATTACACTGAAAGAAAACAACGAATCATTCATAATGACAGCCAAACCTCAAGACCAAAAAATCCTCATGGAATTTGATTAACTGTACAGTTGAAAAGTTGCCATTCAATAATTCTTGATCACTGACAGACCCTGTTTGAACTAATTTTACAACAATGTCTCAAAATACAGATCTCAAGAGGCGGTCCAGTTGACAAAAGCTTGGAGTTTTTTGGTCACATTGGTTTAGAGATCTCAAGTTCGAACTTTCCAGTGAGCTTAATATTCTTTTGATATCTCCCGAGTCCGGGCCTTAGGGCGGCCACGGGTAAATATAGGAGAAGAAAGCTCCGACTTTCCGTTATTAAAAAAATCTAAAAAAGAACACGGAGATTCAAGAGCATAAGGTATGAATTTCATCCAAAGTTCGACAGCCAAGATAGAAAGAATAATGTCCTGATACTTGTATGATCTATCTATCCTAAACAGCCATGGAATGAATCAGTCACCAGGAAGCAATAGAAAACTTCATCCTATTTTCAGTTCGAACTTCCCCAACCAAGCCTAAGAAACTACTCTGCGAAGACTGAAGATCAATACTGAGCAATTAATGTATACTCCTACTCCACACTCCGCACTCCATACTCCATAGACATGTAAGGAAGTATCAATCGAGTTAAGCAGAATCGAAAAGGAGCGTGTTACCTAATCAGATTCTTGGAGGTAATACGCGGAGCTTTAATTGCAGCACCGATCAAACTGCTTCCGGTGATGTAGATCCCCCTGAGAAGGAAAGCAAAAGCAGAGGAATCCACGTTCAGAGCCCTAAGATCGAGAAAAGGAGTATTGAGAATGGATTACCAGGCGGCGCCGAGGACGGAGACGCCGATGGCGAGGGCAATGCCGACGGCGGAGAAGGTGTAGGGGGAGATTCTGACAATGGCGCGGGACCAAGAGCGTAGATCTGCCGCCATGATCGAGCCGGACATTGTTCTTTCAGGCGTACGCGGGAGCGGGAGAAGAGTTGTGTGGTTTGGTCGTGGTGCTTGCGATGCGATTCTTGGCGCCCATTGATTCTTCCGAGTGCTTCGAGACGACGACGTGCTTTGGGCTTAGATTCGGGTTTGTTCCAGAAACCCGACCCGGTAAACCCCCTCTCTCCTCTGGTTCATTTTTAATACCTTACAATCAACGCTACAGCATTCGGAAAATAATAAATAAATAATAAACTATACTAACTTATTAGGTTTATTACTCAATTGTATATTTTAGTTGGTTAGTCAGTCTGTACAGGTGTACTTAATTTGTACATACTTCAGGAAACCTATATATATGGCTTACTGTTCATTCAATAAAGATAAAAGCTAAGAGTTTAAGTTCCTTTTAGTTTCAATATGGTATTGGTTGACTTTTCTCATCAAACTCTCTTCGAGAGACTTCTTTTTTTGCGGTTTCCTATTCTTTGGCGGTTTCTTTTTCATCCATGGAGGATTTCATCAACCCCACAGCCACAGCATCATCTCCAAACACTATGCCAATCCCTATTTTCTTCACCATTTTGATCATTCCAGCCTTGTGCTTGTTTCTCAGCTTCTCAGGTCTATGGCGTTTACTGTCAAAAATAAAATTGGTTAATTGGTTTCATCGATACCCAAACTTATGATGATTTACATAGTTCGTGGATCATCTGCAATAATGTTGTCATTTTTTGGATCATGAATTTGCTGTCGAAGAAATTTCTGCTAGTGTTCTTTTTGCCGATACAGTATGTGAGATTTGACTAGATCTACGTGAACGATTTTGACCACGAATCTATCAACTTTGTCGAGAATTATCGACGCGCGTCCAAGATCAGCTATCTGTTAGTGTTTATTTCACCAGATTGAAGACGTTGTGGACCGAACTTTCCAAGAGTTTAAGTTACTTTTAGTTATAATACTACTAACTAATCATCAGCAATCTCGTGACCAACGTTATATTTTTTTCTCTTACAAATATGAGAGGCATAATAATTTTATTTTGATATTTTAATACAATGTAAAAAGAGAGAATTTTTCTGTTTTTCAACCAGACTAAAGAAATATAAGATTTTGAGTGACAATTACAAATAAGTACTAGCAAGTAGTAAGCACTCAAATATTGGCCTTTGAAATGAAAAAAAAAAAGAGAGATTTTTCTTATTATTTTTTGAATTTATCAAATGTTTTCTGTTGGCTTTTTTTTTTCTTTTCTCAATCCAATAATTGCAAGGTGATGATCACGTTATTAATTTTTGAGATAGTAACAGATGCCTTATCTGTTAATTTGAATATAGTTATTTCTGGAAAAATTCATGAATTATACCGTTTAATGCAAACAAATTTTTAGTTGAGTAATAGATGAGATTCCCACCCACAAATTTAATTGAACGTTCAAAATTCAAATTCTCCATCTCCATGTTAATTGAATAATAAGAATTTGAAAGGAAAAAAAAAAACTCCAAATCACAGAAATCTCATTCTTCTCAAAATGAGCGAAGTGGTTACTCACGATTTCAGTACTTTAGCATTCCTGCCGGCAGCTTTAAATATAAATCGTCTCCAAAACTAAGCCCTAAAATACCTAATTGCAGTGATCAAGCTCATCAATGGCGGAGAATGAGATCACGTACATCTGCAAGCGGACGGTGCTCAGCACGAGGCCGATTCCGGCCGGAAACCACCACAACCTGTCGTTAATGGATCGATTGATGGAGAAAAAGCACGTAAAGATCGTCTCCTACTACGGATCGGCGGGAGCGACGAAGATCGGCGGCGAAGCGACGCGGCGGCTGAGAGAGTCTCTGTCGGAAACGCTGAACGAGTTTCCGATGGTGAGCGGGCGATTGGTGAAGAACGAGGAAGGAAATTGGAGAGTGAAATGCAACGACGCCGGCGTTAGAATGGTGGAGGCTAGGGCACAGGGAAGCGTAGAGGAGTGGCTGAGGATCGTGGACGGAGAAATGGAGCTCAAACTTGTGCACTGGGAAGAAATGTTGAATACGCCTTATTTTTGGTCTACTTTTTATGTTCAGGTAACTATATTGGGACCATCAAGTTGGCAAATAAAATTTAGTTTAAATTAGATATTTGTTGGTCAATTTTCATTATTTTTGTGCTTTTGTCTAGAGAAATACTTAGTTTTGGTGAATTTTCATTAATTTTCATTAAACTTTTGGTAGATAGAAAAATACAGGTGATAGTATCCAGTCTACATCTAAATATTGTTATTTTATTTATAAAAATGTATTATGAAGCTTTTATTTTCATATATTTCTTTTTTTTTTGTGTGTATTTGTTGAGTTGTTCAACCTTTTATTTATTTTTTTTTTTTTGTGAGTACCCAAATTTAACTTTATATAAATCATTACAATTTTATGTTGATATATCGTGGAAATGTATTGTAACTTCTGTAATTTTTCAACATATTGTTGGTATTTCGAGAACAATTAGAAAAAAAATGCTTAATCATTAAATTTATGGATAATAGATAGTAATAATTAATTAAAGTTGACAAAATTGAACAAATGCTTTCATAGCTCAGTTGGTTAGAGCACCCGTTTAGTAAGCGGGAGGTCTTGAGTTCGACTCTCAATGAAAGCATAATGAATGGTTTTTATTATAATTAAAAAAACTGAAAAATTTTTGTACCCTTTCAATTCTCAGGTAACAGAGTTTGAGGGAGGGGGCTTTGCCGTGGGCCTGAGTTGCTCTCACCTTTTAGCCGATCCAATTTGCGCCACCATGTTCCTTAAAGCATGGGCCGACACGACTTCGGTCCAAAATATAACTGGGCCTTCTATTTTCCACCCACGGCCCAGGCCCAATAATTCCCTGATCAATTACTACAAATCCTCGATGGAGAAACCCCCTCCAACTCTAACCACACATGCAGAACACAAAACGATTGCCTTAGCATTTTCCGACAACGCGGTGCGGGCCTGCATTGGCATGGCCCAAGATGGCGGCCCACTAAATGACTGCCCATCTCCTTTCGCTGCTCTGGCTGGGCTTTTTTGGGCCTGCATCAGCAAGGTGAGGAGAAATGGGAATGATGAAGATGGGTTTGTAAAAATGTCAATCTGTTTGAATGGAAGAAGAGGGTTGAAGGTTGGAAACGATGTGTTTGGAAATTACATGGTTTGTAATGCAGTCGAGGTAGACGATTGGGTGGAAAGAAGCGTCTCGACAGTGGTTCGGGCTGTGGTAGAAGTAGTGACTAGTATGGAAGATAAGGAGAATATTTTGGAGTTGATCAATTCGCAACACGATGATCAATGGAGCACGCTGAACTCAAATCTCATATGTATGAACTTGGAGGAGTTGGAAGAAACCACGTTTAAGAGTGATAATAAACTAATCAGGACATCATATTATGTGGAGCCTGTGGGTAAAGGGGGACAAATATTGATCCTTCCACCATTACAATTATCGCAAAAGGCTCAATTGAGTAGAGTAGTTGTTGTTACACTTCAAAACGATGAAGTGGTAAAACTTTTAGTTAATGATCTTATTTTGAGTTTCCATCCAAAAATTTTGTTCGGAGATATACAATGAAAATCATGTAATTGGTGAAATCAAAACCATAAAATAATTGTTTTGTAAATTGTTTGCTATGTTAAATTTGAACAATGTAAACTCAAAAATTGAACCATTATCATTTTAATTTTTTTTGAAAAGATTGATTTAAATTTGTTCACTCTCTTTAGAACATCAAGCGTTTGTAGTCCAACGGTCAGGATAATTGCCTTCCAAGCAATAGACCCGGGTTCGACTCCCGGCAAACGCACATCTCTTTTTTCCCTCCCGAACCGCTATTTCTCTCTCCATATATATATAATAATAATCATGCTCGCTTCTTGTTTTTCGTTTTGACTGTTTCTTTGAGAAAGGAAAAAAGAATAGAGAAATGGCTTTGAGAGTCAATTGTTCAGCGTCAGTTTTTCTCCTTCCACGAGCTCCCGATTCAAATTCCTTTGATACTTCAAAAGCCGCTCGATTGTCCTTGTAAGTATTGATCAACTTCATCTGCCAAAGACGGATCAATCGGTTTCAACATATATTTCTCATTTCCCCCCGATAAATTCTATTGGATTTCTTGATTCACTGCAGGAAGGAAGGTGAAGGATCGTGGAGAAGCCGCTGCGCATTAGGTTTAGCGAGCTTGATTCTCGCAATCGAATTCGGCAACGCCTTCGTCGCCGGCGAAATTCAGGCTCTCGAATCGCCACCGCCGCCGCAACTTGTTGATTCGAGGCGGATGAAGATCTCGAGATGGAGCGACAAGAGAAAATGCGCTCCGTGGAGAGCGAATTCGCTCGAGAACATCGTGCCGGAGAACCTCCCGAGACCGTCGCAGCGCCGGAAGTGGGAGACAGTTACATTTACGGTGGATGTAGAAACTAACGCTCCGGCGATCCAAGTAATTTCTTCTGAAACTAACTCCAAATATTGTTTCTCTTTATGAATATCATAATGATCATCATCTATCAGTACCTGGTCTAGTGTAAAAACGTAAATATTAAGTGTAAATTAAATCGTGTTCTTCTATCTCTTCAATGGCGATCGGATCCACTGAAAAAACGTGAATTATTTTTTTGTCTGGAGTAGGGACAAAATTGAACAGAAGATTGAAATATAATGCAGTACAGATTGGCATTATTCAGGGCTCGGGAGGCGTTGTTGTACTTGTAAACTTGTAGTACATATGCAGTACAGCATAGATATTAGAATAGAAAATTAAATTTGGGTGAGCTCCTTCCAACCTTAATTGTTTGTTTCTTCTAGTAATATGGGCCAGGCTTGGGCTTACTTGGCCCAATGATATTTGGGCCACTGCTTTGAAGTAGTACTTAGTTTTCCAAAACCAGCCCAGCCCACCTGCAGGGGAAGACCTGATTGGGCTTTGTTTCCTTAGTCTAACGCGGTTGAGATTTTTAGGAGTTGGTTTTGGCATAGTCATGATAAAAGAAATACTAGAAAAAGCTGTGAGAATTTTAGATTTACTATATTTAATTTATAACGAAACTATGTTCAGTGTTTATATTTTTAGATGTTGACTTAAAACGTAGGATCTATCTTCGAAATCAAATTTTGATCAAATCATGCATTACAATGTACAAGCCTTTGAATTTTGAAATAATACTAAGAAAATATCAATAGGTTTGTAGAGGTGGAGACTACACCATTGACCTTAAGAATAATAATAAATAACCTTCTGTCATTAAGGTATACTTGGATTAGCATTTTGTTGAGATTTTACGCCCATAGAACTTGTCTAAAAGAATAAAAAAACAGTAAATTCATAATTGGATTTTAATAAATTAGGTGGAGGTTTGAACTCATGATTTTTTTATTAAAGATAGATGTTTTAACCACATGAGCGTTGGGTAAAATACTGATATGTTATTGCTAATTAAACTTTTGAAACGTGACAATAAGTAACATAATGAAGTATTCCAAATAGACAAAATATTTTATGCAAGAAAATTGATGGGCAAATAAGTAGAATATATTTTAAACCAAACCAATCAAAATTTTTTTCCATGCTCATCCTAATATTATTCAATCATCTATTTATCTAGGTGACGATGGTGCTTAGTTTATTAAATTAATTTTGTAGCCAAATCACATAAAGTTAACAACCACGTGAACTTCTCACTAGTCCAATAACGTTTGCCAAATCATCAAAGTTAATTTAACAGTCACGTGAACCTTTCTGATCAAATCAGTTTATTTATTTTTCAAACCTCAAGGACTATAAATATTTATTTTGGAACTTCATGGACCAAATAGGCACCAATTTTAAGCTTCATATCAAAAGTATATGATATGAAAAAACCTTAAACTCAAAATGACTAAAATACCCTTGCAAGAAAGGTGCGGATATGATATGACATTGTATCTTATTAAGGGCAAGAAATGAATAATCTAGTTTTCCACTACTCTTCCCAATAGATATAGAATGAAAAAAATAAAAATAAAAAAACTTTAGCAAGCTTTGAAGCGACCAACTTTTCCTTTCAGCACCAAACAAATATATGAGAAGCCCATCCCCTTAAGCAAGCAATCGTGACTGTTATATGCTAAACAGACAAATAATGAAAATGCTGATGAGACTGGACCTAACAACAATACTTTATACTACAAATCTCTTTACCCTTCAGTTCTGGCTGCTGAGCTCTTGCTGCATGATGACCACCTACAACCAGAATTATGGTTGTAGGTACGAGAACGGCGGGGGCGGGAAGGGGATGGATAGAAAAGCCATCCACCTCGCCTTAAGAAAGCAATTCACTGTTATTTGCAGAAGCAAGAAATGGCGACGAAAATGATGATAAGATTGGTTCTAACTAACAGCAGTCGTTCTACTCAACTGACCTTTTACCGTTCAGCATTAAGCTCTGCTGCTCTAACGGGCTCTCGGGTCTCTTTCGCTGGAATGCTGCTTGGACAGTCACCTGCAACTACAACCAGCAACCAGAATGCTGGTTGTCAATTATAATGTATGGAAGGCATGGAAATGGATCTAAAGGAAAGACTGCAGCAGAACTGATAATGATATTACAGAATTGCATCATCAAACTTGGAAACAAATTCTAACAAAACATCATCTTATTCTGAATCCTGCAAAGATATGAGACCATCGATACCATCATTATCACCTGCTTGTGTCAGGATAGGATTATCGCTAACTCCTCGACTGGATATGGTGCTACAATATAACTTCTCACGATACTCCCTAGCTGATTCCTGGTCACTAGATATCCCTGTTACATTGGGTTTAGATGCCAATGTTGTTGACCAAGATCCCCCATTTGATCCAGCCAAGGCCATTATAATATCAGCCTGAAAAATATTCAGTAACATTAATGGATAATTAGCAACAAAACAGAATTTCTACTTTAGTGAAGTCCAAAGTTTTAGCTAAAACATCTTCATTCAGGTAATGAAACATGAATGCGTGATTCTTCCTCAAACCAATCCCAAACGAAACATTTTCTTCAACAAAGATATCGAATATAAATGTCTAAACCAGATTATTTATACTGAATTATGTAACTAATGTGATTGAAACACCTTTCTATACTTATAATCAGAAGGCATTACAAGGGGTCAAGAGAGAATTATAGAACTCCCGAATCTCTCCCAAACAGTCTTAGACAAAATAGCCAAAAAGATACCCGATACCTCACTCCCCAGGGTGTGTATGCCATAGACAGAAAATACCCACACTGCCCTTTTCTACCTGTACAGTGCCTCCGTTTCCTAACGATTTTTTCATTTCCTATATTCCACTAGCACGTACCCTCTTCCTAGAGTATACATCCTTCACCTAACTCCTAAGGCCTATCATAACGTATATTGCAAGTTGCCTATTTGATACAAAAGTTTCTCATAGCAATAACCGAAAAGTCTTGGCTTACCAACTCAAGAGTCCAAGAAAACAGGAAAATAGTAAATGCATATAGGAAAAACAGTATATGTAGGTTCATAAAGATGTTTGTGCATATAGGGAAAATACCTTGTTTGGATGTACTTCATCAAAAACATGAGCTTTGCCGCTATAGAAAATAGTCATCTGTCGATTGATAGAATCGGGACGCTGTTGACTGCCACAATAGATGTAAACACACACACTCTTAATATTCATAGGACAACTGAAACTGGAAACTTTTCAGATTGATGTGCAGCCTGGAATTTACCTTATAGGATTAGAAGATTTGTGTTCTAAACCTTCAGTCTTGAATTTCTGCTTGTCACAACTTAGCAACATATGAGCTGAGTGTCTCCCATCATGTCCAGCATTGATGCTACTAAAAATTCCAGCGCTTTTCATCCCAGTTCTAGATCCTTCATCAGCAGCAGGGTGAGAAATACTGAAAGGAGCAACATTAAATTCTCTAGAAGAGTTAGAAGCTACTTGATGAACACGAGGCACGAACTGGCTCCCGAGCGGAGAACTTTGTGCAAGACCTATGTTCATCGGAATAGGTCTCTCCCATTTGGAAACACTGGGATTAAATCTAGTGCCAAGAGAATGTTGTGTGAGGGAATAAGAAGCTATTCTTGGTGGCTGCATACTATAAACCGCGTCATTGTCGATATATCTTGGTCGATCTCCAGCAGCTCCATTTTGTAGCATCTGATACAAGTTTAAAGAAAATTAGATCAAATGATCCATAGAGTCCTTTCCACTTCCATGTAAGATGATTAAGAGAAATAAGAGCTGTCAAAACCTTCATTGAATGTGACCTCTCAAGAGAATCAGAGGCCATATGAGGAATTTGGTTTCTATAAGACCCCATGAAAGCAGAATCTGGATTTATACTGCGCTTAATCCCTGCTATCCTGTTACTGTTTTCATTCCTTGGACTGTAGAATGGAACCCCTTCAAGATAATCTCCGCCTTGGTTTTCTATATAAAACAATGAGAGAACGGTGAAAATTTTATGTCGAATAAGGAATCGGTGCTCAGATCAGACAGCTGAAAAACTCTTACGAGATCAGAAATCAAAGCAAAAGATCACAGTAAGGATTCAGGAAGAATTATATCATATCAATAAGTTTAAACTTCAAAGACAAACTCAAAATAAAACATGAAATTACTGGGCCACGTTCAAGGGCAACGAACACCAAGGAAGTAGAAATGAAGACGATGGTGAAATTCATTGATCAGATTGTGTTTAAAAACTGAACAAAAAGAAGTTAGGGCAAAGGCTAGTCAAATGGAAAAGAGGTCTTTAAGAAAGCTTCTAACCAATGCTGACCTCATCACAGAAGGAAAAGGGGAGGTTGCAGACAGAAATTCTACGTTGCAGGAAGAAATTGAATAGAACTATAGAAGTCAACTTTATAAAAAGCTCACACATGGAAATCTATATTTTATAATCAAAAGCTGCCCACTCAAAAGAGAAAAAAAATGCAATCAATGAGGACTGAGAGAAAAACCACCGGGAAGACGATGATGATCGTAATATTTCATCGGAATCAAAGGAAAACCAGAACGATTAAAACAGCGCAAAACAACCTAGAACGGAGTAAATTCAAGACGACGAATGTTAAACGAGCAGACCGAAAGCGAGATCGGAGGCGGTGGAGAAGAGTCCACGGCCGCCACTAGAAGCAGCCAAGGCCGACGGCGACGGCGACGATGCCTCCGACAAGTTCACATCCGGCGCCTTCGCGGCCAAGAGTACGGAAGAATCTTTGGTCCGAATGCCAAGAAAGTCATGAAACATCGGATTACTCGTACTGTTCTTCTTCTTCTCGCCAGTGCCGTAGTAGCCGGCATTGGAAGAAGCGCCTTGACCAGACATTAGAGACCGAAGCATTGGAAAGCATCCATTTCGCTCTTCTGCATAAAGAGCAAGAGCGTAGAGAAAAACACAGGACAGGCAACTCGATTTTTGAGGAAAGAAACATACAGAGAAAAGGCAAAAGGAATCAGAACAGAGAGAGAGAGAGAGAGAGGAAACTGAGAGAATCATGCACTTTTCTCGAGGCAGAGAGCGGAAAAAAGCATCTTCTAGATATTCTCCGGCGCCGGCGGGTATTCCGGTGATTTTTCAGTTCAGCGGAAGATTGGATTCATCGGATAACGGGAATTCTCAGAGTTTTTGTTGCCTTGTGGACGTCAATTTTGCTGCGCACGGCACGGCGATCAGAATCAAAATCACATCGCGAAAGGAATTGTTCAGAGAAATATCAATGATGAAATTTTTGAAGGATGAGGACAGCTTCTCCACTCGGGAGTGGCAAAATCGAACTCAAATCCGATTTCTGCTTAAAAAATATTAAAATAAGTTAGAACAAAACTACTTTCTATCAACTGCTTTAGATAGTGTTGCTTAAATTTATACTTTATTTTGGAAAAATATTCATATTTTGACACAGTAATATATTATAAATTTATATTTATTTAATGGGTCTACACTACACTATTTCTAAATCTTGCTTTTCTATACTACCATAGACTATAGTACAGTTTTTTTTTATTTGTATTTCTTTTTATTTTATAATAAGAAAATAAGATTCTAAGAGTTTAGATGTCAACTCATTCGTGAGAGTAGATACTCTCCACTACTCTTCAAGTATAAATGTCTTTACTTTTATTTCTTATTTTCAAACGCAAAATATTGAATTTTCACATAAAAAGTGAATATCAATATTTCTATGGTATTGTAAAAACATACGAAGTATTAGAAAATATCATTAACATGCATATAGTAATAACAAAAATAAAAATAAACTTATTTTAAAGGGATAAAATGCCAATTGGTTAAATTTTTTTTTGTTATAATTTTTTTTTCCAAAATATAAATCGACATCTAAAATCTTGGTAGAGTGAACTTTACTTTTGTCGATTGTTTTCATATGGTTCTAAATCTCATTTTAATACACGAGCTTTCAAAAACTATTTTATACATAATAATCCTGGGTGACTCATTGATCAAAAGGAATTAGAACTTAGGGTAATTAAGAAGGAACGGATTCAAATTTCATAATAGTCACCTACCTTAGTAACTCTTAAAATATGATCAATTATTAATATTTTTCATTTCACAAATGGACAATAGGACTCCAAGAATGTGAATATACATGCACATATGTTGGAACCACATCTGTTGCTAAAGCAACTACTGAATACACAAATATCAAGCGGCAGAGTTAGGGGATAAGATACCAATTATTATATTTGAGATGGAAGGTTGAATGTTACACTCTCACGATTGCAGAACTAAAAGGAATAATTAAGTGGCAATATCATAACAGCAACCTAAAACTAATATCTCGAAAAAAAAAAATTGTCAAAAAAATAATAATAATAAAAATAATCTAAAAAAATAATTATATCACCAGAGCTGATAATCAATTATATACATCCATTTAAAGTGATAAAGTTATTAAAAAATAACAAATGGATGACTAATTCAAGTAAATAAATTGTTAAACAATTTCATAATAATATTATACCAACAATTACTTAAACTAATCAATTGTATATAAGTTCAAATACTATTTTGATCTTTGTCTCTATACTTCCCTTTTCTTTATCTTTTTTTTTTTTTTGAGAAACCATACTTTCCACTTGGTTCTATTTTTAACTTTTTTCCTTTTTAGGGGATGTAATTTACAAAACATCCATTTTGTCCCTAAAAGTAACCCCTTTGAATTCATTGTCATGTTTTTCTAAATTTTTCCATCATAATTTTAGGATTGCATCCCACTCGCTAAATTCCTTGAAACTTAACCATAAATTTGTATAAAGAATTTCCACGGTGTATAAAACTTGTCTTAAAATTTAGTTAAAAAAACCAAATTAATCACTTTTTAAAAGAAAATGAGACAAACGAAACCTTTTGAAAGTACAGGATTAAAATAAACAAAAATTAAAAGTAATCCAAATGAATGTTTTGAAACTACCGGAACTAAAATGAACAAAAGTTGAAAGTAATTAAAATAAACGTTTTGAAAGTACAAAAATTGCACAAAAGTTGAAAGTAATTGAAATGCACAAAAGTTAAAAGTAATTGAAATGCGTTTCGATGGTACAAGAACTAAAATGAATATATATATACATACACACAACCAAAATTAGTAACTTAAAAAAAGATCAATCTTACGAGGAGGTGGAGTGGATTCCACTAGCTGTCGACATGCCCTTGCTGCAGAAACCTTTGTGTCTTGTAAACCAATTGCTGCGGCTGGCATGATGCAATTCAACTGAGTTGGGCGTTGCAAAAGCACTTCCCCCAAAAGCAATTGTGCGTTTCATCATCATTCTGTTTGAAAAACCCTGCTTTTCAGCCACCCCCACATACGATACGTCATCATGGCCTTGAATTCAGCACTCCCATGTCCCATCCCCTCCTATTTCTCCCCTCTGCCTCTGCCATTTGGTCGGCTTCTGATCCCTGGTGAGAAAAAAAGTTCTCAGATATGAGAGAAATATAGAGATTGAGCAAAAAGAAAGGAGAAAATCAGAGTTGGGGTTCTGTATGACAGTGTTGTTGCTGTTGAAATAAATGCATTAACCCTTTGTGAGATCTGTTCTACATCAAAATATATAAAACAATCACAAGTCGAACTGAATTCTTCCGAGCTCTTCATCGAATATTTGTCCACTCACCAGTAACCAAATCACTGCACATGACAGTGAAATCGATTCGTCTGTTAAGAGTCTCATATGGAGAAATTATGTCATCTTGTACTCAGCTAATGAGCAGCAACAACAAAATCTTAAGCAGAAATTATGTCATCTTGTACTCAGCTAATGAGCAGCAACAACAAAATCTTAAACAGAATTCATATTGTCACGCTACGGTGGCTTTCTTCTTGATGTCGTCTATCAACTTGTTGGCACTGGATACAGCATTTTCAGATGGATTTCTGCGCTTAACAAGCGCTCGAGGGTCGTTACAGACCTTCAACATTTCCGACATTGCCTCGGCTTTACGCATAATAGATGTTCTTCTAGCGCGAATGGAATCGGGAGCTGGACTATATGTATCGGGCAACTTATCTGAATGAGGAACCAAAGACATCATTTCTTTTAGCTTACATGCCATTTTTGTTAATCCACGTTTGGAGAATTCATCATGCAATCTGCAGAAAGTGAGATATTGAGGAATTATTCCTCGACGAATCATGTGCTCGAATTCTGCAAAAGCCTCTTGGAATTTATGCATCTTGCAGAGCAAATGAATTAACATGGTGCTTGTTGCCAAGTCCATGTCAAACCCTCTGGCCTTCATTTCATTGCAAACTTGAACTGCCAGGTTTAATCTCTCCTCTTCACATAACATCTTCAGCAATAGATGATAGGTAAGTCTATCTGGTGTATATCCTGATTCAATCATTTTATTGTAAAGGTTCATACCCTCCTCAATTTTACCATATTTTGAGAAGGACCTGAAGAAGTAGTTATAGGTAGTCGGGGTCGGAACGAATCCTCTACTTATCATCGACTTAAGGATCTTGCTAGCCCCTGAAAGATCTCCTGCCTTACAATAACCCTTGATAAGAGAATTGTACGTCGAGATCGTAGGGCCTCGCTCCAAAACCATGAACCGCTCCATCATTCCCAGTGCCTCCTTAAACCTCCCAGCTTCCCCTAATGCATCAACAATTGGGTTGTATATAATTGAATTCAGCTCAATACCTTCTCCCCTCATCTCATCTACCAATTCAATGGCTCTCTCGACACGACGCATTCGACAGTAACCTTCAACGAGGGTGCCATATGTCACAACAGTGGGTGATATTTTGTTCTTCTTCATCTCAAACCAGAGTCTCTCAGCATGTTTGAGCTTTCTTGACCGAAACCATCCATTTAGAAGTATGTTATATGCTCGAATTGATGGGTTGAAATTCAAAACCAACTCCCTTTTTCTATTGAAGTACTCAGAAGCTGCCCTCACATGGCCTTCTTTGCAGAGCGAATCCAGTAAAATCTCAAACAAGCTCTCAGAGTTGGTCCCAGAAACTGTTTCTAGATTGCAAGCAAATTCGAAAGTTCGAATTGCGGGTTGAAGCATGCCTGTAAAAAATACCATCGGGGTAAGATAAAAAACAAAGATAACACTCAAATCATTATCTCTAGCAATAATACGAGTTAGAAAAATTTCTCTGTTTGATTGACCTCATAAACGGCTCCTGGAAGCACTGGGTTTCGAATTACCATCAAGTGCACATTCGAACAAGCGACAATAGACGAGGCAAAATCGAGATGAATATGAACCTTAAATGGAATGGCAAATGAAGGTGATTCCGAATATGAATTTGAATACTCTATAACGGTTTAAATAAATGGAAAATTAATCGGTCCCAGCAGAAAAAATGGCAATACTGTCTCTCAATAGAAAGTATACCTGCACGAGCGTACCGTCTGATCAATATCACGAAGACGTCCACTGAAACCAAAGAGGATTCTTCATCTCCACGGAGACAACGAATAATCAAGGACCAAGCCGAATCAAAATCCTTCGATTTCGCAAGCACGTTGATAACGCAATTGAACAATGCCGCAGAGGGATGGAATCCAGGTTTCTTCGCAGCCCAGAGAAACAGCGAGTGCAAAAACTTGGGAGACGAATCGAAGTGATCGAACACAGCTTCCAACAGACTCGAACTCGGTACAATTCCAGTCCGGTCCAAAGCATCCTCGAGTTCCGCATCTGGTCGAACACTGCGGTCGGAGAGAATGTCAGAAATGGTAGAGAAGTCATTCTGCACATAAGTTCCTTCGGAGTTAGGGTTTGAAATCGCGGCAGGATTTGATTGCAATGAATGGCCGGATTGGTCAGGCAGTGACGGCCAGTTAATGAGGGGTTTTCCCGGCGTGGACAGCCATGAATGACCTGACGAAGAGGAGAATTGCAGAGGATAAACTCGAAAACTGGAACGACGATTCTGTTTAATGGATTTGAGGATTCTGTATACCGAATAGCGAGGTTTCTGAATAAGCATTAGGGTTTAGGGTTTAGGGTTTAGAGAGAGAGGAGAGAGGAGAGAGACGATGGCGACGGCAACAGCGACGATCCTCCGACGAGCTATTCCGAGCCTTGAAATCTATCTTCGCTCTCTGAATGGATTTTTTAACGCATTGAAAGGTTAAATTAGGCTAAATATATCAAACAGTGTTTAATTGTTCTTTTAAATAATTGTCAAATTTTTCTTCAATTTTTAAAAAATTCTCCATTTTGTCTTTGATTTTTAAAAATTTAATTTTATCCTTAGGTTTCAATTAGGTTACTCTTGAAAGGATATATGTTACAATTTATGTCTCATTTAAGTAAGAAGGAAATTATGTCTCGTTGTTCTTATCAATGTACTATTTATTTAATTGATACGCTCGTTAAATTTTGTTAGTGGACAATTTTGAATTTAGCATTTGGATACCTTGTTTATATTGTCAACTATGGAAATCAAACAACTATTTAGTAATTCGTCCTCTTTTTGCCAGCAATATTTTTACCCAAATAAAAAACCTTAATTACAAATTTTTAAAAGATTGATCAAATTGAAAACTGTCTAGAATATTACGGACTATTAGTTATAAATTATAATCTTTTTTAGTTCAACCATTGCGATGTTGGTGGACCAAACAATTGATTTTATAAATAGTGATAGACGTTTTATCTATTAAATTATGAATTATGTTCAGATTGATACTACTTTAAGAAATGATAAAATTACTATTTATTATCATTTTTATTTTAAAATCTATATGCATATGTTTAAATTAGGTCTATATCTCAAATTATAAATTTTAGATCCACAACTTTAGCTAAAACTACCAGTGGAATGTTAAAACAATGAATAGAAAATGTTTGGTATTATAAATTAATTCAATAATTTAAACTAATAATAGTACATAATAGGAATTAAATATAATTATTTAAACAGCAAATAATAAATAATAAGTTTCAATTTTGGATGTTAAATGCCTCTAGCTTATTTCGGCCATTTTTTAAAATCTACAAACTTATTAGTCACATTGCATTATTGCAACATTGAATTTTATGTATATTAATCCTAATATTTCGAGTTTGTAGATACAACCATAAAATTTCAAGATCCAAACTAATAATTTATTGATTTTATTCAACGAGATACGATGATTTGAAATTCACTTTGACTATTTTTTTGTATCACAGTACTTCGGTTAATTGTCAATCTGAACGTAATGTAACTGGTCAAAACAAGTATCTCTAACTAAAAGATCCTGTGTTCAAATTCTCACCCGACATGTTGTATTAAAGAAAAAAAAAACAATACTTCAAATTGACAATCATTAGGTAAGAGTTTCAACATTGAGAACTATTTGTCTATATAAATTTGTGACAACCAACATAAATTTATTTAAATAGTTATTAATCATTGTCTCCGATTAAAAGATCATGAATTCAAAAACCCTTGCCTCTACTTATTTATTTAAAAAAAATCCTAGTTTTATAAATCGAAAAATGAGACCGGGACAAAAATTAAATATTGTTGGAAGACGAATAACGAGGAGCGTATATCCCATGCCCCACCACCATCCCTGCCTCTTACGTACGTTGTCAATTGTCATCACTGAAAGTATTTATTTTTTGTCCCATTGCATCTACTTTATTTTGACACAATTTAATTCAATCACGAGAATTTTTAACCTATTTTTTTCATTTCAATTAATATTTTTATTATTATAAATTTATAACTTGTAAGTAACTCATTTAATATTTTCCCTTTTCTTTTATTGGAGAATAAAGGTGGATTTAATCCCATCACGATATAAAAGTAATAGTCTTCAATTGTAATAGAAGTTTTACTTTTACATCGATGTAAATTTAATGTGACATTGATGATTGATGTAATCGATAAAGTGTACTGTAAATCAGCAATGTAAATTAATTTGATTAATAATTTAAAAGGTATAAAATATTACTTTTGTTCATATATTTTTTATTTTTGTTCATTTTAATTATTGTATTTTTAAAATGTTCATTTTCATATTTGTACTTTTAAAATATTTGTTTATTTTTAAAATTATAAGGATCAAAATGAATATTACAGTAACTAAAATTAACAAAAGTTTAAATGAACATTTTGAAAGTATAGGGATCAAAATAAACAAAAGTTGAAAGTACAATAAATAAAATAATAGTTTAACCTAAATTAAAATATACTTTAGTGGAATTAACGAGAGCTTCAAGTGGAGTCTAGAAGTAATTTGTTTATCACCCACCGGAGTATAGCTCAACGGACTAAGACATATGTATCTAATTAAGAGTTCGAATTCCACCCCACTTATTTATTAACAAATCATTCTGTCATGAAAGGRATATGAAGATTGATTTTTACATGCACACAAAAAGAGAAATAAATTACATAACCCACGAATGTGTAAGATGAACGTATTGAAACAAAACTTTAAGACGTTTGAGAGTAGGTCTACCCCTTTAGTCTTCTCTATTGATCTTCTTTAATGTATTTGAACACTGTTTTTTTAAGTTTACATATCTGTTGAAGTAAAAAAAAAAAAAATTAAATTACATGAAAATAAAATTGACATACCGAAATTACAAACCTTGTGTTTTTACTTTGTCATGGCAGATGGAACTCGTAACAACTAGTTGAACAAATTTCCAATATTTTACGTTGACCATTAAAATTAGTAATTTTTTAATAAAACTTTTTAAGTATATTTTTAAATCATTTTTAATCATAATCGCATATTTATATCAAATATAATTTTAGAAAGTATATTCTTTAAGATTTAAAATTTTCAATCCATAAACTTATTGTCATTTCAAACTAATTATTAGTTTTTTTTTGTTCAGTTCAAATGTTTGATCATATGGCTTTTTTAAAAGTTATTTTTATTTTAGTATATAAACTTTTAAAAGATTTACTTTGACTTCGACCGTTTTTTATTTCATTTTGATCTATAAGTATAATTATTTATTTTAAATAAACTTTAGTCCTCGAAGATCACACTTTTAATTATTACTTATACTTATTTTGATTTTATCCTATTAATAACACAACGTCAAACACGTATATCAATATGTAAATTCATATTTTTTTCAAAAAAGAAAAAAAGTAAATGTCAATTCACACCCATATATATATATTAGGAAATCATACCAACATATATTAATCGGCATGAATTGAATATTAATATTAGATAATAGAGTCAATTTCAACATAACTAAACTTGTTTAGATAAGTATCTCCGACCAAAAAATAACATGAATTCGAATGACCGCTTGTTATTTTTTAATAAGTTTATGAACTAATAGAAACAAAATTTTCAAATAATTAATAGAAAAATGATTAAAGTTTAACTTTCAAATTAACATCCTCATCCATATTGTAAGAAAAATAAAAAAAAATATATATCAAATCAGATTTTATTTAAAATATTTGTAAACTAAAACAGAAAGTCATTAAAATATTATTTAAATTTTGAAATATTATATTTTAATTGTTGAACCGCCTGAAATATGTTGCTGTCGAGTCAATTGCTAAATGCCAATAAACTATAATACCATAATTTGAATGTAAACGATTTCGAAAAAAAAAAAAGAAAAAAAAATCAATGTAAACTATTTATATAATTTATTTCCATTTTTTTATCAGACAGATTTTTAAAATTTGAACGTCCGGTTTTGGACCATTTTGATCCGAATAAGACGACAATGACAATGAGTAGACAGCGACGGGTTGAATTCGTATACAATTTATAATTTCAAACAAGTCAATTTTACATATGATTTATTATATAATTCCAGTAGGTTTATATTGTTCTAATAAGTTTATTTTATTTTAGTTTTTAAAAATCGCATAAATTTTATTGTATTTTTTAAATTTACATATGATTTGAATAAATCATTTAATAAAAACTTAATCATGGACGATTTTATTCATTTAGGTAATAGGTAAATATTTACCTAGATAGCTAACCCAAACATAATTGAACATATATTTTCGATCAAAAGATCGTGAGTTCGAATCTCTACTCCTACATATTATTGGAAAAAAAAATTTTAAAAAAATTCCTATATAAACCTTTAAAACTACATATATTTATAGCCAAAGCGAGCATAATTCAATAGAACCAAGAGGCTGTGAGTTCGAATCCCAACGTATATTTATAAGTATCTTAACCAGTTGAACTATGTTCGAATTTTTAGAGATGTCTATTTTACCCATGGGTCCCATTTTCATAGAGACGAATCCTTATAAATTTCACGAAGAATTCTTACCCCGATCCCCACAACATTTCTTGTAGAATTTGTCGAAAATGAAAAATACAATGGGGGCAAAATGGGCCGTTGTAACAATTCATATGATCAAATGACAGTTTTTGTATCAACCCATAAAAGACGCATGAGAATGGGAGGATATGAACAATATGCTTGCATGTGCATTTCAACATCTAAATGACATCATCTATTATTTTTTTACTATTGTTCAATTTTATTTTTTTCTAATAATATATACAATACTTTGTTTGTGTCGCGACACTTTTTTTCTCCATAAAGATTTGTATTACAACATATCGGTTAAATTATATATTTCACTTAAATATATTAGACATTATGATTGTGACAATTTGATGCCTGTAATTTGAAAAATTCCAATTAAATTAATATTACATGTTATTCGTATTCCATTAGTTAAAAATACATGGCAACCTTCCATTTTTCGATGTTGAATGGAGTGACGAATGCGTGTGTTTATATATACGACATTTTGATTTAAAATATATATCTTGATTGGTTGAATTATGTTTATGTTAATTAAGATAACTTGTAAATGAATGGACAAAGGTAATTACAATGACAATAACTTTTAGTAAATACAAATTTCGTGAAAGTTTCTTTTCATCGGATTCAAGTAGTTACATCAAATAGAGGAGTTCCTACTTTCAAATTCTATAAAATCCCACTACACTTTTACTTAAGTTCTTAATTAAGACCCAACCACATTTTATTTATTATTTTTCTTTTGTATTTTAATGTTTAATTCTTTATTCAATATATCAATTACAAGATAAAGAAAATAAAATGTGAATTTTTTGTCAAAGCGAGCATAATAGTTCAGCGGTAACTGACATATATCTCAAATAAATTTCCCTTCCAATAAATCCAACTAGGTGCTATACCAAATGAAATATATTTTTATATATTTTTGCAATTAGATAAAGTAGACGCTCCACAACCCAAACATAAAGAAATTGAAAGTCACGTGTTTTGTTAACTTGCATTCATGGTAGATAAAAGTATAATCCAACAAAAAGTTTATTTATTTTATTTTTAATTAAATCTTGAATAGTTACAATGTTGATACAAAATATTTAATTATTTGATTTTATTATATTATACATTTAGTCGATTTAATGTTTTAGCGTATGAATTAATTTATGACATATTTAAATATTTAGTAGTGCAATAATTTTATTTATTTCAGCAGTTGTAAGAGTGAGAGATCAGACCATCAATTGTAAGATGAGATCAAGTCATTAACTTTTAGTACATTTGTCTAAAGCTTCAAATGACATACCTGGAACCCAGAGACAATTTCACTAGAAAGATTCGTTGGAGTTGATATGCTAAATGAGTTTACACGACATAAGCACTTGTAGAATGGTAATAAGTGTCTTATCTACTAAACTATGCTTTGATACTGTAATCACTAAGCTAATGAATTTAATATAAACACGTACTAAAAAAACTATCATGAACAATTATTAAACACAAAATTGAAAATTAGAGATATACTACATAATTATCAAAATATAATGATCCGATGATGAAATCTTAAAAGTTGATGGATCTATTAAAAAAAATTTAAAGATAGAGGGAGTAAATAAAAACAAACTTGTTTTATAGGAGATGATGCAATGACAAAAATATGAGATATTGTAATATCACCTACCATGAGATATTGTTGACGAACCCTACGCTGGTCACAATGTTGTTCAACTCTTTAAGGATCCACTGATAAGTCATGTAACATTGATTTCGAGAAATAAAAAAAATAAATATAACTCTAGAAACTAATTAATAAAATGTTAAAATATTAGTTTCGTTGTGGTATTTTCAAATGGTTCATTTTAGTCCATATATTTCAAAAATGTTCATTTTGATAAATGTACTTTTTACATTCACAATTTTAACATCACATTGCAATTTTACCATATTTATCATTTTATTTTATTTTAAATCTCATTATTTCAATCACAATTTTAACACCACATTGCAATCAATATATTTATTTAAATATAAACAATATTTTATACTAAATAGTTTTTAGTGTAAAATTTGTGTTAAAATATTGCAAATAGAGACTAAAACAATCGCTTTTTAAAATTACATAGGACTAAAATTTTTCAAAATTCAGGGACTAAAATGAACGAAAGTTAAAAGTATAGAGACTAAAGTGAATATTTTCAAAGTAGAAATGAATCCAAACTAAAAGCAAACGGACCTAAATAATATTTTAACCTTGATAAAATTATAATTTAACATTTTTATTTTATTTTCTATTTTTTTTTATGAATGTAAAATTGCACTGGCAAGCAACATTCTGGAAGTCAAGGGGACCGAAAAGAAAATTGCACGAGGAAATATTTATTTACAATACTTAATAATTTAAATATATAGCATTTATTGTAATAAACAAATTTTTTTTTAAATGGAAGTTCAAACTGTACCATCGTCCCGCTCACGCTCCTTTGACGCTCTCTCTCTCTCTCTCATTTCTCACTCTCTCTGTCCAAAGCTCAGCTTATTCCGCTCTTCTCTGTATTTCTGCTGAGAGCTCTTCACCCCGCCATTGGAGGTCGTGGAGCTCTCGTCAGAGCCGTAAGCTCAAGCTCTGCACTCTTTTTCATTTGCTAATCTATTTATTTGATCTCTTGCACTCGTTTACGAGTATTTATTTTGTGAGTTTGAGCATTCGTTTTGACGTTTTAGCGGTTTCGAAATCTATGGCGAATGATGATTGTTGTGGACGTTTTGATTTACTTGATTTGGTGCATGGAATGGATCCACAACGCCGATTTCCGTTTTGTATAAGTCTATCGAGAAATCGAGCTTGCGCTTCATTTTTTTTCCCGCCTCTGTCCTGCCGTTAAAATCGTGCGAAAGTTTGAGCGCGTTGCATGATTTCTTGTTTTAGCGTCCATGGTCTCCGTTTTAGAGCCGGAAATTTGATTTATTAAGTTTCCGGAAGCGAGCGTGTTTTCGTCTTCCCTGTTTCACGGGCGGCGGTGGCGAGAGGGTTTGTGTTGGGTGGGGGAAGAAGAGGAGAAATAGGTAGTTCGGTGCGGCGACGGTATGAATATGGCTTTTGTGTTGTCTAATGTTTATATTAGTTATCCATGGACGTAAGTTTCATTGAAAATGTTACAGGAACTCCACACGATTTTTCGTTCCCCTTTACTTGCTGTGGAATAGTTTTACCACAAAGCCACAAATAAATTATGGGTCGAGTGTCACGGTCGCTTTGCATACACGAGGGTCTTATCTTATTACTATGGCCTTTTCACGAAGTCTTCAACGAAGCATTGCATGTTTGTTATTTCACTTTCTGAAATAGCCGCTTATCGTGCTTGGTTTTCCTGGATTTTCATACGTATTTGTACTTTTTTGTTATTTTCAACTTAGCGTAAGTTCTTACCCATTTATCTTATGTTGTTAACGCAGCTTCAATGGAAATGATATTTGATCTACTGTAATCTAGCGGTCTTCAAGGCAGGCAAAAATGACCAGGGATAACATTAATTTCCAAATTGAAGAGTGTTCTGGCAGAATCACGAGGGCGCGAGCAAAAGAGCTGAGCGACACTGGAGGCATTCTATGCTCCTCAAAATCTTCTGGAGATCAGAAGCACATTCTACGAGTTAACTCGAAAAGAATGGCATCTGATGACATTAAAATTTCTTCAACTTCCTCCAATGGCCTTCCTAATAAGAGAAGAGCAGTTCTCAAGGACGTGACTAACATTTCCAGAAAAGGTTATGAAAAGAATTGCATTAACGCTTCTAATATTCAGGTAAACTTGAATCTTATGTTTTTGTTTTAGCGTTCTTTTTTGAAATGTTGACGTGACTCATGCTGGCAACTGGTGATATAGGCAATTCTTTAACTGCTAATGACCATGGTTTAACAGGGTGCCAAACCAACTAGAAGAGTTTCTGCAAAAGCTAAGGGAAATGTGCCCTTAAATGTTTCTGTAGAAATTCTAGGAGCGGAAGAAGATGCAAACACAAGACTAGCTGAAGATTTATCTAAAATAAGGGTTGTAGAATCGCGAGAGACCTCTTTACGAGAAACTATGGACGAAAAAGAGAGACTAATGCAAAATACGTGTCTCACAAGCAGAGAATGTGGAGTTTCAGATATGATGCTCTCTGTTTCTTCAGAAGAATCAATCCCGCGGCCAAATGGTATACAACACATCTCTAACTTTCCTTTGGTATGGAGATGTATCTTTATTGCTTAACTGAACCACAAAGTGACCATATTTGGTCGGATCCAAACTATCTTGAGTGCCTTCCATGTGTAGATCTGCATCTTCCTGTTGTTGGAGCATGTTACCTTGCCTATATATGTTCCATGAATCCAAAATATTTTATATGCTTGTTAGCAAACTGCAATGGTACCTTGAATTAGAAAAATAGTCGGTGCAGTATTTCAAGCATGTGACCATTAAGCTCTCAAATTGTGAAAACTCCATGGAGCTGAAGAATTTTTGGGCCATTTCAAAAAAAAAAAAAATCATAGAATAATCCTCATAATAGGGAATAAAACAACTGCTTAATCGAAGAAGCATGCATGTCATAGCATTTTCATGGAAATGATATTGTGTTATGCGTTGAGGATTTTAACAACTCATTTCTAAAGATTTTTCCCAAATGTAAGGTTGTGCTATACCACGCCAGGTATAATAGTGTAGAGTAGTAGAAAATAAAACCTGTTATATACTTGGATTCCTTTTATGGATTTATGGAAATATGTTGTGTGCACCATGGCTGTCTTTGTGCCCTATGATTTGAACCTCGAGGAACAAACAGTTCTGTTCGAATTCTAAACTTTTCCTTCTTTATTTTTCCTCTTCTTTTCTTTCTTTCTCTTTTGGAAACAATTCCAACCTACACACCTTATACAAGTAGTCTGCTTCAAGAACTGCAGTGGAAGGAGGATAATTTGCATCTTTTATTGTCACAAGTCAAACTGTGTTTGGCATGTTTCTGGGGCATAATTAATTAGCTTGCAAGAAAGTTCTAGTTTTGTAGGAAAATTGAACATCAAAAAAGGTGGGAAATATGAGCTTCGTGGAGTAACTGTTAATTATTGATTTTATTTATAGCAGTCCTAAGTAATGTTCATGGTTATTGGCAAAAATTTAAAAGGGCCACATATTAACGCATTATATAAACATTGGTCTTGAAATGGCAAGGAGTGATAGTGATACCATTGTAAATTTTGCAGAAAAACATACGGTACCTGAACAATCGGGAGCATCAAATGATAGAGGTATTATAGACATCGATTCAAACTCAAAATGTCTTCAATCATGCAGCATATATGCCCCAGACATATATGACAGGATACGTGTGACGGAGGTTTGTTTCAAGGAGTTACTGTTCACTATTTGCCACAGTTATATCAGTCAAGTTAATGCAGATGCTGTATCCATCTTAGGCCATTGGCCACAATTAAACATGCCATACAGTCGTACATTATAAGTTTGGAAGGGAAATAAGAAATTTTAGATATTATTAGGAAGCAGCTGAACTTGTACTTCTAAAAAGTACTTAAAATGTTCGCAGTTTACATCAAAATGACTTATTGATATGCTTTTAGCTCATAAGCAAACATTGATTCTTTTCTTCAACTCTTTTCAGCTTGATCAAAGGCCCTCAACTATCTATATGGAACAGTTGCAGCGAGATATCACTGCAAACATGCGAGGAATACTGGTTGATTGGCTTGTAGAGGTTCGTTTCATCACCTTTACACCTTTACTTTGACCGAATTGATATGTTATGTTGATGAACTTGCTTAAAGGCCCCAAGTTGGCAACAATCCTTTTTCATTAGATAGAGATTTCTTTTTATAATTTTTTGTTAGCTGCACTTTGCATTTTGACCTCACAGAAAATAATTTATGTTTTATCCCTTTTATGCCATGTCTTGGCTTAGATACATTTTTAGTTGACTGGGTTTATTTTTAACGAAATATTTACTATTAATTTTTTGACCATTACATGCCATGTTAAACTATGTGCCTATTGTGTCAAAGATTATCATAGACATAATTCCCACATTCTGGGAATAGTTTGACTGTCCTCTTAAATATAATTCTAATGAAACAACTAAGCTCCATAAATTTCTTTTTAGCGTTGACCATTGCTAATGGATGCAAAGACATTTTACTTTTTGAGATTTTGTTGGAAAATAGATACATATCTGACACCAAGTCAAGCTGTGAAGTCTAAAATTTGTCATGGTTATATGAATTGTAACTTTTATCCTCTAGTTAAGCAAAAATATTATGTCAATGTGGGTTTTGTTGATGGTCAACTGTTCTTTCAGGTTTCTGAAGAATATAAGCTGGTTCCAGATACACTATATCTCACTGTGAATGTTATCGATCGGTTTCTCTCTCAAAACTATATTGAAAAAAAGCGTCTACAACTCCTCGGTGTTTCAAGCATGCTAATTGCATCGTAAGTGTTGACCATAATTCTTGTGCTAACGAAATAGTTAAATTGTCAACTATTTGTGAGGGAGGAGGGAGTCAAAAACTGTATGTCTTCACTTATTTGAGGAAAAAACTGTATTATACTCTAAACATGGCTTCCTTTCACTTGAAGAAAATACGAGGAGATCTGTGCACCGCGAGTGGAAGATTTCTGCTTCATTACAGACAATACTTACACAAAAGGAGAGGTACACAATTACCTGCTTGAAAAAAGAATGCACGTTCGAGAGTCATTTTGAATATGATTAGAATTACCCATATTTCTAGAAGAAACAAAGATGAATATTACTTGTGTCATTCCTTATGGTTACATTACTTAATTTTTTTTAAAATGCGAGTCAGCATTCTATGATGTTCATTTTGGTTTCTATCTGATGGAAAAGATATTTGATGTATCGAGATTGATAAATACGTATGACACTTGTATCATGTTTGTAACAACTGCCTTGTATGTGATTTCATTAGAGACGACTAGTCAATATGAGCATAGTTCAATTGGTTAAGGTATATATCTTCAACCAAAGAGTTGGAGGTTCAAATTCCTACTTCCATGCTGAACTAAAAACAATTTACATGTTTTGAGCGCTCAAAATGGTCGAATGTTTACAATGAAAGTTATGTAACAGGTAGTAGAAATGGAGAGCGAAGTTCTGAATTTACTGCACTTCCGGCTATCTGTTCCCACTACAAAGACATTTCTAAGGTATTATATTGTTTTGTCACCATTATTCGATACTATAAGTTCGCATATTTCAATCAAAAGTGACTTGGGCATTTCAAATTTGCAGGAGATTCATACAATCAGCTCATGCTTCTTACAAGGTACCCTATACGTTGTTATCATTTCTTTATATTTTTTTATGGACACAAAATTCTATCAACAACGAGAACTAATATTGCATTTTAACTATTTTGCAATCAGGTTCCTTGCATTGAACTTGAGTTTTTGGCCAATTATTTAGCTGAGTTGACTCTTGTTGAATACAGCTTCCTAAAGTTCCTTCCTTCTCTGATAGCCGCATCAGCCGTATTTCTTGCGAGATGGACACTTGACCAATCGGATCATCCGTGGGTCCGTGCTTCACTCCTAGAACATCTCTCTCTATCTATCTATCTATATATATTGTTAAAGAAAAATGTTGTCTCAGATTTTATTGTGCATTTTTACAGAACCCAACTCTGGAGCACTATACCAGTTACAGCGTTTCTGAACTGAAAACTCCAGTGCTTGCCCTTCAAGAATTGCAACTTAACACCAGCGGTTCTTCCCTAAATGTCATACGTGAGAAGTACAAACAAACAAAGGTAAGAACAAGAAAAAAAAGTCTCTCTCTCTCTCTTTTATTGTTTTATTGGAACTGTTAGATCGTACTGTGACTGTTCATGGTGGTTTTTTAGAACTGTTTGGAAAATTATTTTGATGAATGATCTTTAAAACTTCAGCTTATTTTGAAATGTGTAGTTGAAGGAAGGGTTGGATTGTAAAATTTTATCCATAAACTTTGAGCATCCATTTTGTTAACTATACATTATGAACTTTGAGGTATACTTTATAGTTCTTGGTATTAACACAATTGATGTGTCCAGTAAGAATGTCACATTCACGTTTCACTCATGGTTCTAACTTCTAACGATAAAAACTTTATAAGAATCTTAATTCAATAAAAACTTTATGAAGTTTGGGACTAATCAGATACAACGTTCAAAGTTAAAATATTTCAATTTTCTTATTGATATGATATGATGTGTATCCTTATTACAGTTCAAATGCGTAGCGACATTAACATCCACTAGATCGATTCTATCACTGTTCTGAAGAACAAGAGCTACCCATTCCAGGCAAAATGGTTACCTTGGAGGATGCCTGTATTTTCAGGTGATCTGCCATTCTCCTTCTAACCTCCCCCAACTGTGATGGAGCTAAAAGAACAGCCAATCCCTTTTGAACTCAATGCTTTGAACAGCAACTCTCTGTTACTGGTACTTCTCTAGATCATAGATGTGGCCGTCTGTGTAATCTTATGGTTTCTGTGATAGGCCATGACTTGTACATTAATATTCGCTTAGCTGAAATGAAAATACTGCTATTTTTCGTTCCTCCAAGCTACTTTGGAGGTTTTCTAGGTCACTTTTATCCGTCTCTCTTTCCCCGTTTGATTGCAACTCCTTTTCCAGTACAACAAATATGGAATCACCGACTTTTACATGAACTTTGCCTTGACCATTGAGCTACGTTCATGTTGGCTCAACATTATTTTTGTATCGAAAACTTTTGTTTAGAGCCTCAATTAATAACATATTTGACTGTCTTCTTGAACTCTCGTTGAAACTGTAAAGCCTTTTGAATATGAATTGGATTTTTATACTTCAAGTTTAGAACTAAATTTACATTTGGTACATAGTTTGCTTTTCTAGAATTTGAGATTCGCTAACCCGGCATATTATATAAATTTAGACTAATAACCAACAATTATAAGTTATTAGTTTTATATCAATAATATAAATACGTTTATTTTTCTTTATTACAAATTACATTAAAAATCTCACCACGGCATTAAAATAAATGCAACATTGTATTTTGTTAACTAAGGTTAAGATTTGAAATAAGTGCAACATTGTATTTTGTTAACAAAGGTTAAGATTTGAAATTTAGATTTGGTATCTCAAGCCATTCGTTGCCTCTCATGCGATTTATAGTGTTTCGGGTTAATTTCAAAATCTAACTGATTTGATAACAACTTTATTTTTTAATATTGTATTATTTACTAACAAACCTTTTAATTTATAATTACTTTTAGCGGGATTCGTAATCCACCTGGGAACACTTTTTGAAATGAACTTAAAAAACTATATGAAAAAAATCTTCAAAACGATTTAAGATAGAAACTAAACAAAAAGAAGACTAATTAAAATAAAAACTAAATACTTTTTTTTTTTGAGGAAAAAAAAACTAAATACTTTATTAGGGTATTTTCGTCTTTCGACATAAAATCACATAATTCTAGTGGGGGCGATCTGCAAAAATCGTACCCGACACGTAATCTGCGGCACGTGTGAATCCCATTCAAGATAACCGCCATCGATGTGGCTGACACGTGGCGGCGAAGGTGATGCACCGCACACATAAATTGCATTTTCTCACTTGTTGTCACGGATTGAATTTTTCTAGGGTTTCGAAACCCGACCCCTTCGAATTCTCTCTTTCTCTCTCTCTCTCGGTTCCATTTCAATTTCTCTCTCTCTCCACTCTGCTCAGCTTGAATTAGCATCGTCGTCACTCCTCTCTGGAATTTTCGATCTGGTGATCTTCTCACTCGCACTTCGTTCGTTGCGCCGTTAACGCCTTTGGCGGCTCGTGCTGTATTGGGCGATTCGTGTACGTATGTGCGCTTCTTGCTTTTTCGGATAGTTTTTGTGGATGTTTTTTGGGTTAGGGTTTTGGGTTTACGAATGATTGTTGGTATCTGTTTGGCTGGGTTGTTTTTGGATTATTTTTAGTTATGTTGTGATGATAATTGTGGAATTCTTGATGTTTTCTGGTTTTGCGTATTATGTCTGCCTTTTGTAGTTGAAGTGAATTAGTTCTTTTTTCATTGGCTGATTTTTTTTGGAGTTTTTTTTTTGTTTGTTTTGAAATCAATTCTTTTAGGATTGGATTGGTGAGATCGGATAGTGAAGGGTACTTTTTTTTGTTCGAAGCACATGCTAGGCTCTATGTGAGGTTGAATTGATCTATTCATTTTGAATCTGGGAGGTGTATTATTTTCTTAGAAATCCTGTCACGTATTTGCTTGGTGGTGTGGAAATACTTTTGGTCTTGTCACATAGTTTTCTAAATTTCAACAATATTAGATACCGATTATCTATTAAAATGATGACTGATCTTTACACGTTATGGTTTAGTGTTGTGACTTAAAAAGTTTCATGATGCCTTCACCTAATCGAACTTAAAAATTGGCTAATTAGGATTACAATAGAGCAGAATTTTCTGTTTGAAGTTGATGATCTATATGATTTCTTTTAATCAGATAGGGTCATGCCTAATGGATTGTTCATCTTTAATAGATCACCTTTGATCGTCCTCTTCCGTGTAAATCTGATGCTTATTACACAACAGTATTCCCTGAGGTTGTCTTGTGCATACCTTACTGTCATGCCTTGAGGCAATATTGCCAGTTTTACATTGAGGCATGCGCCCCATATGCGTTTTGGAACTTGGAGTTTGATAAATTGTACTCTCTGACTCATTGGTTTTAGTCATATTTGTATAATGCACTTTCTGCTCGTACATCCCTGCACTTACAAAATTGAGTATAACCGTAGAAAATATAGGTGTTGTTCAACTGTTGGTTTTTAAAGTTAACAGTGTGCAGTTAACTCTGATATTTTTCTGTAAATCTTAAATATTTCCTTGATTCTGAAGATGGGTTTTTGTTTTAAATGCAGATGCTACAGTTTTTCTTAATGATGAAAAAGCACAGCATGTGGACATTATTTTGATGTTTGTATCACTCGTTGAAATTTATAATGTGTGATGCTGATGTAGCATGTCCAACAATCTTGTTTCTGAAGAATATTCAATACGAGGAATGCAAAGTAGTCAATTGGACCCTATAACAAACAAAATGGAATCATCATTATCAGAAGCTCAAAGAGGGGTTGTAGTTTCTGCATCTAATGAACCTTCATTGCATCAATATTTAGTACCGAACAGGCAAATGGAATTAATGGGATCAATTTCTGGTGGCTCTCTATCACAAAGTGGAATAGTATCACGCATGCAAACAGGACAGGTTGATGTTAAAGCTAGTAATTTTGGACAACAGCAGTTCCAAATACCTGGCAATCAGTTTGGACGGACTGGAAACATGATGAGAACTGCCGAAGGAGCTCTGTCACTTCCAGTGAAGCGCAAGGCATCAATGGAACCTTTTAACTCTCTTTTGCAGCAGCCTTCGTTGCAAAATAAGCGAGCTGCACAGATGGAACATCGACCATGGTTGCAACAAGCATCTGGAATGGCCAGAAGACCTCCTTTACAAATACCAAACGATTCCCCAGCTTCCATATCGCTGCACTCCCCTGCAGCAAGTAAGAGAAAGGTACAAATGGAACCACATCCGTCTAAAGTTCATCAACGTTCTGGTGCTTCTAAAAGTCTGAGTGCTACCCCAAATCAATCTTCCAAGATTCAAAACGAGTCAACTGGATTGGTGAGGTCAAAGATGAGGGAATCCTTGACTGCTGCATTAGCCTTAGTATCGCAGCAGCCAGACAAATCATCTAATAATGAAAAAAGTCACCTAACTGAGGCTGCAAAGTCAGAAACTCAAAAGCAGGAAAATCTGTTATTGTCTGGGCCAGCTGTTGGTCATGTATCTGATGACTCAAAAAAAATATTTTCTGAAAAATTAGATTCTGTTGGTCTTGAAGATAATGTAGGAAAGATGTTAGATAAGAGTTCGCTAGATGTAAATGTCAGTGATCTAGAAACATTGAGATATGATGGGCGAGTATTTCAACCAAATAATGGTTTGTCTTATGAAGACATTCCTTTTGGCGACAACTTTTTTATCAAAGATGATCTTTTGCAAGAAAATGGTCTCGCTTGGGTACTGGATGCAGACTTGGGGGTAGCTGATAAAAAGGAACCACGAACTGATGAAATTCATAAAATGGATGTTGGGGTTTCAAATCAAGGTCCGGAGGCAAAAGCAGTTCAGACTCCCGAGTGTTTGGCACTTAAAATTGAAGAAGAATTATTTAAATTATTTAGTGGTGTTAATAAAAAGTATAAGGAGAAAGGAAGGTCCCTTTTGTTCAACCTGAAAGACCGAAGCAATCCTGAACTGAGAGAGAGGGTTATGAGGGGGGAAATTTCCCCAGAAAGATTGTGCTCCATGACTGCTGAGGAACTCGCATCTAAGGAGCTTTCTGAGTGGAGAATGGCGAAGGCAGAAGAATTTGCTCAAATGGTAGTTTTACCTGACTCAGAAGTTGATATCAGGCGTTTGGTGAAGAAGACACATAAAGGCGAGTTTCAAGTTGAAGTTGAAGAACATTACGATAATTCCTCTACAGATGTTTCATCTGGGGCTTCTACATTTTCTCAGAGTCAACGTAGTAAGAATGAGACTGAAGGTGGGTCTTCCGAAGAACCTGAAACAATCAAGGATGAACAAAATATTTCTGGCCAGAAAAATGGTGCAGCTGACAAGGATAACTACACCTTTACAATTGCATCTAATGAAGGGTCTGATTTGATGCAAGGACTCATGGTTGATGACGGACTGAAGGATACAGAGCTACTGCCTCCAATCGTCTCCCTAGATGAGTTCATGGAGTCTCTTGATACAGAGCCACCTTTTGATATTTTATCTGAAGGTGCTACAGCTGGCAAATTGTCGCCTGTTCTGGAGAAGGAAGATTCAGAGTCGGGCTCTCGGTTGAAGGGTGCAGCTCCTGCTACGAAAGGTTCAACTGACGTGAGCATTTTGAAAAATAAGAATAGTGAGGAATCTTCAACAAAAGCAGATATTGGCTCATCTTCTATCGGCCATGTGAATTTGAAATCTAGTGATAGTAAAACTGATGTGGATTTTAATGAGAATCAAGCTCTTAAACGAGCTTCCCCTCGTTTAAGATCCCCCGAAAAGAATGACGGTGTAAAAGCTAGTGATAGTAATGCAAAATCTGGGACAGAATCTCTGCCAAGCATGTTTAGGTTAGAACATTTATGGGACGGCATCCTCCAGTATAATATCTCAACAATGACTCCAGTCGTGGGTACCTACATAAGGTGTGCATTTTCTCTTATTAAGTCTCACGGTTTTTATTGGAATTCTAATTGTATTTAAAAGACTTGTACAATTCTGTTATATATATATATTCTTTTATCATGGTTATACTTTGAACTTTGTTGAACTTAGTTTTTCCTTGCACTGATTGATCTCCTGCATTTACATGAATTCGTATGGTTTCCGCATTCCTGCATGGTTTGGCCTTTCCATGTGACTATTAATGTTTAATGGGAACTTTTTATTTGTTGAAAAAATTTCCATAAGAAGTTTAGGTACAATGTATTTTGGTCTCGACTGTTGGGATTTAGTCGTATTCATCGTGAGGTTTCTACAATTGAGGATCTTATCCCGTGGACGACATTTCTCTTTCTTTGGTCGGCCAACTATATATATGCATCTTCATTTGAATGAAATAGTTTGATCTGCAAAATTGCAACAAACGGATTGCTTTGTCATCCGAAGATGTGTTACATTAGAACTCTGATTCCTGCAGCTGGTTGGACATTACCTGTTTGATAGTTTGATTTCTCGGATTTGGTGTACATGGAATTTTAGCCTTATTGGTATTTTCTGGTCATTAACGATTTGAATTCTAGTCATAATGTCCTCGATGAGATTTTGATTTTGATTTTGTTTCTGTATTGGCTTTGCTTTGCTGCAGTGGTGAAAGAACATCAGCAAAAGATTGGCCTGGCATTCTTGAGATCAAAGGGAGAGTCAGATTGGATGCTTTTGAGAAGTTTCTTCACGAGCTTCCATTGTCTCGGAGTCGTGCCGTTATGGTATCTCTAGTTTATTTTTGTTGTACAAACGCTTCTGACCAATTTCGCCCACTGAAATCCACTCCTCGGGACAAAACAAGAACAAAAATAATAGGAGATGAAAGTGCAAAGAGACGTAAAATTTTTGTGCTTGGGAATAGGATCTTTACTCTGGCGACGGATGTTTTGGGCAATAATAACCATTCACATCTTGAAACTGAAGAAAATACAAATCCATTATTTTTTTGCCCCAATTTCGATGGGTTCTCAAGTTCGTGCGCAAGCATATGGCCTATTGGACAATCTTGCATGGAAAATATGGGAAACTTTGCATTATTTATAATTATTCCGTTCAAACAACTATTCTCTTCTTAAATAACCTAAAATCTGCTCAACAATTTAGCTTTGAGGCTGGATTCTCTCTGTTCTTTGAAGATGTTAGTGAATCAAAATTATCAGGACAATCAAAGACGTTGCAATTCCAATCTAATTGAGTCATAAGAGTAAACGCAATTCTTCTATGTTCAATTTTCTTCCAAAACTAAAAGAATTCGGGAGAATAATTTATAACAAATTAGTATTGGTGTAGTTGTTGGTTCTGGATTTTGTAGGTGATGTTAATTTTCCATATTTCCTGCAGGTTCTTCATTTGGATTTAAAGGAAGGACGGCCTGAACCTGAACAAGCAAGTCTTCGAGAGGTAATTGAATTGACTAAAACATTTTACTGTCAGCTTCAGCTTTAGCTTCTGCCCTTTTTTCATACTGGGCAACTTTCAAATCTTGCTGCAGGTGGCCGAGTCATATATTGCGGACGAGCGAGTTGGTATAGCGGAGCCTGGGTCGGGGGTGGAATTTTACTTTTGCCCTCCACATGGAAGGATTCTTGAAATGCTTGGGAGGATCATTCTAAAGGAAAATAATGAGGCACTTAATGCAATTGAAAATGGCCTAATAGGCGTTGTTGTATGGAGAAAATCTCAATTAACGTCAATGTCACCAAACTCAACGTCACACCACAAACGCAGTTCGAAAAAGCAACATTTTAGTTCTAGGAGACAACACCAGGACACGAAAGCTAATAATGTTTCCCCTAAACAGACCATCCCTCCTCAAGGTTTCTTTCCCGTCCCTGGTGCTCGTCCTCCGCCTGAGGACGATGATGCCGATGGCGACGATGATGACGTCCCTCCTGGCTTTGGTCCTTCAACTGCTCGGGATGATGATGATCTCCCTGAGTTTAATTTTTCTGGTTCTGTCAACCCTCCTGGGTTTTCTTCCCGGAACAACTCCCCTACTCCCCGAGGGCTGTCGAGGCCGCCCGCTTTTCACCCGGTCTGTCAAACTGGGTCTCACCCTGTTGAGCAAATGCGAGAGCTTGTGTTCAAATATGGACAAAATGCAAGCAACAACAACAGCCCCTCTGGTGGCAACTGGCGAGAAAGGGGCTTAAGTTCGGTACCTATGCAGCCATGGAATGACGACGATGACGACATCCCAGAGTGGCAACCGCAAGCAGCAGCAGCCTCCCAGCATCAAGTACCTCCCCCATTGCACTCGCAGCAGCCTGTGCGTGGCTTCCAGAACCCCACGCTGAGGCCTCACTACATGGCAAACCAGCAGCAGCAGCAACATCCGGGGCAAGCAAGCCGGTTGGTGCCTAATCAGCAACAGCCGATGCCAGCCCCGCCTTTAAATATGAGTCAGCAAGGGACGTGGTGGGTTCCTCAGGCAGGCCACAGCAACAACAATATACAGCCTAGCAATTTAGGTCATAGCCATAATCATAGTAGTAGCGGTCAGTTTTATGGTTCATTTGGCCGATCCTCCAACCCTCGCCAGGATCATCCCTCAAATAGTAGAAGATTTTGAGTTTTTCTTTCATTATGTAAAGTTAAATTCTTTCTCTCTGTTCTTTGTCTTATTTTTCTGTTGTAATCTCCGAATCTTCACTTTTGCGACTGTTTTACATTACAGGGATAGTGTATCTGTACAAGGCATTTTGCCTTTTCTTTTCAAAAAGCAATCCATTTGGGTTCATATTTATTATGTTTAAGACACATCTTTGAACTCAAAATTTCTTCATCGTGGACTTGTCGTTACAAACACAACGTGACAACACCTTATTTATTGTTGGGCTGGCCTGTGTTTTGGCAATAAATATTACAGATTTGAATTGGAAAATGTCGGTTGGTTCTTGTAGTTTAATTTTATTCATATTGCGAAATATCTTTTTACGCCAAAAGGAAAATTATTAGATAGAGAATAAATACAAAAGAAAACTAATTGGAGAAGGAGAAGAGAAGGTTATGGCTTACAAATGAAAGAAGAATGATCGGGTAAGTTACAAGAGTTTGTTTTGATATCTAAACTTGTGTGGGCATATGATTTTCTTGACCCACCCTATTACTGTTTCTTTCAACAATGGCATATTGAATGTATCAGCGATACCTTCTTCATCAACCTCCCAGGGCGCGTTTGAGTCCTGCTCGCTGCTCGGGAGTTAATCTTGTTGGGAACTTTACTTCAAATTTGATCTTCAAATCGCCCCGGTTGCCTGGCTCTCTTACTATTGGCATTCCCTCTTTGGCGACGACGAGCTCGTAGCCTGGGCTTACAATGTCTGATACGGGTATCGAAAGGTTACGACCATCGAGCGTGGTAAGACTTACAGTGGTTCCACCCAATGCCTCTGCTAATGACACCCTATGGTTCATAATGATGTCATTGCCATCTCTTTTGAAAACATCATGGGGCTTCTCGTCAATAACAAATACCAGATCTGCAGGCAGTTGGTTTGGCTGTTCATTCCCTTTATCTGGAAAAGTGATCTTCGTTCCCTTCTTCCAACCGGGCTTCACATCGATCGTCAATATCTCCGTCTCGGGGATTTGTCGCCTGTCACATTTTCAGATATAATAAGATGGAATAGGATTCATTAGAGAGTAACCATCTAGAGAAAACGTAAATATCAGATTCCCATTCCAGGCCCTAAAACCTATCCTTTTTAACGTCAAAAAATGTAAATTCCCAAGTATAGAGGAGATCAGCCAACCTCACAAGGGAATCCACAAATTAAACCAAAATTTCATCCTCTAAAAATGTCATTTATTGGTTTTTATTTTTAAGGATCATAGCCCCAATCTTATCATTCGGTTCAATAATATTATTGGTCAAAACCATGACATTAATATTCAAAACCAAATCAATCAAAAGATTCATCACATCATCTCAGACAAAAGAAAATGCTATGATTATTTTGTAACAGTAGTGTACAACACACATTCATAGGAAATTTCTTCTTATGATTCACACTGGTTGTTTTTTTTTTACTTCTATTTTGTTTAATAATACTACAGTTTCTTATTAAGAGAGAAAAAAAAAGGAAAAAAAAGGGAAAGACAGAGACAAAAGCTAAGGAAAAAAAGGTGCTGACTGCTGTTCTTCTTTGAAGAAAAAGCAAAGTGAAGCAGCAAGTTGAAAAGAAAGAAGGGAAAACTTATGAAAATTGCATACCCATTGGCATCCACAATAGTTCTTGAAATCTTCATTTTCCTGGTTGATCCTGAGTACAGCTCCTCAAGAGTGCAGGGCAATTTGGTCTCAACTGGTGGGGGTTTCTTTGGTGTTACACCTTCACTATATGTTCTGAAAATGTTCTCACTTCCACCAAATCCCCCAAAAATTCCTCCCTCTGATTGGTACCTCATAGACTTCCCAGGCCCAGATGAACCAAACCCAAAAGGGCTGCTCCCAAAAAATTCTGCAAAAATATCCTCTGCATTCCTCGGATTAAACCCGCTCGACCCACCGCTGCCTCCATTTCCGAACGGGAAGCTTCCACTGCCCGGTGGTGGCATGTCTTTTAGCCCTTCTTCACCATATTGGTCATAAATTGCCTTCTTCTGAGGGTCACTCAACACCTGAATTACAAAACTTATCCTGATTATACAAACAGTTTGGGTATTGGTCTCTGGCCATTGGCAGAAAAATGAATCAGAAGTAAACAATCATCTGAAGAAGTCTAAGTTCAATCCCAATACAAAATAATATAGAACCAAAAGCATCATAAAATTCTGTTTTGGAGCATTGGAGAGGTTGAAAATGGGAAAGAGGCAACTCTTTGTTCCTCTGATAAACATATATTTTATAGAGATTCTTTCGGCAAGGAAACGAACATAGACTTCCTAATTAATTCTCGTTCTCACAGCCCCAATCAATCATCAGAAAACAGAAAAATTATGGGATTAATAAGCTGAAGAAGAACATTTCAACAGTTTAAGGGATCCAATAGATAAAAGAAACAAAATCTTACCTCATAGGCCTCGGAGATCTGCTTGAATTTGGTTTCAGCTTCTTTCTTGTTGTTGGGGTTTTTATCAGGGTGCCATTTCATGGCCAACCTTCTATAGGCCTTCTTGAGATCGTCGTCATTGGCGTTCCTATCCACCTTCAACATGTTGTAATAGTCCACTCCCATTCTCGATCGGTTCAAAAAATCAGATCCAATCGCTCGAAATCCCTAGAACCAGGGTCTATCTCAACAAGACCCAGATCGAACGTTGAATTTCGGTGTGATCTTAAACTCGTCCCTGTTTCTGCACACAAATTAAATGCAGAAACATAAAATTGCGAAAGAAACGTACAACTGGAGACAAAATTTTGATCGGTCGGTCCTCCGCTGCAGATTGAAGACAGGAAAGTCAAAGTTCTGGATCGGTGATTTGGTATGGAAAGAATTCGTACAGAATTGAGAAATGAAGTTGTGAGATGCACGCAGCTGGAGATTGATCAATTTGTTTTGATACCGCGTTTGCCGGAAATGTTAGGATTTTTGTTTATAACCGAAAGTCGCGGTGAATTTTCAAATTCTCGTTTTGCTTTTTTCTTGTTCCTTCTTATCTTTTCTCTTAATACGGTTTACGAACCCAGTTAGTGGTTACACTTCTGAACGACATGTCGTTAACCTTCTCAAGTTTAAAAAAAATAATAAAAAAAAAAGTCTCTCAAATTGTTACTTTTCCCGACGGGGACGAGGCCCTAATTCTACCTAAAAATTTATTGGTTTACGAGATAAGACTGTTGTGTTTAGGTTTTGAGAATAATTTAAATTGTGAAATTTATATTTTAAGATGGTTGTATGATGAGTTTTTATTTTGATAATTTGTTATGTGAATTATGAGATACAATTTTTCTTTTCAAATGGAGATTCCTCGGGAAAATTTAACTATTTAAATGAAAATTTATCTCGAGAATTAATGAAATTTAGTGGGACATTTTGTGGGGATGATGAACGAAATGAGAGCGGGGATGGAGAAGTTGCCCCCACTTGTCTCGATAACATTCCTAGTAATAAGAAGTTATATTACATTGACCAAAATGTTGAATGTTTGAATTTTTATTCTCATATTGAATGAAAGAAGAAAAAGAGTGCGAAATGAGGGTGGGAGGTTGGAGGTTCAATCCCCTATATTCCCAATTTGTTGTAATAAAAAAAACTAAAACCGTAATTTTTTTTTTGAAAATAACTAAAATTGTAATTTAACCAAAAAACATAGAACTAATATTTTTTTTCCATTTTTTTAATGAAGAAAAATTGACAAGTACCCCATCAATAATTCATTATGATATTATCAACATTCGGAAATTATTGTTCAATAATTGATGATATTTTCTGATAATATTACAAAGTATTTTTAATCCTTTTTTCATGGAAAAAAAGGTCCTTTCGATTGTGGATTTTCATGATATTGGCAGTTTTTAGCAAACTGATGGAAATAGGAACCGAGTGGTCCAATCTCACCAAGTGTAACAATGCAAAAAACATACAACTTTATGAATCAAAATAGTTCAGAAAATCAAACTGTTTGACGTGAAGTGTGTACTCTACAACACAAATAAGGGAAGAAAGAAAAATGAACAAGCAAAGCTCACACTATATTTCGATCTTTTTGATCGGTCCAAAACGACGACAATGATTATCGCGAATGAGTTCGTGTAAGTACAAGTGATTTGAATATGTAGGATATTCAAATCAACAAGGAACTTGAAACTATACAATCCTATAACCAGTGATGATCCCTCATCTCAAAGGAGGATGTTTACTTATATGAGCATCCCATAGAAAAAGTTCTCAAAGGAAAACCAGAATGGGAAAGAAAAGTTCACTTTTCGAAACCAATCGCCACTCCTAGGATCGGAATGAAGTGCTTGCATTCCCGACTACATTCTTCATTTTGAAAGATGGTTGATTATCAGCTGCAAACCCGTATTCCGAGATGTCACCAATGTCCAAAGAGTCCGGGAGACCTTCAGGGACATAATCTTCAGAACCAAATGGCTGTTTGTTCTAAACATCAAATGAAACCAATAAGAGAGTTAATTACCAATAATTCCTAGAAGATGTGAAGAATGCTATATATTTCTCTACTTGTGGATAAAATGTGTTTTGTTTTGATTGACAATACGAGATTCCCTTAATAAGTTACTGTATTTTTTGTTTCCTATAGGAAATTCAAATCACAAGCTGCTACATCGGACATAAACAGTGTTTGTCAACCAAGTTTGTTCAATAGTAACCGAAGTAGAAACTCGAGTGAAACAGCAGTTCAAGATAAAAGCAAGAAAATGAACGAGGGTTGAAAGAGAGAACCTCGAGCAGGCTCAGCATGTCTATAGCAGCATCCACGTCACCTTTATTTGCCAAATAGACATCAGTAAGGGACTGATCAGATAGTCCAGGGAAACTAGCCTTAAGAAATTCCAGATCCAAATCAAAGTCTTTATCAAACATCTCCACCATTTCATTGAATTCACTCTTGTGTTGCGACAATGATCCATGAGAGGGGTGATTCTTCATAGCAGAACCAACTGCAATAGGTGCTTTTTCACCAAGTCGCAGGTTTGAATTAGGGGAAATGCTGTCATATGGAGGATTATGCATATAATGTTCGGAATATCCCGAAAAGTTGCCCCCTATACTTTTCTTAGAAGAGTTTTCTGCTATAAAATTTTTGTCAGCCTCTCTCTTGGAGAGTGGAATGTAGGATGCTGCATATGGATTCAAAGATGATCCGAGTGGCTTCATTGCATCAGACGCAGAAATGATCCTTTCTGACAAACAATTTATCAAAAGTGAAAAAAGAACGAAGGCAGAACGAAGAAGTAAACATATCATTATTACAAATCCATAACAGTTCGAGTGAAATGCAACAACAAGTCGAGAACGGCCTCTAAGTTCTGCAAGCATCTAAAATTAAATTGCTGCAAGTTTATAATTCCAAAGAAGGAACCAAACCACTTTAGACAGGCCATACTAGTCTAGTAAAATTGATGGAATGAAAATTGTGAAATGTTACAAGAAAGTAAAATAAAAAGTCAAAACGGTTGTGAAATGAATGAAAAATTGTTAAAGTTAAAAGAAGCAAAGAAAGATTCAGATCATGCAAATTCGGGTAATCCGCTCACAATCTCACTGAAATGCAAAATCTTTAGCAATTCAAAACATCAGTCGCATGATCAGAAAATTAATACTAGTTACATCTATATTCTTTCACCAGAAATGATCCATCTACTTTCAAGTTCTATCAGCAAACTATGCCAATAAAGAGTTAAAACAAACTCCAAGAAAAGCAAAGATTAGACCAAGGCAATATCAGAAGAAACAAATCCCGTGTAGTAAATTATTTCAACCAAGATTTAAAGGATAAAACCCAAACATCGAAAGCTCACCAATCGGAGGAATCGAATCTTGATTACCACATTAGAGTAACACACATCATTACTTCTAAACCTAATCTTTCTTCAATTGAGAATATCAAACCACCACAAATTAGTTGAATAACAGAATATATGTACCAATAACAACATTCGTTTTAACGCCAGAAACCTCATCTATATCATTTCTCAGTAAAAAGAACAGATGCAACAAATAGCAGTACTCAAAGAGAAACCAGAGAATTCAACATCTACCACGACGATCGGACTTCCAAACGAAGAAACTCACCCTCCAATTCAAAATCTCGATCTTGCAGGCAGAATTTCAACTACAGCAAGAACTTAACAAACCCTAATTGCTTCAAAGATGAAGTAAACGGAGAATTCGGGCAATGATCGGAAACTTGCGGTTCGTAGGTAGAGAATTGAGAAGTCGCGAAGAAGATCCTCATGGTTTTGTACAGGAAGACTATATAAGACTTTTTACTTTGGAGCTTTTGATGATTGATGACGCTCTGTTGAAGGGACTGTTTGGACACAAGGTTTAGATGCTCCGCGGTTGGGATGGCACCGTTAACTAACACGTTTTGAAACGAAAGGGGAAACTAGGAAAGTACAACCGGCGGTTACGGAACTTAGCCGCCGTCTGAAAACGGGTTGACCCGCTATTGAACCGTACGGTCGTGTATTTGAATTGTGATCGTGATTTAATTAAATTAAAATTAAAATTAATTATTTTTTTTTTTGTAATTTTCAGTAAATAAAATAAATATATTATATATGTATGAAAATGCTATAAATTACTGATATCTAAAAAAATTGAAATGTTGGTCAATATTTTTATAAATTGAAAGTCCAACATTGATACGAGAGGCTTACGTTTATTTGTAAAATAACATAAAATTATCGATAAAATGTTAAAGATGTTGAAAAATTAGAATTTAGCTGTCCAAAAACTATCATTTGTTGTTCATTTTTTTGTTATTTTTAAATTTTATATTATGCATTCACAACGAAGCCTTTTATACTGTCAGATATTTCAACGTGAGTATAAAAATATGTTTAAGGTAGATGTTTTTTTTAAAATAGAAATTTAGTGTTTTATAACAAATAACCTTATATTTTCTTAGAACAAATAACTATTCTTTCTAACGTAATTAGAAATAGAATTGAAAACAAAATAGATTTGATATATGAGATTTGAGTTTGATTTTTATTTAATCCTTGAGGCTTTAAAAGATCACTTTAGTTTCTGAGGCTTGAAAACGGTTTTGAATGGTAACTGGTAACTCAACTCCCTTGACCTATAGTTTGACTAAAAAAAGATAACGTGATAATTGAATTTGCTGACTTGATAAATTATATTAATTTTATATGATTATTATTATTATTTTGTTAATTGGATCAATAAGTTAAACTTAAATCCGCACTCGTAAATATTGACTAAACCCAAAAAAAAAAAAAAAATTAACAACAAAATTGTAACACAAAACTTTTTCACACAATTTGAAATAACTCATCTAGTTTTTTTTTTTAGTTTTTTAATTTTATAGTACACAACATATAGTGTTGTAAATTCAAACCATACCTTAACTAGCTGAGTTATGACCAGATTGATAATATAATTTATCTAGTTAAATCATTAATAATTTACTTTAAAATTGATATTTGAACTAAAAAGAAATCAAACGATTTTTTAAAATTAAGAATAAACATTAGATTAAATCAATGTAAAGCTTTGTAGAAGTAGAACCCTTGTCTAACTTTCTGAAAGGACAAAAAAGGAAGTGAAGTGGTGAAGCATTTCGTAGAGCATTCAAGTTCCTGGGTTTTCCAGATCCCATTTAGCAATCATATTATATGAATTTATCTCATGTAAATCCAAAATTTACAAATTCTATTTTTGGGGGGAAAAGAACTCCCCTAAATCCATAAAACCCAAACCAATAAAGGCCAATCTAAAAGGGTACAATTAATAATTAATAAAAAAAAATGACAAATCCACCCCTCATGAAACTTATAGAAACATATGATTATCCAGTCATATCAGCCATTTTCCATATGGCAATAATCTCACAACCATAGCTTTGCAGCCGGTTTCTAGTTCACAGCCATCTCAAAATCATTTTCCATCTTGCAACTATCATTCTCTTGCACATGTTTCTATAATGAGGATAAATAAGTAAGTTCACACCTACTTGACATTAGCAAAATTTCATAGCACTATTTTCTATGAGTTGGTTATAAAAAACTTCTCTCTTTCCCATAACCTCATTAAATTCTAAAATATTCTCAATCATGAGCCAGACCTCATATGGGAATTGAATATGCTCCTTTCTTTCTTCATTTCAATGAGTAAATTTTGTTACAAATTTACAATTAATTTCTTAA